GGGGGCCGCGAGGGCGGCGCGACGCAGCAGAGCCGCGAGGGCGGCGCGACGCGGCCGTAAGGCCAGCGCGCGAAAAAAAAAAGGTCGCGCGCGCGACTCACGGGGGCCACAAGGGCCGCGCGAGAAGGACTAGGGGGGGGGGGGGGGAGCGCGCTTCGGGGAGAGAAGGGCGCGCTCCGGGCAGCGAAAATTTTGTGGGTGGGCCCTTAAACGACGGTCCTTAGGAAGGACCCGCTCTTATACCATGTTGAGTTGAGAGGAATGAATGTGCACTATGAAATGAAACAAGTACAAGTACCAACCCTAATTGGGTTGTACCCCATATGGGCTACCCCACTATAGCCTACAATGCATGCATCAGCTAAATATAATCTGACACAAGCATCATCGGTCATCGGTGCTCGCAAATGAAAAGCGCCCGCTGCACTCGTTGCACATGTGCGGCTCCTTCCGCGTTTTGGGGGTGGAAGCGCTCGTTACGAGCGTTTCTCTTCCGTCGGGTCACGTGGCTACGCTTGTCTGGTCCTATTACCAAGCCAGCAAGGGCGTGGGATGGTTGCAAGCATCATCGGTCATCAGCGCTCGCGAATGAATAGCGCCCGCTGCACTTCCTGCACACGTGCGGATCCTTTCGCGTTTTGGGGGTTGAAGCACTTGTTCCGAGCATTTTTCTTCCGCCATGTCACGTTGCTGCACTTGTCTGGTCCTATTACCAAGCCAGCAAGGGCGTGGGAGGGTTGCAAGCATCATCAGTCATCGGCGCTCGCGATTGAAGAGCGCCCACTGCACTTCCAGCGCATGTGCGGATCCTGCGCGTTTTGGGGTTGGAAGCGCTCGTTCCGAGCATTTTTCTTCCGCCGGGTCACGTGGCTGCGCTTCTCGGGGCCTATTACCAAGTTAGCAAAGGCATGGGAGGGTTGCAAGCATCATCAGTCATCGACGCTCGTGAATTTAGAGCGCCCGCTTCATTTCCTGCACATGGGCGGATCCTTCCGCGTTTTGGGGGTGGAATCGCTCGTTCTGAGCGTTTTTCTTCTGTTGGGTCACGTGGCTGCGCTTTTCCAGGCCCATTACCAAGCCTGCAAGGGCGTGAGAGGGTTGCAAGCACCATCTGTCATTGGCGCTTCCAAATGAAGAGTGCCCGCTGCACATCCTGCACATGTGCGAATTTTTCCACGTTTTGGGGCTGGAAGAGCTCGTTCCGAACGTTTTTCTTTCGCTGGGTCACGTGGTTTCGCTTGTCTCGTCCTATTGCCAAGCCAGCAAGGGCGTGGGAGGGTTGCGACCATCATCGGTCATCGGCGCTCGCGAATGAAGAGCGTCCGCTGCACTTCCTGCACACGTGCGGATCCTTTCGCGTTTCGGGGCAGGAAGAGCTCGTTCCGAGCGTTTTTTCCTCCGCCGGGTCACGTGGCTGCGCTTGTCTGGTCCTATTACCAAGCCAGGAAGGGCGTGGGAGGGTTGCGAGCATCATCGGTGATCGGCGCTCGCGAATGAAGAGCGCCCGCTGCACGTCCGGCACATGTGCGAATCCTTCCACGTTTTGGGGGTGGAAGCGCTTGTTCTGAGCGTTTTTCTTCAACCAGGTCACGTGGATGCGCTTGTCTTGTCATATTACCAAGCCAGCAAGGGCGTGGGAGAGTTGCGAGCATCATCAGTGATCGGAGCTCGCAATTGAAGAGCGCTCACTGCACTTCCTGCACATGTGCGGATCCTTCCGTGTTTTGGGGGTGGAAGCGCTCCTTTCGAGCGTTTTTCTTCCACTGGGTCACGCGGCTGCGCTTGTCCAGGCTTATTACCAAGCCTGCAATGGCGTGGGAGAATTGCGAGCATCTTCAGTCACAGCGCTTGCGAATGAAGAGCGCCTGCTGCACTTCCTCCACATGTGCGGATCCTTCCGCGTTTTGTGGGTGGAAGGACTCGTTCGGAGCGTTTTTCTTCCGCCGGGTCATGAGGCTGCGCTTGTTCGGGCCTATTACCAAGCCAGCAAGAGCGTGGGAGGCTTGCGAGCATCATCGGTCATCGGCGCTAGCAAATGAAGAGCGCCTGCAGCACTTCCTGCACATATGCGTTTTGGGGATGGAAGAGCTCGTTCCAAGCGTTTTTCTTTCGCCGGGTCACTTGACTGCGCTTGTCTGGTCCTATTACCAAGCCAGCAAGGGCGTGGGAGGGTTGCGAGCATCATCGGTTATCGGCGCTCGCGAATGAAGAGCGCCCGCTGCACTTCCTGCACATGTGCGTTTTGGGGCTTGAAGAGCTCGTTTCGAGCATTTTTCTTCCGTCGGGTCACGTGGCTGCGCTTGTCTGGGCCTATTACCGAGCCAGCAAGGGCGTGGGAGGGTTGCGAGCATCATCGGTCATCGGCGTTCGCGAATGAAGAGCGTCCGCTGCACTTCCTCCACACGTGCGGATCCTTCCGCGTTTTGGGGCTGGAAAAGCTCGTTCCGAGCGTTTTTCCTTCGCCGGGTCACGTGGCTGCGCTTGTCTGAGCCTATTACCAAGCCAGCAAGGGCGTAGGGAGGGTTGCGAGCATCATCGGTCATCGGCGCTCGCGAATGGAAAGCGCCCGCTGCACTTCCTACACATGTGCAGATCCTTCCGGGTTTTGGGGGTGGAAGCGCTCGTTCCGAGCATTTCTTCCCCCGTGTCACGTGGCTGCACTTGTGTGGCTCTATTACCAAGCCAGCAATGGGTTGGGAGGGTGCGAGCATCATCGGCGCTCGCGAATGAAGAGCGCTTGCTTCATTTCCTGCACATGTGCGGTTCCTTCCGCGTTTTGGGGGTGGAAGCGCTTGTTCCGAGCGGTTTTCTTCCGCTGGGTCACGTGGCTGCGCTTGTCGGGGCCTATTACTAATCGAGAAAGGGCATGAGAGGGTTGCGAGTATCATCGGTCATCGGCGCTCGCGAATGAAGAGCGCCCACTGCACTTCCTGCACATGTGCGGATCCTTCCGCGTTTTTGGGGTGGAAGCGCTCGTTCCGAGCATTTTTCTTCCGTCGGGTCACGTGGCTGCGCTTCTCGGGGCCTATTACCAAGTTAGGAAAGGCATGGGAGGGTTGCAAACATCATCAGTCATCGACGCTCGCGAATGAAGAGCGCCCGCTGCATTTCCTGCAGATGTGCGGATCCTTCCGCGTTTTAGGGCTGGAAGTGCTCGTTCCTAGCGTTTTTTTCTTCCGCAGGGTAGGAACTGGGAAGTAGCAGTTTGCATCTACCTTTGTTACCTCAGTAAAGTACACTTTCCTACGAAACTCGGTTTTCAAGTTCTGAATTTGGCATGCGCCTGTGAAAATCAGGCCAGAATTTGAGCAACTCTTGATTCCCGAGTTTTGGTCCCTAGGACTTCGACAGGCCTGGTCCTGAACCTACAAATCATCGTGCTCAGTGATTACATTTCCTTGATGGCCTTTGATTTCTTACCAATATATTGTAGTACTTCATTTCTTGATATAACACTCTGGAAGACACAATCTACCGATACTGTGCTGTAAGATGAAGATTTGAAATGTTCGGAATGCTGCTCTGTAAACTCCTTGACGTCAAGGCTCTTCTCTGCAGGGCAAAACATAGACTTGCCACAGAAAATACTTTTCCTTCAGGTCTTGCCATTTACATCTTATTCATGCCTTTCGATTTTTACGCAAGCTCTTCCCTCCCGGAAATACTCTACACTACACACACATTGTGCCACTAGCAAGCAACCCATAGTGCAGTTGGCAATGTGCCCTCACCTCACCACCATCACTTGGCAGATGCCTCCGCAGGCAGAATCCCTTGGGGCAGGTTGGTGCTGAGTGCAGCAAGCCTGCCGGCCTGTGTACGTGCAGCTAAGTGTTTGGCAGCCCTGTGCGTGGGGTGGCTGTAAGGGAAAAGCTCAAATGGCTCGTTCTCCGGCACGGCTGATGTGTCTGCCATGATGCGCAGCAGTTCCTGTTGAGAGGGGCAGTCACACGGGGCCACCATACGACAGAATTTACCCGTTGGGAGCTGCTTCCCAACGAGGGTCAAAACTCACATCAGTCACATTTGCATGGATCCAGGCAGCTAGAATGAGAGTCCTTCCGAGTGAGCAAAGGTGGCTCGGAAGTTCCTCTCCCAGCCACATCTACTGTCCAGCAGGTTTCCATTCCACTTGCCTTCAAGTGGAGCCCCCATGTGTGCCACTGCACGACCCACATAGCATCTGCAGAGGGCATCTTCTCAGCTATCTCCCATGTCAACGCTCTCCAGCCCATAGCAACCTGCCTCTACACAAGTCATGTGCCCATGAACTCATGCACCCATGCGCTCATGCACCATGCACCCATGCGCTCATGCACCATGCACCCATGCGCTCATGCACCATGCACCCATGCGCTCATGCACCCATGCGCTCATGCACCATGCACCGATGCGTTCATGCACCCATGCGCTCATGCACCCATGCGCTCATGCACCATGCACCCATGCGCTCATGCACCATGCACCCATGCGCTCATGCACCATGCACCCATGCGCTCATGCACCCATGCGCTCATGCACCATGCACCCATGCGCTCATGCACCATGCACCGATGCGCTCATGCACCCATGCGCTCATGCACCTTGCACCCATGCGCTCATGCACCATGCACCCATGCGCTCATGCACCATGCACCCATGCGCTCATGCACCCATGCGCTCATGCACCCATGCGCTCATGCACCTTGCACCCATGCGCTCATGCACTATGCACCAATGCGCTCATGCACCATGCACCCATGCGCTCATGCACCATGCACCCATGCGCTCATGCACCCATGCGCTCATGCACCATGAACCCATGGGCTCATGCACTATGCACCCATGCGCTCATGCACCCATGCGCTCATGCACCCATGCGCTCATGCACCTTGCACCCATGCGCTCATGCACTATGCACCAATGCGCTCATGCACCATGCACCCATGCGCTCATGCACCATGCACCCATGCGCTCATGCACCCATGCGCTCATGCACCATGAACCCATGGGCTCATGCACTATGCACCCATGCGCTCAAACACCCTTGCACCCATGCACTCATGCACCCATGCAGCCATGTGCCCATGCACCCATGCGCCCATGCACCCATGCACCAATGCGCCATGCACCCAAGCACCAAGCATGCACAATGCACCCAGGCGACCATGCGGGCATGGAGGGGCCGGGCGGGCGCGGACCTGGCGGTCGACGGCGTCGTGCGTGCAGAGGGCGTCCACCACGGCCTGCAGCGTGCGCCGGTTGCCAGCCAGCAGCGCGTGCGCGCGCTCAAATGCCGCATCGTGCAGCTGATGCCCACGCAGGTGAGGGACGGAGAACAGAAAGGTGGGAGGGAGGATGTGGTGATTGTTCAGTTTCACCTACATATGATGGTGTGAATGTTCATTTACCAAACTAAACACGGTGTGGATCAATGTTGGTCCGTTTGTGGCTCTCCACCAAGCACCTACAACATGTGCCTCCAACCAAGCACCTACAACATGCGCCTCCAACCACTTAAATGCAGTCCACGTGAGTCCCCCACCACCCTCACTTCAATGCAGTCGTGAGTCCCCCACCACCCTCACCTGCTGCACCCTTTGCTTCAGCTCCGCCTCCTGCCTTTGCCCCAACGCCAGACTCTTGCGCTGCTAACACCGGGGTGGCAGGGCAGCACCACACCGCAGAGAAGGAATGAAGGAGAGTCGGGGAAGGGGGAACGCAGTGGAGTGGAGAGAGAATGGCGAATTTGCTCAACAGAGCAGCGGAAACAGAACGGTGAGTGGCACTCAGCATGGTGGGTGGCACTCACAGAACGGTGGGTGGCACTCACAGCATGGTGGGTGGTAGTAACAGCATGGTGGGTGGCACTCACAGCATGGTGGGTGGCACTCACAGCATGGTGGGTGGCACTCACAGCATGGTGGGTGGTAGTAACAGCATGGTGGGTGGCACTCACAGCATGGTGGGTGGTAGTACTGACCGCGGTGTGGGTTTGGAAGATGAAGGGAGAGTCGTCGGGTCCCCAGCCCCACTCCATGACCATGCGCTCCGCCAGCTGATGCCACGCAGGTTTAGAACGGTGGCAGGGAGGGCAGGCGCACGGGGGGGAGAAGACAGGGCAGCACAGCACATGGGTAATCCACGTGCTACTTGTGCCACGTGCTGCATGTGCCACGTGCTGCATGTGCCACGTGCTGCATGTGCCACGTGCTGGAGAGAGAGGGGACTCTTGATTGGTGGGACACATTTCGCTTTACCAAAGCAAACCCCACTCGGGCCACACCAATACCCACGTCACACTGCTACCCTTTCCCTCTCGAATCAAGAAGCACCCTTCCAGCCGTTGCCACTTCCCCCAACTCCCCCTCCTCCCCCCGGTGCCCCCCCAGGACCCCACTCCACCCAGCCCCCTGTACCTGGTAGGCCTGCTGCAGCTGCGGGGTGGCGAGGTTGTTGGAGTGCCCCCAGGGCAGCAGCAGTGCGGCGGCGATGTGCGACCCGAAGAGCGCCACCAGGCTCTGCTCCGTGTACGCGCGGCTCACCACGCCGCCGCCGCCCGCCTCCGCACTGCCGTCCGCCCCGCCCAGCGAGCCCTCGGCGGCACGCGTGAAGCGCGTGAACCCCACGCCCTGCCACCCCCACATGCACACCGCCCACGCCGTCACGGTTGCACAATGGGGAGGGGGGGAGGCGAGGCTGATGGCTTCAAATGGCATGATAATACACGATGGTGAGTGCATGCAGTGTCGTCGTTCTCTTCTCATTAGCCATGCACACTTCCCACCTGCTTGCCCCATGCACACTTCCCACCTGCTTGCCCCATGCACACTTCCCGCCTGCTTGCCCCATGCACACTTCCCACCTGCTTGCCCCATGCACACTTCCCACCTGCTTGCCCCATGCACACTTCCCACCTGCTTGCCCCATGCACACTTCCCGCCTGCTTGCCCCATGCACACTTCCCACCTGCTTGCCCCATGCACACCTCCCACCTGCTTGCCCCATGCACACTTCCCACCTGCTTGCCCCATGCACACTTCCCGCCTGCTTGCCCCATGCACACTTCCCACCTGCTCGCCCCATGCACACCTCCCACCTGCTCGCCCCATGCACACCTCCCACCTGCTCGCCCGATGCACACCTCCCACCTGCTCGCCCATGGCATGGCAGTGCGCACCTCCCAGCTGTTGGGGTTGAGCCAGATGTTGTCGACGCGGTCAAAGCTCGGCAGCAGCGCTGCCAGCACGCCCCTCCCTGCTGCCCACACCGCATGCGGAAGCTTCTCAGCACGATCCCACTGTGACGTGAGGGCAGAGTGCGGGTGTTAGGAATACATGGAAGAGCAAGTAGGAGGGAGTAGGGAAGGTGGGGTGACAAGTGGAGCAATGAAGGGGAGGTGCGACTTGAGGCAAGAAGGGGAGGTGCCAAGTTTGGTTGCAGGCGCAATGACAAGTGGGGGAGCAGGCGCAACGACAAGTGGGGGAGCAGGCGCAGTGACAAGCGGGGGAACAGGTGCAGTGACAACCGGGAGAACAGGTGCAGTGACAACCGGGAGAACAGGTGCAGTGACAAGTGGGAGAACAGGTGCAGTGACAAGTGGGAGAACAGGTGCAGTGACAAGCGGGAGAACAGGTGCAGTGACAAGTGGGAGAACAGGTGCAGTGACAAGCGGGAGAACAGGTGCAGTGACACGGTGAGTGGAAAGAAGCGAAAGGAGCGAGGGGCAGGGCAGGAGCGAAAGGTGGCGATGCAGGGCAAGTGAGGAGGGAGGGGAGGGCAGGATGGAGGGGCACCTTGGCGGTGTCGGGGAGGGTGAGGTCCATGCCGAGGTCGGTGAGCGAGGAGAAGTCAATGTCCGGCAGCACTCGCTGCACGTCCCCCGGAGTCAGCTCCAGCCCCAGCCGCTCCACCACTCCGCTCTCCCACCGCTGCAGCACCGGCACGCGCCGCAGCAGCGCCGGCACCACCCAGTGGTACAGCTGCCAGGGCAGGGGGGCACAGCAGGTGCACGGCACAGGGGGGAGTCATGTCATGGCGTGAGCACACACACGAGCCCATCCCACATTCTCCGTATCCCTCTACACATCACCTTGACCCCCAAGATACCTGCTGAGCCGTGGTCTCACCTCCAGCATGCTGAGAGTGCCTCACCTCCAGCATGCTGAGAGTGCCTCACCTCCAGCATGCTGAGAGTGCCTCACCTCCAGCATGCTGAGAGTGCCTCACCTCCAGCATGCTGAGAGTGCCTCACCTCCAGCATGCTGAGAGTGCCTCACCTCCAGCATGCTGAGAGCGCCTCACCTCCAGCATGCTGAGAGTGCCTCACCTCCAGCATGCTGAGAGTGCCTCACCTCCAGCATGCTGAGAGTGCCTCACCTCCAGCATGCTGAGAGTGCCCGCCAGTTCGTCCTCATCTCGGAACTTGTCGGTGCCGGCGGCCAGCAGGATGCGCCGCGGCATGCCCCTCAGGTCCGTCGGCTTCAGGCCCCCCGTCTGCTCCGCCACCTGCGCTCATACATGCCATGCGTGCCGTGCATGCGGTCGCATCAGTGGGATGACATGGCCTTGGGTGGAATGACATGGCATTACATGGCATGGTGTGGTACGTCACCGTCATGAAGTATGGCATCCCATGCTTTGATATGGTATGATTCTATGTGATATTATGGCATAAGCTCTGAGCTATAAGCAAGTAGAGGCATGGAATGACATGGCATGGCATGGCATAAGATGGTATGGATGGCACGGCATGGCAGGGCAGGGAGAGGGCCTCACGAAGCGCCAGTCAACTGCGTCAACGAATCGCTGGTCCATGGAGGCGGCGGCGGCGCGGCGCAGAATCTTCTCCCTCTCGCCCGCCGTGGGCAGCGGCACCTCGATCACTCGGTCCATGCGCCCTGGCCTGCGCAGCGCTGGATCCACCTGGGGGCGGAGGGGGAGGAGAGGAGAGTGGGGGGAAAGGGGGCACAGGGAAGGGCGGGATGGGTGAGCCGACAGGGGCAGTCTTGGCTGTTGGGAGAAGGCGAGCGCAGGGAAGATGCATGTGCCATGTGCGCCCCATGTTGCCACGGGCCACACTCACGGCCCTCGTGTGGCCGCTGTACCAGCACCAGCCCCCCCGTCCTCCACCCTCCTCCACTGGCACTCACAGCTTCTCCCCTGCTCTGCTTCACTCTCACCTGCTACCTTGCTCTGAATCACTCAGCTTCTACCTTCCACTGATACACTCACAGCAGCTGGATTGTCAGTGATTGCCAGCAGCACCACGCCCTCCTGTGTCTCAAACCTGCAACCCAAGCAAAGCACGGGCAGCAAAACGAGCAGGAAGCGTGAGAGCGGTCCAAGGCGAGGCTCGAATGTCAGCATAGAGAAGAGGGGAGCGAAGCAAGGGGGGGATAGTAGGGTGCACTGGACAGCAAGTGAATGCCAGTGCAGTTCACATGAGGGTAGCACGGTGCAGAGAAGCAAAGGCGAGGGAAACAGCGAGCGCAGGAGGGCGGGAGGCGGACCCGTCGAGTTCAACGAGCAGCTGGTTGATGATGGCCTCCTTGTCCTGCAGCCGCGTGTCCATGGCCGCCCCGCGCACCCCGCCTATCTCCTCAAAGTCCTCCATCAGGATCAGCATGGGCGCCTGCCAGTGCCGGTGGCAGTGGGGCGATGAGAATCAGCATGGGCGCCTGCCAGTGGCGGTGGCAGTGGGGCGATGAGAATCAGCATGGGCGCCTGGCAGTGAGTGTAATCTTGACCACCTCACCATCTCAGCATCAAACCATCTCACCATCTCCCATGCCATCTTGACCACCTCACCACCTCACCACCTGACCCTCTCACCATCTCGCGCGCCATCTTGAAGAGCTCGCGCACGTTGGCAGCGCCCTGCCCCACGAACCCCCCCGGGTCAACATCGCTGGACTTGATGTCCACCACCGGCACCCTCGCCTCTGCCGCTATCGCCAGCGCCAAACTGCTCTTGCCCACTCCCGACCCCCCCGTTATCAGCACGCCCTGACGTGCACGTATGGTGGGGTGGCAGCAGCAGGAGGGAAGACAAAGGTGAGAGGAAGAGAGGCAAGCAGGGTTTGTACGGCACAAGGCAGCAAGACAGGGCGTGGCTCACCCGGGGCGGGCGGGCGCCGAGGCGTTGGAAGGAGGAGGGGTCGCGCAGGAAGGTGATCACCTCCTGCACCTCCTCCTTCACCGCGTCCATCCCCGCGAAATCGCTCAGCCGCACCGCCGGCCTCCGCACTCGCTGCCCACACGCACCGTGGGAGGGAGGGAGCGGAAAGGAACAGATGGGATGGGGTGAAGGTGAGAAATGAAGACATGAAAAGGAAATGGCAGTTTGAAGAGGGGGTGTGGGGAAAGACGCAAAAGAGGGCGGGCATTGCACGGAGCAAGGTGAGGGGGGGCAGTGGAGGTGCGGCGGCAGGGGGTACCTTCATGCGGTCGAAGGCCTCTCGGATGGAGTCCTTGACCTTCTTCTCCTTCTTCGCCTTCTCCTCGTCCTCCTCCTGCTTGCCCACGCGCCGCAGCAGCTCCTTCCCCAGCCGCGTCTTGTACGCCGTCTCACTCTCCGGCCCCGGTGCGCCCACCAGCAGGCGCTGCGCCAGGGCAGCGGCGGGGAGGGCGGCCCAGCGCAGGGGGAAGAGCGCCACAGCGGCCTTGGCGGGCAGCACCAGCCACCACGCCCACCTGCCCGCCATGCTGCTGCGCTTCGCGAAGCGCCTCTCCGCCGCCGCCAGCCACCCCATGCGCTCCAGTGCCACCACGTCGCCCGCCGCCGCGCCCTCCGAGTAGTCGAGCTTGAGCAGCGCCTTGAGGCCGCGCGGCATGGCGGGCCACACGAAGCGGAAGAAGGTCTCCTCTGCTGCCTCGCCCGCCGTGCCCACGTACCACTGCAGCGCCACCTGCACCGGCCCCGCTGACGACAGCGAGTGCGCCGCGTGCCCCACCACACGCGCCGGCAGCGCGTACAGCGAGGCGGGGTCCCACTCCCTCACTGGCACCCACATCACCTCCACCCGCGTCGGCACGCCCGCCGCCCGCAGGCGCAGCAGCAGCTCGTCGGTGCCGCCAGTGGCGTGGCGCCAGCTGTCCCACGCGGATAGGTCGACGAAGAAGAGGCGCGGGTCGGCCTTGAGGCGCAGCAGGGCGGCACGGCGGTCATGGCGCAGCGACACGGAGGAGAGCAGCGAGTGCGAGAGCGCCTCCCACAGCCCCGCCGCTGTCAGCTCCCACCGCCCCTCGGGGCCACCGCCCAGCAGTGGCGAGGTGACGCCCGTGTTGAGCGTGGCCTCCCCCATCACCCGGTCGCGCGCTGTCAGCACCTCCGCCTGCATGCCGGGTGACGCATGGGGAAGCACGGTATTGGGCGCACGGCAGGGAGAAAATGAGAAAGGAAGATTTGCGAGAGGGCGTGCATGCAGCTATCCGCCCATGCAGCATTCAGGAGCAACAAAGCAGCAACAAGCAGGGAGTAGCGGGCGGCACGGACCTGCTTCTCAGCTGCAAACGCCTTGGCCTTGCCTCGGCTGCTCACAATCTGCTTCTTTGCCGCTGCCCGTTGTTCCGCCGCCCACTTGTGCCACGCCAGCACCTGAGCATCCGCTGCTGCCTCCTCCGCTGCACTCAGTGCCTTCAGGCCCGCTGCCCCTTCTGGCCCTGCCTGCTCCGCCCCCTGCCCTGCATCACCACCAGCAGCAGCGGCAGTGGGGGCGGCAGGGTCTCCGCCCCCCACGGCACGTCTGAGCGATCGGAGCAGCACAGCAGGCACCCGGCCGGGGTGGTCAAGGCACTCGCGCACGTCCCTGCCCGCCACCGCCATCGCACCCCCCATCGCCGCCACTCCCTTCCCCGCTTCCCCCTCGCCGCCCTCCCCGTCCGCGCTCGCGCCCCCTGCCACCTCCCCATGCACCCTCCTCTTCGCCTCCCCCAGTGCCTCCCACATGCGCGCCAGCCGCCCCTCCGCCTGCTGCCCCGCTGCCACCACTGCCGCTGCCGCCTCGTCAGCGCGCCGCTGCGCCGCCTCCACGACCCGCCTGCACGCGCGCACACTGCCCGCCCCTTCGTCTCCCCCTGCCCCTGCCGCACCCTTCCCCTTCCTCCCCTTCGCCTTGCCCCCTGCCCGACTCCCCTTACCTGCCGCCCCTTCTTCGCTCTTCCCTGCCTCTTCCCCGCCTTCCTCCTCCCGCCCCTTGCTCTCCGCCGCTTCCCCTTCCGCGACTCTCTCCCGCGCGCGCTCCAGCGCTTCTTCTCTCTCCGCCAGCGCCATGCGCGCGCCCACCAGCTCGTCCAGCAGCCGCGCCTGCCGCGTCTCGCTCTCCCGCATGCTCCGCGCCCACTCCGCCTGGTACGCGCGCTCAACCGCGCCCACCTCCTCCGCCGTCACCGCAGCCGCCGCTGTCCTCTGGAATGCCTCCAGCCTCTCCTCCGCCCGCCGGCTCCCCGCGTCTGCCTCCCCCAACGTCCCCACGTCCCCCGCTTGTCCGCCTCCTGCTGCTTCCCACCCCCCCACAGCACTCTTGCTCCCCCGCGCTGAGGATGTTCCACCCTCCGCGCGCTTTTCCTTCCGCCGCCCCGCAGCCTTGCTGCGTGCCTCGCGCCTCCCGCTACTCGTCTCCGCCACAGTCGCCGCAGTCCCCGCGGGGGGTGCTTGCGCGAGGGCCGGCGGGCGAGTCGCGAAGGGCGCGAGGGCGAGGAGGAGAGCGAGAGCCGCGGAGGCGAGGGGGGAAGCAAGGGCCCGCGGGACGAGGACGTTGGGGAAAGCAGCAGGCGGAGATGGCGGGCCATGGGGAGCGGGCGACTCGCACTGCTCCTGCGCCTGTGAGCGTGATGGTGAAACGCCACTCGCGCTTTGCCGCTCCCAGCCCCTCTCAATGTCTGGCTCTATCGATCCGTCCGACGCTCTACTCCTCGCCCCACCATCGCCGCTATACGCGCAAAATACTCGATTTTCCCCTTTGCTGCTAATGCCGACGTAAGCCCGCCTAAACCCCCGCCTATCTGAGAATGGAGCGTGCGGGCGCGGGATGGCGCGGCCTGCGCCGGAGAGAAGCCCGCGGGCGGCGGATTCAGGCGGTGGCGCGCCGAGCAGAAAGGCGGGACGGCGAGCGAGGAGGGATTGCACGCCAGCCATGGCGGGGAGTGGACGAACAGCCCGCAAAAATGTTTTCGCAATGCACTCGAATTGAGAGGTCAATCTTTCATGCCGTCACCTCACACACCCCCTCTCCAAAAGTGCAAAACAATTGAAACAAATATGAAGACAACTTGGAGACGCGGGGTATCGATCCCCGTACCTATCGCATGCAAAGCGATCGCTCTACCATGTGAGCTACACCCCCATGAATAGCGACTTTCAAAGGCTTTATCAAATCATAAACTAAATTTTAGCTATTTCCCCTTCCGCCTTCGAGTGGCGCAAACATGGCGGCGCTGATGTACGGCTGCGATCTGTCGCACGACGAGCAATGGGGCCATCTCGCGTCCGACCCGTACCTGCGATTCACCGCCTCCTCGGTACGCCGCGCGCCCCTAGTGGGCGTGGAACGACGCAGTGCACGACAGGGCGGGTGGGGGGCGTGCCGCAGGGCGCTCGCTGCTCCGCGCAGGCCCCCTCTCGTCTCTCACCATCGTCGTCTTTCCTTCACATGCCCCCAGCCCTCGCCGGCCCTCAGCGCCCCCAGCCCTCGCCGGCCCTCAGCGCCCCCCCCTCTCCCCGCGCCTTTCATGTGTTCCCCCCGCGCCTGCCATGTGTCCCCCCCGTGCGCGCGTGTCCCCGCAGGTGCCGCGGGAGCGCAAGATCGCCAACGTGCAGAGCCTCGGCTTCGGCGCGCTCTTCGCGCCCACCCCTCCGCTCCCCGCCTCCGCCGCTTCCCCGCTCCTTTCACCCTCCGCATCCACCCTCCCATCCCCCACCTCCGCCGCCCCCGCTTCCTCCCAACCGCCCCCCGTGGTGCGCCATGCGCCGCTGCGCTGCGCCTTCTGCGGGGCGTGCGTGTGCCTCTACTCCGCCATCGCGCCCGCCACGGGCGACTGGCGTTGCGCGCTGTGCGGGCGGCCCAACATGAGCGGCGGGCACTACCTGCTGGCGGAGGGGGAGACGCTCGAGGGGTGGCCGGAGCTGGGCGCGCGCGTGGTGGACTACGTTGAGGCGGGCGGAGGGGCGCGCGGGGCGGGGGAGGGGGGGGTGGGGGGGGGCGCGTCGGAGGCGGTGCTGGGGGCGCCGGTGGTGGTGGTGGTGGACGAGGGGCTGGACGCCGCGTGCATGGGGGGAGTCAGAGCCGCGCTCACGGTGAGTGCATGGCGCACAGCACAGGACGGGTCACGATGATTCAATGGCAGCTCACTGTGACTGCAGACAACAGCCCATCCTCAATGCCTCGTCGTCCCTGCTGTTCCCCCCTCATTTCTTCCTTCCCCATGCCTTCCCCCCGCCCCCACCCCATGGCGCCCCATGGCAGGCCATGCTGCAGCACCTGCCATCCGCCACGCGCATCGCTATCATCACCTTCGGCGCGTCGCTCTCACTCTTTGACCTCTCGCCCTCCGCCTCGCCGCTGCTCGCCTCCGCCGACTGCTTCCCCGCCACACACGCGCTGCCCCCCGCCACGCTGGCCGCGCTGCTGCTGGGACGCGCGCAGCACCTCGCGCCCATCGCGGCCTGCCTGCCCTCCGCGCAGGCCGTCATCGCCTCGCTGCGCCCCTGCCGCGCCGCCACGCCGCCCCTCGCCCGCGCGCGCGCCCTGGGCCCCGCCGTGGAGCTCGCGCTCGCGCTGCTGCGCGGCCCCGCGCCCGCCCTGCCGCGCGCCCACCAGCGCCGCTGGAGCGGGGCGGCGCGCGTGGTGGTGCTGTGCGGGGGGCCGGCCACGGTGGGCGCGGGGGCGGTGGCGGAGGGCATAGAGGGCGTGGGGGAGGGCGAGGAGCGGCAGCGCGAGCAGGCGGCGCGGCGGCACTACGAGGCGCTGGGCAGGGAGGCGCGGGGCATGGGCGCCGTGGTGGACGTGTTCTCGGGGGGGCCCCTGCTCGTGCGCGTGCCCGCACTGCTGCCCCTGGCGGCGCTGTCAGGGGGCGCGCTGGTGCCGCTGGACGAGTTCAGCCCCGCCGCGTTCCCCCCGCTGCTGCTGCGCGCCCTCTCGCGCATCGTGGGCGCGGAGGGGTCGCTGGAGGTGCGCTGCTCGCCCGAGGTGGCCGTCACACGCGTGATCGGCCCTGCAGAGGCGGAGGAGGGCGGCGGGCGCAGGGGGGCGGGGGGGGAGGAGGGTTTCCCGGAGGACAGTGCAACGGCGGTGGTGCTGCTGAGTGTGGACGAGGAGGCGGCGGTGGCGGTGAGCATGGAGCTGACAGACGACCTCACCCGCCACCACGTGTTCTTCCAGTTCCTCTGCCGCTTCCGCCTCCTCAACCACGACCGTGAGTGCTGCCTGTGCCAGCCTGAGGGTGCGCCCACCACTCCTTGCCACCCTGCTGCTCGTTGTCACGGCCACGTGCTCATCTGAGCCGCACTGCACTGCTCTGCTCCTTCCTCTCTATCTGCCACGCGCCCACCCAGCCACTCAACACCCACATGCATTCGCGCTCATGCACATACGCACGCACACACCCCCATCACCCCGCAACCCCCCCTCCCCTTCCATGCAGTGGTGACGCGGGTGGTGACGGTGCGTCTACCAGTGGCGGCATCGCTACCGGCGTACCTCTCATCGGTGCACGAGCCCACAGCAGCGCTGCTCATCGCCAAGCGCACCGTGCTGGCGGCGCCCACGGCTCGCGAGGCGGGGAAGATGCGCGCGTGGGTGGACGCCCGTGCACGTGACTTGGCGCTCAAGCTGGGCGGCGTGGCACAGCACAACCGCTCCCTGCTGCAGTTCCCCCACCAGCTGCCGCGGTGAGTTGAGGGGGGGAGGGGTCACGGGCAGGTGGGGGAGGGGAGGGGAGGGTGTGCGATTGGCACAAATGCAGGGGGGCAGGTGGGAGGTAAGGAGAGGAGCGAGGAAGCAAGGGGAGGGTGTTTAGTTGCTGGGCTAATGGGCGAGCAGTGCACAGCAGAAGCCCCACCTGCCTTGGCCTTCCATTGCACATCTCACCTCCCCCCTCCACTCCGCACTTCTCCACCACCCCACCCCCGTGTGCAGGGTAGCGGAGGCGCTGTACGAGGTGAGGCGCAGCCCGGTGTTGGGGCGCCACGTGGCGGGCGAGTGGGAGCGCCAGGCCCTGCGCGCACTGCTGCTGCGCGCAGGGGGGGAGGCGGCGCTGCGCATGGTGCTGCCCTCGCTGCTCATGTTCCGCGCCGGCCACGCCACCCAGTTCGTTGAAGTGCCGCCCTCTGACCTGGCGCTGACGTCAGATGCCGCCCTGGTGCTGGACCACGGCACCGACATGCTCATCTGGCTCGTGAGTGCCACCGCCCATGATGAGTGCCGCCGCCCATCATGAGTGCCGCCGCCCATCATGAGTGCCACCGCCCATCATGAGTGCCACCGCCCGTCATGAGTGCCGCCGCCCGTCATGAGTGCCACTTCCCCCTTGTCTCCTTCCCTCCACCCACACGCACAACCTCTGACTGCCACCGCCCTTCTTCCTCAACCCCACACCATTGCGCCATCTGCACCATGCCCCCCCACCCCCCCCTCCCTCTCTCCCCCCAGGGAGCGCACCTGGCGCCGGACGAGCCCACGAGGCGCGGAGTGGAGGCGGCGTGTCGCCAGCTGGCAGCGCAGCTCATGGGCGGGCCGGGCGGCAGAGGCAGGTTCCCGGCACCACGCGTACTCTGCTTCACTGTCAGTGCCAAAGGGGGGAATGGGTTAGGAGGGGGTGCTGGGAGGTGATCTATCTGGGTGTGCTCCTTCGTGTGCTCCCCCCTGCGCTCCCTGGTGTGCTTTAACTTCTAGCCCGCATCCTCGACCTGCACTCCCCGCTCACCCCGCCCTGTGCCCGCCCTCCCCATGACGGCATGGCAGGAGGGCACGGCGGAAGCGGCCTTCATGACGGCGCGCCTCACGCCCACACACAAGGACCCCCTTGCTGTTCAGGTGTGCATGCATTCCGTGCAGGTTATTGTTTGGGTGATTTTCCCTCATCAGCCATTGGTCAGGTGAGTAGCTGAGCAGCCAAGAGAGGTGTGGGTGATGACAATGACAATGTAGGGAGGGAGCATCCGACTCTGCAGTGCTGTTGCCTCTGCTCTGCTCCTGCCCACCTCCTCACTGCGTCTCACGATCCCCACCACTCCACCCCCACTGCTTCCTGCGTTCCTCCCCTCCCTGCCCGCCAGGAGCTGCTCTTCCCACCACTGAGGGAGATGCAGGAGGAGGAGCGGGCAGCCGTGCGGGCCAAGCTGCCGCCCACCCCCGAGCCCGGCTTCACCGACTGGCTGCGCTCGCTGCGCCTCGCGCCCCCCCAACCCCCCCTCGCTGCACCCTCCTGATGCTCTCTGCATGCCTGCCTAGTAACCACTACCGTATGTATTATTTCCAATAAAGCCCTCTTGGGTCCGCTATTCTGGCTGTACATTGTTGATTAGAACAGTAACAGATGCAAGGAAGTAAGCCATATGCACGGGCGCATCGGAGCCAGCAGCAGCTTGTGGCAGGCAGGGCACCATGCATAGCAGCAGCATCAGATGTGGTCAATTGGAGCAGGGACATGTTTGTCGGAGCAGGTTCAGTCGCAACAAGCCGCTCTAACATCTCTAGTCTATTGAAATCATAATACACTAACTACCGGTATATCTAAAAGGTAACTAACTGGCTAGCCTAGTTCAAATTAAACATGAGCAAACGACTTGGTAAGTAGATCAGTAAAGCATACCGTACCGTACAATGAATTTAATGCAGCGTGCAACAAACACTTGTCAATAAGTGAAGCCTATGAGGAGAGCATCATGGGATGCGGTCGAAGGGAGTGGTGTCCTGGTAGCACACGTCCCACACCGCATCCACTGCCGCCCGCGCCCGAGCCATGCACGCCGCACTGCTGCTGCTAGACGCCTCGCTGCCACTGCAGCTTCCATTGGCGCTGCTGCCGTTGGCGGTGGTGGCGGCAGTGGTAGCGGCAGAGGGGGCCCCAGCATCAGCATCAGCATCAGCATGGGAGCAGAAGGGGTTCATGGCGACGGACAGCTGCGCCTTGCGCCGCACACACTGCTGCTTGCAGCAGCAAGAGAGGGGGAGAGCCAACAGAGAGAGAGAAAAGACGAGACAGTTAACGCTTGACGGCCCACATGGGAGATTGAGGGAGCAGGCATGAGGTGCGAGAGAGCAATCAGGTGGCTGCAACCCTCCCTCGCCTCACCGCCCCTTGCCTCACTGCCGCCCACCACCCTGGCCTTTCGACCAGAAGCACCCGCGCGTGGCAGGTGTGGCTCACCGGGTGGCAGGTGTGGCTCACCGGGTGGCAGGTGTGGCTCACCGGGTGGCCGTTGCGGAAGACAAAGTCAGACCCCCTCGTGTTGAACTCGCGGTGCATGTGGCACGCCCCACTCAGGTTGGCCGCTCGGATCTGATGCTCCATATGGGCATGCACGGCAGCACCGGGGCAGGCATGCATGGCAGGACGATATGGGCATGCAGGGTAGGACGATATGGGCATGCATGGCAGGATGACAGCACGGCACAAACATGTGCATGGCAGGCAAGTAACGAGGCAGCGAGCAGGGGAGCACCTCGCTGCAGGCGTGGTGTTGGAGATCAGGCCAGTGCAGGTTGGCAGCGCGACAGTGGTCGAGGGCGTGCACGAGCTCGTGCGCCACCACCACGTCCACCTCGTCCTGCCCCCCCACGTGGTTCGCACACACCACCACCTGCCGTTCCCCGCACCCGCATGCACCCATGCACCCACGCCGCGCACACACAGGTGTTGCATTGGTCGTCACACAGGAACACATGAGCAGGCATGGCATGGCATGGGCTGCCATAGTGACACAGCATGGCAACAAGCGGCACGGTGGCTCATCTAACGTCAACCTTGCCCCTATGCTGACACAAGTCATCATTCTCGCCTTTACCCATCCCCCCAGACCTTCGATCCTTGCTCTCCCCCTTCATCCCATTTCCCCTCTTCCCTCTTCCCCCTCCCCACTCCCTCCCAGCGCTCACCCCCTCGCCGGGCATGAAGCCTCCGCCCGCCTGCTCGTCGCATCGGCGCGCGGAAAAGAACTCATCGCTCACGGCGCACCCGGCGCGCTCCAGCGACTCGCGGAGGAATCGGACCGTCGGATCTGGACGATGGGGCGCGGGGAAACGACAGTGGGCGCGGTCGGGATGAGAGGGACTCGAAGTGCGTTTGTTGAGAGGAAAGCGAGTGGCGCGTGCGCGAGGGCATGTGCATGTGGAGATGGGGTGAGAGGCTGCAGGGAGCGGGACGAACGGGAGGTCGGAGGAAGGGCGGGCGATGGGACAGAAGGCGGCAGTGCAAAGGGTGACAGGGCGAGGGCAAGAGCGCCACAAGGTGGCAAGGGGCAAGGCGCAGGGGCGGCTGAGCGGCGACACTCAACTCCATCGCAGGCAGCGCTTCAGCATCCGCTCGCCTGCCGCCACAGAAGCATCGCTGCTACGCGTCTGATCCGCCATACGATGAAACAAGGCGAAAGAATGCTTGTCAGGATTTATTTGCGCATATGTATTAAATGAGGGTCGTGATGGCTGCAGCGCCTGTAACTCAGTGGATAGAGTGTTCGCTTCCTAAGCGAGAGGTCCAAGGTTCGACCCCTTGCTGGCGCGAGACTTTTGTTGTATTGCCGTGCTAATCTGATTATGATTGACGCCATTTAACGGATGCTGAGGCGTTTCACCAGATTAGGCAGCGCTTCACCACTGACCTTTTTTCCCAAGATTTCACTCGAGGCTGTGTCTCCTAACCTCTGCTCTGCCATTTTGAAAGCAACGCCTTCCAAGATTTCACTTCTGTCGTGTTCAGTGGACGTTCCAGAATGCCCTGAAGTGGCCCACCCACCACAGGCACGCTCTGCTGCATTGTACATTGCCATGCAGTTCTCTTCCAGCTTTGGCAGTTGAGGTCCACCCAGTTGCACGCAATGTAGTCAGGTTGTGTGGTTCATCCACTTGTGTTATAATACTGGTGTTTTAATACTGATGAAGGGCAACATCAGAATGTCAGCACTGCTACATTACATGGACACTGTTCCCGGTTCTCAACTCCTCAAGCTGTGTTCTCTGCTGGCTGAATGGCCTAGAGCGTGAGGGGCACTTGTGGCGAGTAGGGGGTGTTGGCGGCGCCGCTGCTGTTCTTGGGCTTCTCCACCACGATGGCCTGTGTCGTCAGCACCATGCCCGCCACCGATGCCGCGTTCTGCAGCGCACACCGCGTCACCTTGGCGGGGTCGATCACTCCTGCACGCATGGGAGGGGAGGGAGTGTGGAGGGCAGATGAGTGACGAGCAGCGCAGGTGCTCATGGAAGTGCAGAGAACACAACACAACAGAGCTAACAAGCAGGGAGCGGCATGGGGCAAGCTCCTAGTGGCACAGCACGAGCAGGGAGTGGCGTGGGGTAAGGGGTGAGCAGGGAGAGGAGCACGGACCGGAGGCGAGGAGGTCTTCATACTGGTCGGCCATGGCGTTGTACCCCATCTCCCACTCGCTCTCCCTCACGCGTTCCACCACCACCGCGCCCTCCACACCCGCGTTGTGGGCAATCAGTGAGCACGGTGCCAGCAGGGCGCGCTCCACGATGTCGGCTCCGATGCGCTCCTCCGCGTCCGTGAGCTGCGCCTTGAAGGCCGGCACCAGCGCTGCCAGGTGCACCATGGTGGCGCCGCCGCCCGGCACGATGCCCTCCTCGATGGCGGCGAAGGTGGCGTTCTTGGCGTCCTCAATGCGCAGCTTGCGGTCCTCCAACTCCGTCTCCGTTGCCGCCCCCACCTGCCATGCCACAAGGGGGGTGAGCGCATGGCATGCCGTGTGAGTGGCAACTGGTGTGCCCAGAAGTGGAGCGCGTGTTCCTGCAGTTCTCACGAGCTATATATCCCCAACCCCGCCACAGCACCCAGCACCCAGCAAGCAGCAGGCAGCAGGCATGGCACGCACCTTGATGACAGCCACGCCCCCAGCGAGCTTGGCAATGCGCTCCGAGAGCTTCTCCGTGTCGTAGACGCTGTCCGTCTCCTGCAGCTCGCGCTTGATCTGCGCCACGCGGGCCGCGATCTCGTCCTTGGTGGCGCTGTCAGCAATGAGCGTTGTGCTGCTGCTGCTGATGGTCACCTTCCTCGCCACTCCCAGCTGGTCCGCCGTCGCCCCCTCCACCTTGAGCCCCAGATCAGACGCCATGAACTCCGCCCCTGCAGGGAGGGGACGAGTGGATGAGGGAGCGGAGGGATGGGGCGCCAGGTGAGCACACGCACACACCCGTGCACACACACACACACACACACACACACACACACACATGGGCGAGCACGCGCGCACACACACAAGCACACCCACGCAATCACCCACACACTCACTCACTCACACACACACACACACACACACACACATGCGAACACGCTCTTGCATATGCATACACACATTTGGTTCATCTCTTATTTTCCTTCTTCAACCAGCCCATGCCCTGCCCTCCCCCACCCCCCACCTGTGACGATGGCGATGTCCTGCAGCAGCGCCTTGCGGCGTTCACCGAAGCCGGGCGCCTTGATGGCGGCGACCTGCAGCACGCCGCGCAGCTTGTTCACCACCAGTGTCGCCAGCGCCTCGCCCGACACGTCCTCCGCGATGATCAGCAGCGGCGCCGACAGCTGCGACGTGCGCTCCAGCACGGGGATGATGTCCTTGATCGCCGTGATCTGCGCCGCGCGTGCGCCCGAGGGGGAGAGGGAGGGGGGGGAGGGAGGTGGGGAGCGGGGAGTGAGTGCGTCAGCCAACAGTCGATAGTGCAACTGGGCGCTGAGCGTGCGAGTGGCGAAGAGCGCGTTGGAGTCATGGGGAGTGCGGAGCACAAGCGCGACGGGGAAGGCGGGCTACATGGTGGGGGAGGGAGATTCTTAGTGACCAGTAGACGCCGGCTGGTGCTTATTGTGTTCTTTCAGTCTCACGATTCCAACATTCTGCTTAAACCGGCAATACGAACCAATCCAACAGCAGGCGTACTGACCTTCTGGTCCGTCACGAGCACGCGCGCGTTGTCGAACTCGACGAGCATCTTCTCCGTGTTCGTCGCGAACTGTGGCGAAATGTAACCGCGGTCGATCTGCGCACCCGGGGAGAGGGAAGGGCGCGGAGGAGTTGGGGAGCAAACCGGGCGAAGGGGGATGAGTAGGTAGGACGGCATGTGAAGCGGGCGGAAGGTGGGACCCGTGGGGAGCGAATGTGCTAAGTAGGAACCGCGGAGCGGGCACACGGGCAAGAAGCAAGCGGACGGGGAAGAAGCGCAACTCACCGCCATGCCTTCCTCGACGTCGACGGTGGTTTCGAAGGACGAGGAGCTTTCGATGGAGAGCACGCCGTCCGCGCCCACCTTGTCCACCGCGTCTGCGATCATCTCGCCGATCTCGTCGTCGTTGCCCGCGCTGATCGTCGCCACCGCTGCTCGCCCAAGGGGGAGGGTACGGCACGCGCACGGTGACAGATGGGTGAAGGTGGGGAACGGGGAGGGAGAGGGTGCGAGAGATGAAGTGAGATTGGGATGCTTCGAGAGCGGCGAGTCTCGCAGACTGCCACACGCACGGCGCGTGAGAGCTGATCAGCCAGATTCGAGACTCGTGCTTTCAGAAAGGCATCGCCAGAGCCCCAAGTCTAGGGTTTTCCTGCAACCGCGCCCGCCGCACGCACCCTTAATATCGTCGCGGCCCTTGACGGGGCGCGCGCGATCCTTGAGCGACTCGACGAGGTGCGCAACGGTCTTGTCAATGCCCTTCTTGAGCGCCACGGGGTTGGCGCCCGCCGTAACGTTGAGCAGCCCCAGGTTGATCAGCGCGCGCGCCAACACGCTCGCCGTCGTCGTGCCGTCGCCCGCCGAGTCGTTCGTGCGCGAGGCCACCTGGCGGGCGGATGTGATAGTAACAGGGGATGTTTTAGCGGGGTGTGATGGGCGTGCAATTCGAGCGGCAATATGCTGCAAGGCTGCACGGCTGGCTAGGGGAAGAATGCTGAAATACAATCCCCAGAACCCTGGTTGCTTTATCCTTTACCCTAAACCTGCTATCTCCAGGCATCTCTCACCTCGCGGATGAGGGCGGCGCCGGCGTTCTCCATGGGGTCGGGCAGCTCGATGGCCCTGGCGATGGTGACGCCGTCGTTGATCACTTTGGGCGCGCCGAACTCGTCCAGCACCACATTGCGACCTGCGACCCGCACCAGGAAAACACTCTCATTGCCTCAACTCACGCGCTGCCAATACTGGCGGCTGACAGAATGGATGGTGTGACACTTGGGCGATGATGCCACCAACTGTTTCGTGTGAAACGATTGCTGATCGGACGACGATTCCTGATCACATGACACAATCCTGGTCGTGCGAGAGATCCCTGGTCATACGAGAGATTCTTGGTCGATCGAGAGATTTCTGATCGTACGAAAAATTCCTGATTGTACGAGAAATCCTGGTCGTACAAACTATCGTACGATATGTTGACAGATCGTACAGCAGATTCACTGATCGTACAGTATAATGGCTCATCGTACGATGGATTGGCTTATAATAAGGGAGATTGGCTGATCGTACGGTAGATTCGCTGATCGTACGATATGTAGGCTGATTGTACAACGGAGCGGCTGATGGGAACGTCGGCCGACAACACGACCGACGACTCGCCGTGCTCAGTTCGTGACCCGACACAACTGGTGAGCTCCTAGTGCTGGCGAGCATGGCGGCCGTGACACAGGCAAGTTGTGCTTCGCGAGCCGAGGAGCGAGCTTATCAGCGTACCTCGCGGGCCGAGCGTGACTCCCACGGCGTCCGCGAGCTTGTCAATGCCGGACTGCATGGCGGACCGCGCCGCCTGGTCGAACAGAATGTCCTTCGCCTCCGCGCGCACCCGCAGCGACCGCCGAGTGCGCGCCGTGACGGGCGAACGGGCGATAGACGCAGCCAGTTGGCGACTGCCTGGCGCTAGAGACGCCGTTTTGCTTATCTGCACGTGGAGGGAAACGGGGGGGAGGGGAGGCGGGGGGGGGGGGGGGGGGGGGGGGGGAAGAGGAGGGGGAGGGGGGGAGCAAGGGAAGAGGGGAGGGATGGGGAGGAATCGCCGTCAACGGCAATTAATAAGTGCCGCTGCATGGGAACACCACAATACATATACGCCCAAGTGCATGGTTGATGAGAGGTTGCTGTAATTGCAACAAACTACAACGTCAATCTGCAAATGCCGTTTGCTGTAATTGCATCCTTGCACGGTCGGCTACCTTCGCGGGCACTGCAGTTTGAGCTGCTGCCATGCTATGGGTCAAGCTGGACGCCATGACCGAGGTCTTCTTCGACAAGCACGATAGCAGGAACAGTCGCTCACGGAAGCGCGAAGAGACAAGTATGAGCGTCTGGCGAGGAGAGCAGTGGCGATGTTGCGATCGTGTTAGGAAAAATGAGACGTGGTGAGTGAAGCTGAGGTTGATGTGACTAGGAGCAATGGTGGGATGGGGAGGCGTAGGGAAAGGAAGAACCTCGAGTTTCAACCTAGCAGCATTCGGCCACGAGGGACGCCACGTGGAAGAAGAGTCGCTGATATTCCAGAAGGCCACTCTCAGAAGGTTCTGTTGAACCTTTCCACGCGGCAAGGTTTAGGTCAAATCTTGCCAGCGTGGTGTCCACGTTGCCATCAACCCTCCGTTAATCGCCGCCTTTCCGCCCTTTCGAGAAGATCTAATTGCTGCTCGCTAATAGCTATCACAAGCTCCAACGTAGTCACTCACTACAAGAAATGTTTGAGTCAGTTACATGCAATAAAATGTAAGACCACACTTTTCTTCCCATACGTACTTATTACAGAAAGAACATGATGGTCTCGATCAGTTTCTTGCCAAGAACTTGTAATAGATTAAGCATGCCCCGCATATCCAGTCCTTCATTTTTATTAGAAAAATATTGGTTTAGAAGTACTAATCGTGTCTTAGATAAGAAAAATCATATCCAGCACACCTTTATGTGCATTCTTTTATTTATATCCAGAAGCTAAAATAGTGACCCCCCCCCTACTATTGGGTCCACTTGAAATCTCATACTAACTTTGTAATGCTTCTTGTCGGTTTGTTTTATGTGCATTGTTTTCTTTATATGGTACTAGTTTAATTGTATGGGATTTTAGGCTCTTTAGTGAACAAATCTCAATAAGGCCCACATCCAGAAGCCCGTTTCAGTCACCTTCAACTCACACCGTAAAACCTCGAGAACGTCGCGAACGCACGTGGGCAGCAGTTGTCGCATGGAAACCCCAAAGGAGCGTCGCATGCTACTGCAGAGCCATCGCAACTTCCAGCATGTTTCACACGCGAAACCTTCGCAGCATCGACATGGCCTCCTCGCGAGTGCGGTTTTGGCAGCCCGGCCGACACGTCACTGATGCAAGCACCCAGTTCATCATGGCGGAGCGGAGGTGGTCGGCGGGAACTGTTCACATTGTGGACCTTCCGCCGTGTGCTTCCGCCTGCAGCGAGCGACCTTTTGCAGCCTTGTGTTCCGCAGTCCGTTGGGTCCCCCTGCAGTGCTTCCAGCCATAGCTCCTTGTGATCGAATATACCTCGCCGTTTTCACCACATGCTGCCATTTGTGAGGCGATAATATGCTTCAGCCTGACGGTTAGTCGGCCTTAGAGGTTGTTCTCTGAAGCCTATGGGCTCGTCCTATTGCTCCGGTGCACGAGGGAATTCGACGGTTGAGGATTCCGTAGCGAGGCTATGCAGTAGTCTGGGTGCAGGAAATGGGAAGCCTCAATCTCGGATCTTCGCAATCCCCTGCGATTAAGGATCATGACGTCGACGGCCTTGGTTCCGGCCTTTGGAATTTAGATCTTAGTCAGGAACAAACGGACAGCTCAAAGGCCAGCTTCGGATTAGACGGAGCGACTGACCTATTTGGTGCGAGGCAGGAGTCGGAATCCCGATCGGCGCCAGTGACGGCCGCTTGGATGCCTCGGCAAGGAGCGTTCTCCGTGGTGGCGCGCGTGTCAAACGCGCATGCGGAGCAGAACGGCGAGCAGCGGCAGGAATCGAACCAGCGGATGCCAGTAAGTCCGAGGAGCCTCGCCGTCACCCGTTGCTGCTTGCAGAACTTGCTTCTTTAGTGCCTGCTTGGCAAGTAGGTGTCAATGACCCAAGTCCTCCAGATTGACCACGTCAGTCAGCTGTCAATCGCCAGCCGAGTAACCATGGAGGATGGTGGACCAGTGGAGTTTCCGGGACCGTTGGAACGAGAAGCATGGTCCACACGTGCCATGAGCCCGTTTTATGAGCAATTTGTGGATTTTTTTGTAACGGATGCAAACTGCCGTCGCGACCGTTCGATGCGTGATGCTCAAACGGCTGGGACTTGCGGTGTCAGGGCGGCTGAGAAATTTCAGTCTCAATTTCTGTAGTCTGCCACGTCTAGGGCGTGTCGTGACTCTGGCAATCCTCTCGGCCGAGGGCGCGTCATGACCATCGCATCCAGCCCTAGACATCCTTCCGCTCACTTACCTCAATGTCGCCTCCAGCTCTTACACCAGCACTGGTCGCATCGTCACTGCTCTAGTCCACCGTTTTAGCCATTAGTGGCAATATGAACCGTTTGTTCTTCTCACTGCACGCCTGGACATTCCTTTCCCCCTCGTCGTGCTTGCCTCTCCTCACGTTCGTGATTCCCGCGCCAATCTGCTTGTTACTTCTCTGACGCTTTCCGTTTTCTTGACAATGCTCCCCTGTGTTTTCTTCTCTCCTTCCATCCTGTGCATTCCGCCCCTCATTCTCCCACCCCCCCCCCCCCACGCTGTGCCCCCCCGTGCCAGCTGGTGGTGCGGATGACGGCGGGGCTCAAGCACACCTACTCCGCCTGCAACGACGCCTCGCGCGCACACATCGCCGCCCACCATCCCTCCTCAAACCCCGCGCCCGCCGTTCCTGACCAACCCGCGGCTCGCGAGTATGGCTCGCCGGAGGGCGGAGCAGGTGACGGCGAGCGGGCGGCGCGCGTGGTGCTGACGAAGCCGTCGGAGGCGGCGGGGAACGAGGGGTGGGACAACGCCAACTCCGACCTCATCCTCTCCACGGGCCTCGTGCTGCACGGCGATCCCGGCACCCCCAGGTGACGCCTCGTGCTGCACGGCGATCCCGGCACCCCCAGGTGACGCCTCGTGCTGCACGGCGACCCCGGCACCCCCAGGTGACCCCCGCACTTGGCTACACGGCGCTGCCCACCGCGTTACCCGCACGCACATGTGCGCTGCAGGCTGCTCCGCGACCCCCATGCGCCCTTCACTCGCCTCCCGCAACCTTCACCCAGGCATTGGTCCCAATCTCAAACTCATTCTCATTCGGTTTAGACACTTGGAGGGGCCACGCACGATCTTGACGGCAGCGAGGTGTGCTCCAGGACACGCTCGTCCTCATCGCTTGCTCATCCCCCCCTTCCCTCCCCCGTCTCGCGGGTTCCGCGCAGCTACGTGGTGCGGGACGTGTTGGGGCAGGGCACGTTCGGGCAGGTGGTGAAGTGCGAGTGCGGGGAGACGGGCGAGGTGGTGGCGGTGAAGGTCATCAAGAATCAGCCCGCCTACTACCACCAGGCGCTCGTCGAGATCAGCATCCTCCGCCTCGTGAGGCCCCTTTGCTCTGCCACACCGCACACTGTTGAGACTGTCATTGCTGGGCATGTGGGACTGCTCTGCTAGCTGTGCCACCGTGCATTGCGCTCACTGGCGGGTGACACGCTATTGCATTGCAACTTCTGCTTCACACACCCCATCCCTGTTCCTCATTCTGCTGCCCTCCCCTTCCCCCTCCTTTCTCCCCTTCCTCTGTGCTGGGAGCAGTTGAACGGGTCGTTTGACCCGCAGGACGAGCACCACATAGTGCGACTGGTGGACCACTTCGTGTGCCACAGCCACCTCTGCATCGTCTTCGAACTCCTCACCTACAACCTGTCAGTCACCTGCCCGACCCCTTTCCCTCTCCCTCGCCCCCACCCTCGTGCACACGCCCACCACACCCCTGCCACGCGCGCGGGCTCTTCGTCCCATAGCAGTATGCGTTGTAGCACTGCATTGCGTAGCTCTCCCTCGCTCACCTTTGCGTGTTCCATGCTGTGTGCAGCTTCGAGCTCATCCGCCAGAACCAGTTCCGCGGCCTCTCTCTCAAGCTCGTGCGCCTCTTCACCAAACAGGTGCGCCTCTTCACCAAACAGGTGCGCCTCTTCACCAAGCAGGTGCGCCTCTTCACCAAGCAGGTGTGCTGCCACCCTCCCTGCACATCACACCGCCCTTCGTGATTGACTACACATTACTCACACCTTGGTTGTCAACACGCCTCCCGCTTCTGAGTACCTCCTCCATGTTGCCTCTTCCTCCCGCCTTCCTCTCCGCGTCTTCCCTTCTCATCCTCTCTGCTGCCACCCTCTTCTCCCCCGCCCTGCCCCTGCCTCCTGCCACGCCATCCCCCACGGGGGTGCAGCTGCTGGTGGCGCTGACGGTGTTGGAGGATGCGCGCGTCATACACTGCGACCTCAAGCCCGAAAACATCCTCCTCAAAAGGTACGCCCCGCACCCCAAGCTTTGCTCTTTTGGCTCATCATTCACTGTCATCGACGCCCGCCCCCCTCACCGTCGCTTATGCCCTCCCCCCCCCCCCTGCTCCGCATCTCCTGCTCACCTGCCCCATGCTCACCCCAGCTTGGGCGGCGAGATCAAGCTCATCGACTTTGGCTCTGCCTGCACTGAGAATCGAACTGTGTACTCTTACATCCAGGTGCACCCCGGGCCCACTCCCACATGCATGCACCCCACCACCATAAGCTATGCTGCATGTACGAACAACCACTGATTTCTGCCCTCCTGCTCTGACTGTTTCAGGCCGCGTGTCTGCACTCGCCGCACGCCCCTCCCATGCCCCCTCACCTCTCCCCGGCCTCTGCGACCCCATGTGCCCCCCCCTCCCCACCTTCTCCTCTCCCCCACCAGAGTCGGTTCTACCGGTCGCCGGAGGTGGTGTTGGGGCACGCGTACGGCACGGCCATTGATCTGTGGTCGCTGGGCTGTGTGGCGGCGGAGCTCTTCCTCGGCCTGCCGCTCTTCCCTGGCGCCTCCGAGTTTGACATGCTGCACCGCATGGTCGAAACCATGGGGTCCGTCACCACTCTGCACACACTGACTCCTTCTGCTGTCCCTGCTGCCTTCAACCATGCTCCTCTGCATGAAACGTCCTCTATATTTATTGATCCCTACTTTCTTTTCCCGATAGTAGTATTCCACGCTCTCATTTCTTCCCCTCCCGCGTTTCTTCACCTTTCCTGCTCCCTCGCTGTGCCATGCAGCTGCCAGCCGCCCGATGCCATGTTGAGGCGTGCCAAGCACACGGCCAAGTACTTTGTGCGCACAGCAGACGCGGGGGGTGGGGGGGAGGATGGGCGCGGTTCAGCGTACCGCCTGAAGACGGTGGAGGAGGTGGTGGCGGGGGGGGAGGCGCGCCCGGCGCTGGGGAAGAGGTACTTTCGGCAGACGGCACTCAGCGACCTCGTGCTGGGCTATGCGCTGCGCCGCGGGGAAGGGGCGGAGGAGGCGCGGCAGGAGCGGGCAAGCCGAGTGGCGTTTGTGGACTTTCTCTCGGGCCTGCTCCACATGGACCCCGCCCAGCGCTGGACCGCCCGCCAGGTCTCCGACCCCCGCAACCCCGCCTCCATGCGCTTTGCTGGCCTCTTTGCTTGCCTCGCCTCCCTGCTCTCTCTCTTCTGCTCCCGTTTCCTCCTCTCTCCCTCTTTCTCAAAGTATCACCTCCTCTCTACCCCACATCGATCCCTCCGTGGCCCGTTGCAACTGGCAGGCGGCACAGCACCCATTTATCACGGACGAGCCATGGATGGGGCCCTTCCAGCCACAGCGCCAGGTGAGCTCACCTCTGCCTTCCGCACCTCACTCCTCCCGCTGCTCTGCAATCGCTCTGCTTGACTGCGTCATGCAACTCACTCCCGTGGTCAACACGTGCATCCCCCCATGCGTCTCATCCCCGCTTCAACCCGCCCCGCAGCAGCAGCAGGTGGACGCCACCGAGGCCGCTCAGCTGCAGCCGCTGCACAGGGAGGGTGCCTCGCGCCTCGCGCAGCAGCAGCAGCAGCATGCGCGTGTGCTGCAGCACAGGCAGTCGCTAGGAGCTCAGGAAGCAGGGCGGGGAGGGGCGTTGGAGGGGGGCATAATGGCAGGCAGCCTGGGCGGGGCAGCGGGCGTGGGAGCAGCACTGCCGCCCGCCATGGCTCTGTCTGGACCTGCTCCTGCTGCCATGCCCGCCGCCCTTGCTCCTGCTGCTCTGGCCATGGGTGCAGGCATGGGGCCAGGCATGGGAGCAGCAGGCATGGGCGAAGGCGGATATGCGAGCATGGGGGGGTATGGCGTGCCCCTCGGGCTGCCCCACAACTACGGCCCTCTGGGCGCCAGTGTGGGCTCCTATGGCAGCCTTGGCAACAGCTTTGGCGCCATGGGGGGTTTGGGAGGCATGGGGAGTGTGGGGGGCATGGGGGGCGTGGCGGGCATGGGAGGGATGGGAGGGATGGGGGGCGTGGGGAGTCTGGGAGGGGTGGGCAGTCTGACAGACCCCACAGGCTCCTACATGGCGTATGCTGCGCACCTTGCTGCGGCAGGGCAGGGGGCGGACTTGGGGTCAGGGTCGTTTGGAGCAGCGGCAGGAGCAGCAGGTGCGGGAGGTGGTGGAGGGCTGGGGTTAGGATTAGGGTTAGGGTTTGGGCAGAGCCCGGACACACGGCAGCTGCTGCCTGCGCTGGCCAGCATGAATCAAGCAGCGCAGCAGTGGCAGATGGGCCAGCTGGGGCAGGCCGGGCTGGCGAATCAGGCAGGTCAGGTGAATCAGCTGAGTCAAGCAAGTCAATCGAGTCTCATGAGTCAGATGCCGTCCAGCCCTCTGGGTCCCGGGAGGGGCTCGTTGCAGCAGTACCAGCAGCAGCACCTGCAGCAGCAGTTTCAGCAGCAGTTTCAACTGCAATTGCAGCAGCAGCAGCAGCAGCAGCAGCAGCAGCAGCAGTATCAACAGCTGCAGAGGCTGCATCAACAGCAGCAGATGCAGCAGATGCAGCACCAGCAGCAGCACCAGCAGCACCAGCAGCACCAGCAGCAGCAGCACCAGCAGCACCAGCAGCAGCACCAGCAGCACCAGCAGCAGCAGCAGCAGCAGTCATCGCAGCAAAAGCGGTCGTCCCTGCATGAGCAGCTGCAGAGTTCTCATTCCCTGCAGCCCTCGTCTGCATCCCTGCTCTCCGCCCAGTTTCGTTCACAACAGGTGGCAGACGGCAGCACAGGCATGGGCATTGGCACGGGAGTGGGAATGGACATGAGCATGAGCATCCCCGCAGCTGCCACCCTTGCAGCCCCCGGCGCCGTATCTGCTGGCGGCAGGCAGCAGGAGAGGCGGGGCAGTGGTGGGGGGGTGTGGCAGGGCATGGGGAATGAGGGTGCGTATGTGCCCTTGGGGCAAAGCCCTGGCGGGCCTTTCCTGGACGGGGCAGGGCGAGGGGGAGGGGGGTACTGGGGGGGGAGGGACGGCGAAGTGGCAGTGAGCAGCAACTCGCTGCTGGGAGCCAGTCCGTTGCAGTTCACCCCTCCCTCCCACTCGCGCCACTTCCCATCCTCCCACTCGCACCAGCACCAACTCCAACAGCAGCAGGGTGGGCGGCAGGGACACCTGCAAGTGCGTGTGAGTGAGCCCACAACGCCCTCCTCCCCCACCACCTCCTCGCCTCACTTCTCCCCGTCGTCGCTCCACCCTGACTTCTCCTCCCCGCTGGCCCGAGGGTCAGTGGGGCAGGCGTCCTCTCTGGGCCCCAGCGGCAGCACCCACCCTACCAGCCACAATCCGGGCGCAGGGCTGCCCTCCCCCGCTGCTAGAGGGCTGGCGGGTGCAGGGGCAGGGGGGATGGGGTTGAGTGTTGGCAGGGGCGGAGCGGAAGGGGGGATTGCACTGGAGAAGGCGGCTGTGATGGGACAGTTCCAGAGGCGGCAGAGTGAGGTGATGCGGTTGATGGCCATCATGCAGCAGCAACAGGAGCAGGAACAACTGCAACTGCAACAGCACCTGCAGCTGCAGCAGCAGCAGCAGCAACAGCACCAGCACCAGCACCAGCACCAGCAGCAGCAGCAGCAGCAGCAGCAGCAGCAGCAGCAGCAGCAGCAGCAGCAGCAGCAGCAGCAGCAGCAGCAGCAGCAGCAGCAGCAGCAGCAGCAGCAACAGCAACAGCAACAGCAGCAGCAGCAGCAGCAACAACAACAACAGCAGCAACAGCAACAGCAATTGGAGCAGCAACAGCAGCAACAACAGCAGCAGCAGCAACTGCAGCTACAACAAGAAACGGAAGAGTTGAAGCAGAGACAGGTGCAGCAGGAGCAGCGTAAGGGGCAGCGGGGAGGGATGGCAAGGGTGGAGCACGGGGCAAGAGAGGCCGCGAGTGAAGGTGCTGGCGACAGCAGGAGCGGCAAGGGGGGTGGGCACGGTGCAGAGAGTAGCAGCAGGCAGCATGGCGTGCATGCAGGGAGGCAGGCGCTTGCAGGGCAGGGGGATATAGTGGGGGAGGGCCGTGCCCGTGTGAGCATGCAGGGGGGTGCACAGCTGCCAGAATCTTGGGAGGCAGCTGCTGGTGGTGCTGGTGGTGGTGAGGGTGGTGGTGGTGGCGAGGGTATAGCTGGTGTGAGCCTGGGGCTGGGGCTGGGGCTGGGCTCGCACTACAGCAGCAATGACAGGAGCCAGGAGAGCGGGCGCACAGCAACAGGTGCGGCGAGTGATGCACACGAGGGGAGAAGGGGCGAAGGGGAGGGAGGGGGGGGAGGAGGAGCGGGGTGGGAGAGGGGAAAGAGCAGTTCAGCAGGCGAGGGGGATGGGCCTGCGGAGTGGGACCCGTACTTCTGTGATGATCTGCTGCTGCACCCCCCCCAACCCCACTCCCACCCCCACCAGCCACCCTCCACTGCTGCCACCACTGCTGCTGGTGGTGGTAGTGGGAGTGGGGTCATGGCGGGTGGGGGAGTAGGTGGCAAGGGGTGGTGGGGGGAGCAGGAGGGTGGGGGGACGGATGAGGGGCAGGGGACAGGAGGCGTGGGTGGGGTTGCGTGGCAGGTGAGAGGCAGTGGGCATGGCAGTGGACCCAGCTCTATGGAGGGAAACACTCACGTGGGCTCGCATGGGTATGTGGGCTCGCATGGGCATGTGGGGTCACACGGGCATGCGGGGCACACCATTGCCCCCCCTGCTGCCTGGAGCCCTCTCAACGCTGTCTATATGCAACCTGCACCCACCACGGATGCTGCTGTTCCTGCCGCTGCGGCAGCGGGTGTGTTGTCAGCTGCTGCTGCGCCTGGAGGGCATGGCGGGGCGGCAGCTGGGCGGGGCAGTGGCGGGTCGCTGGGAGCTATGGACTGCTCGCCTCTTGCTGCTGCTGGCGCCTTCATGTGGTGAGTGGGGCAGGGAGTGCCAACGCCACGTTATGCCACTTCCTCTGCACCATGCCCATGTGCTTGTCTCCATGGCATGAGCATGGCACTGTTTCCCATGCCTTGTGTTCCGATGCTCTATGTTCTCCCTGCCCTGTGCCACCCCTCCCACGTGCAGGTCTCGCCCCTCTGCCACGGCCAGTGGCTCGTCCGCCCCACACCACTACCGCGCTGTCACTGACCACCCACACGCCCCGCTCGCCCTGCCACACCACACCGCTGCCGCTGCTGCTGCTGGCGGTGCAGGCGCTACACACAGTGAGCGATGGCGAGGAGGGGAGGATGAGGGGGATAGCAGCGCAGAGGGATTGGCGGGAATAGATGGAGAGGTGGAGAGCGGTGCGGAGCCCATGGGCATATCTCCGGTGCAGGCAGGGCAGCTGGGCCACTGGTCTGCCGCTGCTGCCGCCGCTGCTGCTGCTGCCGTGGCAGGCCAGCAGGGGGGAGGCGGGTGGGGTGGTGGCAGGGCAGGGGGGGCTGCAGCAGGGGTGGGGGCAGGAGGGGGAGCACCAGAGACGGGGGTGGGGGGAGGGGTGGGGAGAGGGGTGACCAGTGGGATGGGAGTGGTGGGGGCGGTGGGGGTGAGTGTGGGGATGGGGAGGGGGTATGGGGGAGGGAGGGGGAATGTCAGAGAGGGGGGCCGTCAGGGCAGAGGCATGGGAGGAGGCATGGGGTTGGCAGAGGTGGCATGGCTTGGGTAGCATGTGCACTCTATGACGCCTGCTGCCTGCTCCCTGGAGCACTCTGGGTTCTGTCTACACGCACGCACATGCACACAAGTTGCCATGCTATCAGCTGTACAAGACATGTGGCTTACAGCTAGCAAGTGGGTACGCACAATCTCACGAGATTGGTTCGCACAGTTTACAGTGCTTTGTTCAGCACCTGCTGCTATGTGTGCATCTACACTGCGTTTTCTTACTCATCACAAGGGGTTTCTGATTTTCTCCTTTCAGGAGTGCAATTAGATGGAAAAGTGGAATGGAAATTGAAATCTTGTTTTAACTATTCTGAGTTAAACTGTTGCGAAGTATGGCATGTAATAACTCGGGCTACACCGCGAGGCTGTGTTCATTTGAGCTGTGCGGTATGACAGGGCGACTATGTCGCGGTGCCCTCGCCTTTCAACACAGACAGCTATTTGAAACTCAGAAGCCACGCAAAGGGTGTCTCGTAAGCGCGTGGCAGAGCGCGTCGCAAGGCGCTTAAGATTTCTTTGAGGCGGCCCGTACGCCAACATTGTTACCAGCAGCGGCATGATCGGTCACGCCTAGAATTGATCCTCTCATTCCTCTCGCTAAACGGACACCTCACCTCCCTGCTCGCGCCTGCGTCGATTCGCCGTCATTCCTTGCGACCCGCCTTCTTCCTTTCGTCGCTCGCCTACCTCTGCATCCCCCCCCTTGCGTCTCCCTAAACCCTACACCCGGAACCTTGTCCCAACCCGGAACCTCGCCTCATTTCCCTTGTCTACACCCCTTGCCGCTCCCCGCGTCTATCTCGGGCCGCTATGCCTGCGCTTCCGCCCACCCTGGCGGCAGCCGCGCCGGTGGCATGGGGCGGCGGCAGTCTGGTGGATGGGCGCGCGGCGTTCAGCGCGGACGGCCAGCGCCTGCTCTGCCCGTGCGGGGCCGTCGTCCGCGTCTTCGCGCTCGCCTCCGCCACCCAGGTGCGCATCCCGCCGCCCAGGTGCGCATCCCGCTCCGAGGTGCTCTCCCCGCGCTCGAGGTGCGCCCCGTGCATGCGGCGCAATAAACCCCGAACTCGCGCAGTTGACTCGCCCCCGTGCGTCCGAAGCAGTCCTCACAGCCGTTCCGATGCCGCATGCTCGTTCCGCACCCCCTCGCCTCAACCCCTCAACCCCCCGTCCCCCCAACCCCTCCTCCACCCCCCCCGGCAGGTGGCGGTGCTGCAGGGCCACACGGCGCTCGTCACGTGCGTCTCCACCTCCGCCGTCGCCCGCTCGCCCGCCGCATCCGCCGCTGCCGCTCGCGGCGCTGATGACGACGATGACCACATGGGGATCAACCCCCCTGCTGACGTGTCAGCTCCAGACTCTGCCACGTCATCGATGGTGTACGCGTGGAGCGGGTCGCTGGACGGAACGATGCGGCTGTGGAACTTTGTAACGGGGGCCTCGCTAAGAGTGCTGCACCTGGGCCGACCAATCAGAGACCTTGTGAGCGACTTTCACTCTCTGGATCGCACCATACACCCACCCACGCCTGGGATCCGATTCGCACCTCCTTCCCCGCGCCACCGCCACCAATCCTCCTCCCCACTACCCTCCTCGCTTCCCTGCGTACCCTCTCTCTGCACTCGTCTCCTTTCCCCTTCACTCTCCCTCTCCTCCCCCCCACTAACCACAACGCCATGAGCAGGTGATGTATCCGTATGCGAGCACGGAGATGGTGGAGGGGGCGGGCGGGCGCGAGGAGGAGAGGGCGGTGGCGCCGGTGGCGTTGGTGGTGGTGAGCAACGAGCAGCGCGGCTGCGACCTGCTGCACTACGACGTTTTCCAAGACCGCTGCCTCAGAACGCTCTTCCACCAGGTCGCTCCTCCACCAGGTCGTTCCTCCACCAGGTCGCTCCTCCACCAGGTCGCTCCTCCACCAGGCCGTTCCTCCACCAGGTCGCTCCTCCACCAGGTCGCTCCTCCACCAGGTCGCTCCTCCACCAGGTCGCTCCTTCACCAGGTCGCTCCTCCACCAGGTCGCTCCTCCACCAGGTCGCTCCTCCACCAGGTCGCTCCTCCACCAGGTCGCTCCTCCACCAGGTCGCAACCTGCTCCTCGCCTGTGCGCGCCCGTCTCTTGCACGCTTTGCATGCCATGCTGCCGTGCGCCCCACTCACGCCACTTCGCCCCTCTCCCCATCAACTCAACCCGCCCTGCCTGCCCCTGCTCCTCTCCCACTCTCTTCCCTTTTCCTTCCCCCCACCTCTTCCCCCTTCCTCTCCCCCTCCGTGCAGCTGCTCGTGTCCTCCCCGCTGGCCATCAGCCCAGCGACGGGGCGCCTGCTGGCGGTGGCGTCGGGGAGGAAGGTGTTCGTGGCGCACTGCACGCGCCCCGCGCACCACGCGCGCCTGCACCTGCACCACCGCCGCGCGCTCACATGCGTCGCCATCCACCCCGATGACCAGCAGGTGCGCCGCCCCATTCCCCCCATGCGCGCTCTCCCCCCAATGCCCCCATGCCCCCGCTGTTGCTCATGCCATTCGTGCCCCTCATGATGCTCCTGCTGCCCCTCATGATGCTCCTGCTGCCCCTCATGATGCTCCTGCTGCCCCTGCTGCTGTTCCTTCATTCCTCTCACGCTCGTCTTTCCCACGTGCCCCTCACATGAGCCACCTCCCACGTGCCCCGTCTCTCTCCCGCCCCGCGTGCGTGCAGGTGGCAGCGGGCGACGTGTTGGGGCGCGTGGTGGTGTGGCATGGCATCGGCCGCCGCTCCGGCTGGGCGTGGGGGGAAGGCCGGGCCAGGGGCGCGCCAGCTGGCGGACGCGCAGGGCGAGAGGGCGGGTGGAGGGGGGGAAGAGGTCGGGGAGGGGGGAGAGGTGGGCAGGGAGGGGGCGGGGGCAGGTGGGGCGCCGGGAGAGGGGGAGGAGCAGCAGGAGCAGGAGAAGGGGAGGAGGGTGAGGGCGAGGAGGAGGGAGAGGGGCGGAGGGGAGCGGAGGGGGAGGAGGACTGTGAGGCGGTGTCATCGCTGCACTGGCACGCCTCCGCCGTGGCGGATCTCGCCTTCTCCCCTGACGGGGTGCACCTGGTGTCCATAGGCGCCGAGGCCGTGGCGCTCGTCTGGCAGCTGCAGTCCGGCGCGCGCCGCTTCCTCCCCCGCATGCCCGCCGCCCTGCTTCGCCTCGTGCTCCCGCCCTCCCTGCTCCCCCCGCTGCCTCCCCCCAACCCCTCCACACCCACTGCAGCAGCAGCAGCAGGGGGGGCAGGGGGAGCGCGGTCGCTGGTGGCACCGTTGGCAGCACCGGAGGCGTTGCGGTTTGGGATGCAGTGTGCGGACAACAGCGTGCGAGTGGTGGACCTCAGCGAGTCGTCCCTCATCGCCTCCATCCGCGGCATCGCCCCCCCGCCCCCCACACGCCCCCTCCCCGCGCGCCACTTCATCCTCCCCCCACTCGACCCCTTTAAATCCCCCCTCGGCCCCCTCCCCTCCTCCGCCTCTGCCACCTCCTCCTCCCTCTCCAACTGCCTCCCGGCTGACGTGGCGCGCCAGCTGGCGGTTGAGCTGGCAGTGACGGGCGGCGGTGCCCCGTCAGCAGTGGTGCAGAGTGTGAGGGGCGGGAGTGCGCGGCTGGTGGTGGTGGGGCCACTGGGGCTGGTGCAGGTGTACGAGGTGGGGAGGCAGCAGGTGGTGGCGGCGGTGCAGCTGATGCGCATCAACGTGGTCTCCTCCGCTGAGGCCCGCTTCAAGCGCGCCCTGAAGCTGCACGACATGCAGCAGCGCGACCAGGCCGTGCGCCTGCTGCAGGGCGGGCAAGGCAAAGCTCAGCAGCCGCAGCCACAGCAGCAGGGGCCGAAACCCCCGCCAATCTGGGTGAGCCACGTGTGCTTCTCCCCTGACGGCCACACGCTGGTCACTGTTGAGATCCGCCAGCCGGAAGATCTGGCCGGCCAGCAGTCCACCCTCAAGTTCTGGGCGGCACCGTTCGGCGGCACTCAGGGCGTGAGGCAGGGCAGTGGCAAGGGAGGCAAGGGCGGCAAGGAGGGGCTGACGGCGCTGACGACGGCGGTGGATGCGCCGCACGGGGCGGCGGGGCTGGTGACCGGCGTGCACGTGCGGGCGGGCGGCGACATGGTGGTCACGTGCGGCACGGACGGTGAATTCCGCACTTGGACCCGCGTGTGGGGCGAGGGGGAGGACGAAGGGGGGGAGGAGGGAGAGAGGAAGGGTGCCAAGCAGGGGCGTGGGGGAGTGAAAGGGGGCGGGGGGCGAGGGAGAGGAGGCGTGCAGGGGTCAGGGCAAGCAAAGACGGCGCGGGAGCGCATGGAGGAGCGGGAGGTGGGCATCGCACCGCTGACCTTCTGCTGGCGCTGCCGTGGGGTGGGCAGCTACGCCTCGCAGCCCCTCCTTGCAGCGAGCTTCTCCTGGGAGGGTTCTCTGCTGGCCGTGGCCGCCCTGCACCGCGTCACTCTGTGGGACCCCGACCGCCACGCGCTGCTGGCCGTGCTGCACTGCGCGCCCTCTCTCAGCCCCCTGCAGGCAGGCCTGCCGTGGCACCAGCCCGTCACCGCGCTCGCCTTCCTGCCCCACTCCCCCTTCCTCCTTGCTGTCTCCGGCGCCCTCGCCCCCTCGGGGACCTACTTTACGCCGCCAGGCTCAACCGCTGCCCCCTACGCGGCTCTGTCCGTGTGGAGTCTGCTCTCTCTCTCCCTCGCCTGGTGCCTCCACCTCCGTGTGCTCTCCCTCGCCACCCACCCCTCTGCACCGCTCTTCGCCGTCATCGTTGCTGCTCCCACCGCTGGTGGCGGTGGTGGGAGGGGCGGCGACACAGGGCAGGGCGGTGGCGTGGAGAAGGACGAGGAAGGGGGGGAGGGTGAGGAGGAGGAGCACGGGGAGGAGGTGGGACCGAAGGAAGGTAGTGTTGGGAGGAGTGGGTGGGCGAGGAGGAGTGCAGGCGAAGGCGGGGCGGTGAAGGGGGCAGTGCTGGTGTTTGAGGGCGGGGAGAGCCCTGTGCCCATCGCAGCGTGGGAGATGGCTGATGTCACTGCCGCCACTGTCGCCTTCCTGCCACCCTCCTCCGCACCTGCCGGCAGCAGCAGCAGCAGCAGCAAGGAAGGGACAGCGCAGTGGTCCATCGTGGTGGTGAGCGGTGGCAGGGAGTATGCGGTGCTGAATGGGGAGGAGAGCCGGCCTGCGCCAGATGCAGCGGGTCGGGACGTGGAGCTGTCAAATGGTGCTGCTGCTGGCATGGCGGACGGTCAAGGTGAGTGAGAAAGCTGCCCCTGGCCCCACCCCTCCCTCCCTCTGTCCATCCACTCTACTCATCAACCCCTCCTCAAGAATGTCTATTGCCCCTGCTGTCATCTTGCCTTCTCCAAATTCATTGACTTGCTTCCATTCTCTTCATTTCTCTTGCCTGTGGCAGCTCTTTCGGCCTTTGAAAGCATCTATGGAGCAGCAACCACCGCAGCGGCCGTGGCAGCAGCGGCAGGGGGTTTGTCGGACAAGGGTAGAGCGGCGGGTGAAGGGAGGGGGCAAGGGGAGATGGAGGCGGTGGAGGGGCGGCCGTGGGGCAGCCTGCTGTCAGCGCCGTCACACGTGCTGCCATCGCTGTCCAGGGTGTACCCGCAGTTCATGCAAGCCATGCTGGACCAGCTCTCACTGCATTGATGTGCCCACCCACCTGGATTACCAGCAGAGAGCCTGCATGCCAAAAAATTGCAAAAGTACCATTAAGAAAAAATTGGTGTTCTTATACACGTGCGAGGGAACCAAATATAGGGAGGTTGTACAAGGGGGAATAGTAGTTAACAATGCTGTGTTGTTTTTTTAACAAGTTTTCAGACTTGGCACAATGTTGGTTCCCTAAAGCAATCATCTACGTGAAAATCCAACACGTTGGGTTTCCCTAGCGAGGAAGTCACGAAATGGGTTTCCTTGGGATTGTCGAGCACAATTCTTGGTTTGACCCTTGCCTATCATTCTTCCCAGGAACCACCAAATCGCGGGGTGCGAGCTTCAAGGCTGGGTTGAATATTCTCGTCTGTCTCTATTTAACGTTTATTTCTACCGTGTAGGGACTTTATAGAAGGAGCTTGTTGGCACATCATTTAAACTTTCCGCTTCGTGTAAATCTCCGCTTGTTCTCCTGTTTTCCGCGCGCGCGGATGGAGCTGAGCGCGGAAGACATTGCGATGGAGGAGGCGGAGGAGGCGGAGGAGGTGGGGGAGTGGGAGGAGTGGCAGGAGGACGAGGAGGAGGCGGACGACCCCGCGCTCTGCTTCTTCTGCCCCCGCCAGGCGAGTGCAATCGGACGGGCCACACCGCATTTACATGCTTAACCAGCGCCACGTCACGACGCTGCAGCGAACGGGGTTGGGGAAGGCGGGGAGGAAAGCAGTGGAATCAGGGGAGAGGAAGGTGGAGGGTTAAGGGGATATGGGGGGTTCAGGGGCCGCTGGCGTTGATTATTTGAAGGATTTGAGAGTATTATTTAGTGGTGAGCAACCTTTGTTGAGAAGTCGTTCAAGTTGTGGTTGACGTGTTGGTCCCTCTGCCTGCACTGCAATCCCGTGCAGCTGTCCAACGTGGCGGGCATGCTGCAGCACTGCCGCGCGGAGCATGGCGGGTTCGACTTGAAGCAATTGCGAGCAGCGCAGAAGTGGGACGAGTATCAGTGCATCCGCGCTGTCAACTTCATCCGTACCCACGTGAGTTGCTGAGCCTTCAAGCATTTTTCGAGTGTAGAGACCCAGGTATCATCCTCTCACGCGTGTCACTCGTTTCCCCCAGCGTCACAACAACACCTTTCAATGCGAGTGTGAAGCGACAAGTGGACTCTCTTCCTGCGCCCTTCCTCTCCCCCCAACCCCTCCCCCGCGCCCCCAGGTGGCGGCCCATCGCTGCATCCACTGCCTACAGTCCTTCCCCTCCCCACCTGACCTCATTCAACACATGGAAGCTTTGCAGCACTTTCTCCTCCCTCCTCTCCCGCTCTCCACCCCGCCCGAGCCCTCCGCCCCGGCCCCTTGGGGAGACGACGCATACCTCAGAAGCTTCCTGGAAGGCGACCCTGTGCTGTACAGCTTGGATGATGACGACGAGGAGGGCAGCAGCGAGGGGGGCGCCAAGGGGGGCAGCGCTGATGCTGCTGGCGGAGGGGGTGCGCGCGAGGCCAGTGCTGTGGTGGACGTTACCGGGTTACCACTCACTGCAGCGGCGGCAGGGGCGGCAGCGGCGGCGGCAGCAGCAGCAGAGGGGGGCGGCGTGGGGAGCGAGGAGGAGCGCTCTCTGGCGTTCCAGGAGCTGCTCTCCCTGGCGCAGGGGGAGGGTGCGCGGGGGGAGCAGGGGGAGGGGGAAGGTGCAGGGGCGGAGAGCAGTGGGAGCGGAGGTGCGGGAGTGCAGGCAGCCCGCACAGGGGGGGTGGGAGGGGGAGTAGGCAGCTCAGGTATACCTTCAGGTGGAACTTCAGGTGGTTCTTCTGTTGGCAAGGGCAAGGAGAAGGTGGGAGAAGTTGCAGGAGCAGGGGGGGAGGTGGAGGGGTGGGAGGGTGCAGACGGGGAGGACGTGGCGCCCTCTTTGGAGCAGTACGTGACGCTGGCCAATCAGGTGCTGCTGCTGCGACAACAGAACGCACAGCTGGCACACCAGCTGGCTGCCACGTCAGGAGGAAGGGCTCCAGAAGGCCCTTTCAGTGCCACTGCCGGTGGTGCAGGCACGGCCGCCCCACGCACGCCATTCTCCACGCCCATGGTCTCGCCCTCCCCCAGTACCGCCTCCCTCATTGCCACCGCCACTGCCGCTGCCGCCATTGCCTCTGCTGCAGCACAAGCCTCAGGCGCCAGCAACACCGCTGAAGCTGCCACCGCTGATGGTGCTGCAGCAGGCGCGGGTGCAGGGCCTGCTGCTCCGTCGGCTGCTGCAGCAGCGTGGCAGGCGCAGAGCATGGGAGCGCCGCGCACGCCCTTCTCCACGCCGCTGGTCTCCCCCTGCCCCAGCTACGCCTCCCTTGCCACCGCCGCCGCTGCTGCCGCTGCTGCTGCAGGCGTGGGTGAGTCGGGGGTGGGCAGTGGGATGCACGAGGGGTCGGTGAAAGACATGCTGCTGCAGGTGAGGCACGGCGAGCAGCAGCACAAGCAAGGCCGACCTCCCATTCCCGTATCCCCCCGCCCAGCCTCCACTGGCGCCCTTGCTGCTGAGAAAGCGGTGGGTGTGGTGGCTGCAAAGGCAGGTTTGGCAGGAGGGGAAGGCACGGCAGGGCTAGGATTGGAAGGAGGAGGTTCGGGAACGGGCAGCCCGGTGGTCCCTCGGACGCCCTTCTCCACGCCGCTCGCCTCGCCCTCCCCCAGCTACGCCCTGCTGCCCCTCGATGAGGCCCAGAGGAAGCTGGCAGCCGTTGCTGAGACGGTGGATGGCGCCATGGATGGGGAGGCCGCCGCGGCTTCACCTGCAGCACCTGCTGTTGCTGGTGCGGGTGGGAAGGGGGAAGGGGATGGGGAGGAGGGGCAGGCGGCGAGGAAGCGGCGGCAGGTGACGTTTGGGGCGGTGCGGGAGAGGCAGGTGCGCGTGATCGACGCCAACTACTTCAGCTCCTACGCCGGCTTCGGCATCCACCGCGAAATGCTCTCCGATAAGGTCCGCCCCGCTCCCTTGCCTGTGCACACCGGCTCTGTGGTAGGAGGCAGGCTGGTACGAAGTGAGGTACATGGAATAGCTAGTTGGCGCTGTGAGAGTGATGAGGGGGCGCAGGCGATGTGCGAAGGCAAGTAAATGCATGCGTGCTTCTGTGCGGCCGCATGCCTTCATGCCCCACTCTCTTCACATCCGAACGTCTCTCTAAATCCTTACCGAGCTTCCCATTGCCATGCCTGCCTTGCAGGCTCGGACCACAGCCTACCAGGCAGCTTTGGAGGAGAACCCGAGCCTGATTGAGGGAGCAACAGTGCTGGATGTGGGCTGTGGCACAGGCATTCTCAGGTGAGCATTTTCAGGCGAGCAGTCTCAGGTGGGCATTCTCAGTTGGGAATCCTCAGGTGGGTATTTCAAGTGAGAATCCTCAGGTGGGCATTCTCAGTTGGGAATCCTCAGGTGGGTATTTTCAGGTGAGAATTCTCAGGTGGGTATTTTCAGGTGAGAATTCTCAGGTGGGCATTCTGAGGTGTGTGGAGCTGTGGGGATGACTGGCTGCCCATGTGATCCTCAGCTGTGGGGATGGCTGGCTGCCCATGTGATCCTCAGCTGTGGGGATGGCTGGCTGCCCATGTGATCCCCAGCTGTGCTAGCCACGCGCATCCACGTATGGGTGCTCTTGCCTCCTTGCTTCACAAGGTATGCCTGCATGCGCCACTTCAGCTTCCACTCCCTTCCCGGCTTGCCGCCCATTCCCCTCATCCCTCCTGTGCTGGGCAGTCTGTTTGCAGCGCGCGGAGGAGCAGCGAGGGTGGTGGCGGTGGATGGCAGTCGAGAGATTCTCACCGTGGCTCAGCAGGTGGGCGGCGCAGCATTTGGGGTGGGGCTGCGTGGGTTCACAGGATGGCAAGGCAGGGTGAGTGAGGTGATGGAGGCAGAGGGGGTGCATGCTGCATGTGTCTACTGCACATGCCCGTGCATCTCCCTCTATGCCATTCACATGCTTCTCTCACTCCCTCACATCTCTTGCCGATCGTTGCTTCTCCTCACCGCTCGCATTCTCCTCTCTACCCCTTCTATCCGCCACCAGATAGCGCGCGACAACGGCTATCTCGCGGGCGCCGAGTCCGCCCCCCCTGCTCCCAGCAGCACCTCTGCCAGCGCGCCTCAGCGCACCCCACGCCCCGTGGTGTCCTTCGTGTGCAGCAAGATCGAGGACCTCTCCCCCGCCCCCACCGGGACCACTCAAGCACCCGCGCAGGCGGGCGCTAGCGGCGAGGGGGCGGGAGGCGGGGGAGGCGGCGGGGAGGTGGCGTTGGAGCGGGGGAGTGTGGATGTGATAGTGAGCGAGTGGATGGGGTACGCGCTGCTGTACGAGTCCATGCTGCCCTCTGTGCTGCACGCCCGTGACACCTGGCTCAAACCGGGCGGCGCCCTGCTGCCCGACACCGCCTCCATGGTGAGAGAGATGGGTTGAGCTTGGCCCTCATGCCTCCATGCTCAGATGGGTGCATGTCCTGCACATGCAACCATCAGGGCTGCATTCCGCTCGCACTGTTCGCTTCTTGCCTCCGGTTCATTTGTCTCCTCTTCCGCATGCTGCCCCTCTCCCATCCCATCATTCCGCCTGCTTCGCTTCCCCGCCACCAGCACGTGGCGGGGTTCGGTGAGGGAGCAACGAGTGTGGGGTTTTGGAGGGACGTGTACGGCTTCAGCATGGCGTCTGTGGCGCGCGAGATAGAGGACGAGGCGGCTCGCACGCCGCTGGTACAGGAGGTGAAGGCGTGCGATATAGTCACGTCCACCGCCACCATCAAGGTGCGCCCTCATGCACGCCATGCGTGTGCCTCCTCTCCCAGGTCACCCCTTGTATCTCTCGTCCTTCACCTCCCTCTGCTGTCCCCCCTGCCTCTTCTCCCCTGAACCTCATCCTCTCCGCCCATCCCTTACGTTTCCCCCCATCTACCTCCCCCGTCCTTCCCGCCCTTCCGTGGCAGCACTTTGACCTGTGCACCGTGGCAGTGCCGGACCTCGACTTCACCTCTGAATTCTGCATCACTCCAACCCTCCCCACCTCCTCTGCTGCCGGGCCAGCTCCCGCTGACAGCCCTGCCGCTGCAACTCCAGCATCCCCTGCCTCCGCCTCCCCCGCGCTGTGCTACGGGCTGGCGCTGTGGTTTGACACGGCCTTCTCCGCCCGATTCTGCTCCGCCAAGCCAGTGCTGCTCTCCACGTCGCCCTTCTGCACGCCCACCCACTGGGCCCAAACCCTCCTCACCTTCCGCGAACCCATTGCTCTCGCACCTGCAGCACAGTCCACGGCTGCAGTGCTGATCGGAGAAACCCCACCACTGGGAACAGGAGCGGTGGGGTCGGAGGGTAGGCCGGCGGTGGAGGTGAGGGGGAGGGTGAGTGTGGTGCGCGCCAGCAAGCACCGCAGCATTGACATTTCAGTGGAGGTGGTGGCGGTGGGCGCTGATGGGGGCAAGAAGGCATGGCCCGCTCAGATGTTCACCATATGAAGCCGTGCGCGCACATGCTTGCGACCATGGTTCCACTTATTTGTCGTATTTGTTCAGACGCGTTATGTTGACTTTATGAATGGTCATGAGGGGTGCAATATTTCAGTCCAGCTTATGCTACGCGTAAAGGCCTTAGTGTACACTTTCACAAGGGGGCTGACCATCCTTTAACGAGGACATCAACCTGTGAGTGCATGCCTCGTCAGTGAAGCCATACAGAGTATGCCACATTGGATGCCCTCATCATTCTTATGATTCCCGCGCAATCTGGAGCCGCAGTTCCGCGCAGTGCATTCACCTTCCACCTTGGGAATGTCGCATTGCTGAAGATCACATCAGCACATATTCAAATCCTTCACACTCACTCTTGTGCTGCACATCTCGACTTTCAGTCCCATACCTCGAGCCTCCGTTCTCGATCATCTGCAGTGAGCGATAGCTTCTTTGCAGCGGCAGTCGAGCTCGCTGTAGGCGATGGCGGCTTCTCTACTGCTCCGCAGCGGCCTATCGGCCTCCATCGCACCGCGCTGCTCGCCCTCCGCCACCCACAGTAAGCCCGCCCTTCTCGCGGACCGCCTCTCCTCCTCCGCGGCCTTCGTGCCCTCCTCCCGTCGACACCGCCTTCACCTCCCCGCGCACCGACCATCCGCGCGTGTGAACCAGCACCGCCACGCGCCCGCCGCGCCCAGGGCATCCGTGCAGACCGTCGAAGCTGCGCAATTGCCGCAGACCTGGTCCGCGTTTTCCGCCGCAATCACCGGGGAATGGGCGGGGTACTCATCGGACTTCTGCCCCGACGGGATAGAGACGGAGATCCCAAGGGAGGCCATTCCGCCGCCCTTTTGCGACTGGGGCCTCGCGCTCTTCGCGTGGCAAGCGCACAGCTCCACTAACGCGGATGCTTCTACCGGGGAAGTCCAAACCGTCTCCGAGCGCTTCCTGCCGTCGCTTGGCTTTGGCGGCGGCGGCGGCGCGGCGTCGCGCTACAGCGTGGATCGGCGCGCGGCGGGGATCGGGCAGGACGCGGCGGGCGTGCTTGGCTTCCGCGACGACGGCTGCTACGCCGTCGCCTGGCCCGGTAAATCCGTTTCCGAGCCTGCTTCCGAGCCTGGCGTGAACGCGGCTCACGTAGTGGTTCGGCAGGGCAGCGGCAGCGGCGACGCGTCGCAGTTCTTCGAGTTGGAGCACTGCCTCGTCGCGGAAAACCCGGACGCGCAGACCGACGGCAAGCCCGAGCGCGTGCGCGTGCGCGTGGTGCAGCGTTTTCAGAAGGGCGCGGGGGCGGCGGGCGGGGTGGGGGACGAGGGGCACCTGCCGCAGCTGCTGGGCATGACGCTGTTCCGCGAGCGGTGGGTGGGCCAGTGGCGCGCCGAGCCCGACGGCGCGAACGAGTCGTCGGAGTTCGCGGAGGGCCCGCCCGTGGGCATCGAGGCCGTGGAGGGGCGCTGGCTCGCCTCCGCCATGCGCGCCGACCTCAAACTGGTGAGCTCGGCGCGCTGCATGGCGCAGATGGTGTGTGTGAGGAGGGTAGGTGGGGGGATGTGCGGAGCAGAGCCGATGGGCAGTGAGGCGAGAGTGGTGAAGAAGAAAGAACACAATCTATGGAACGGGCGATCCGTGAACGAGAGATATGCTTGACATACATGTCATGTGGGACACAATGAATCTCGTCCGTCCATCGCACTGCCTCCCTTCCTGCCCACCCACCCCCTGCCATCCCCTCTGACTGTCCTTCCCCCCACACCACATTGCTGTGCAGTCTCCGTCATAACCTCCCTTCCACGGAGCTCCGAGGAGGGCAAACCCATCCAGCCGACAACAATTAGCATTGTGCTTCACTCTGCCGGGCCCTCATGACCCTTCCCTCCCCTCCCCCCCCACTCCCCACCTCCTCCCCTGCGGAACAGGGCGACGAGTATGGGCGGCGGGGGGCGGTGGTGGAGCTCAAGCCGGCCGGCACTGAGGAGGTCACCAGGGAGCTCACAGACGAAGGTTCCGTGCTGCTTCCTCAGGTAAGAGAAGCGTGTGTGCCACAAAGTGCAATGGAGGTGTCGGTGCGGTGAGAGGACGACTGCACGTGACGTCAGCTTCACAGCACATGCTGCAGCCAGCAATGCGTAGCTTGCTGCAAGCAATGGGGATCGCGGGTGGCTCTCAAGGCAGGTCAATACTTCTCCTTACCAGCCACCCTTGGATAGCAGCAACGCAACATGGCACCATCAGTGCACCCACCTGCCCTCTGATTCCAATCAATGCTCTGCTTGACCATTGCCTGTGTGTCCGCCCCATGGCAGGGCGTGTGGTCGAGGGTGCTGCCAACGCCCAGTGGCGGGGTGATCCTCAAGGCGGGCTGGCTTGTGGAGGCCGACAGGGCCATCGTCTCTCGCTTTGACTACTCCGCCCAGGGTCATCTCGAGGTACTTGCTGCGCGCCCCACTCGCACTAGCATACATTTCCTTCATACTGCCTGCCTGCACAAGATGCTCTATGTGGTTCTTATACCGCACTCCCCCATACCTCCCCCCTTTCACTTGCGTGCAGCACATCACGATATCAACAGAGACGCGCATCAGCAAGAGACCATGAGCTGCTGATGAATCGTAGTTGCTTTCTGAATCACGCCCTCCACAAGCACCCACAGCCATTGTTCAGCAAGAGTACATAGCTGCTAAGGGGATGGAAACATGGATTCAGTTTGAAGTTGTCCACCACACCGCACCATGTGCTGCTGTCAAACGGGCAGCAAGGCCCGGCTTGCATATTATGCGGGACTCATCCATTGTAATCTAACGTCTATCAATCACCTTACAAGCACGACCATCCATCTATGCATCAGTGCATCAGATGTTACCACACCACACAAGTACCAATCACCCTAACACACGTTTAATTGGGAATAGCGCTACACTATTGAGATGCATGGGAGCTGGCAGACGAGCTGTGCTCGTCGCTGCTCGTGGAGAGCAGCTGTGTGCCACCCTGTGGGGCATGACACAGGGAGGGCAGCAGGCGGGAGAGCAGCGATGCAAGGGAGGGCAGCCCGAGTGCGGCATGGCGGTGCACCACATGCTGCCTCGCCCGCAGCAGCACTGCCACCCTGCTGCTGTGTGCATGCGGAGGGGGTGGCGGTGTTGTGGGTGAACGGGGAGGAGGCGGTGGGGCTGGGGCTGGTTGTGGGGGCGGGGGCCGAGGTTGGGGAGGGGAGCGGTGTGGTGGTGATGGTGGGGAGGGCGATGGATGAAGTGGTGGTGGCGACGGCGGTGGCTTATAGGGCGGGGACGGGGGTGCGGGAGGTGGGGGTAGTGGAGGGGGGGGATTATGGGGTGGAGGTGGGGGATGAGGGGATGGGGGACGGTGAGGAGGGGGAGGAAGGGGAGAAGGAGGAGGTCGAGAGGGAGAGGGGTGAGGCTGAGGAGGCTGGCGAGGCGGAGGAGGGGGATGTGAAGGGGGAGGATGCGGAGGAGGGGGGTGAGGGGGAGGAGGAGGAGGAGAGGGAGGGGGTGGTTTAGGAGGGGAAGGGTGGGGAGAGGGAGGGTGACTTGGGGGTGGAGAGGGGGGAGGAGGAGGACTGGGAGGCGGCAGAGGAGGATGAGGAGTAGGATGAGGGGAAGGAGACGGTGGGGATGGGGGGGGAGGAGGGGAAGATGGAGGGGATGGAGGAGGGGAAGAGGGAGGGAATGGAGGAGGGGAAGAGGGAGGGGATGGAGGGGAGGAGGGAGGGGATGGAGGAGGGGGGGAGGGAGGGGATGGAGGAGGGGAAGAGGGAGGGGATGGAGGAGGGGAGGAGGGAGGGGATGGAGGAGGGGAAGAGGGAGGGGATGGAGGAGGGGAGGAGGGGGGGGATGGAGGAGGGGAAGAGGGAGGGGATGGAGGAGGGGAAGAGGGAGGGGGGGATGGAGGAGGGGAAGAGGGAGGGGGGGATGGAGGAGGGGTTGGAGGTGGTGGAGTGGGAGGGGGAGGGGTAGGCGGAGGGGGAAGCGGAGCAGGAGGGGGGGCGTTGCGGGTCCACATAAGCCAGGATATGCGTGCACCAGGCATAGACGGTCGTTTATGCAGAATGTCCTGGTACCCACCAGTGCAGCTCACGGGTTCCTCCACCAGCGCCCTTCGTCCCTCGCCCCTCCCACTGCACTCCTTCCCAGTCGCTCCAGATGCCACACCACAGGAGGGCTTGCCTGCAGGGCTCACCTCCCACAGCGCGATGAACTTGCCGCTCTGCACCACTCTGCCTGCACCCATGCAGTGCCAGACGAGCATGATCAGCGCGCATGCATTGGGCACAATAACAACGCAGCAGAGCATCGCCGTACCTGACGCGTTCTTGGCTGTGAATTGCCCTCTGCTCAGAGCCTTGTCCGCCTGGCTAGCTGCGTCACTAAGTGCATCCACGGCTGCTTCCCCACCAAGCATGTCCTTGGGTGTGAAAATATCCACAACTTCCTCCATGTGGAAGCTGAATTCGAGATGACGCGACGCCAGTGGCTGCCCATTGTCACACGTCATGTCAGTGGAGGCACGACGGGAGACTGGGAAGCATGCAGGAGGAACTAAGGAGCATGCAGCAGGGGACGGGGCGCACCTGGAGGTACTGCTGGAGCTGGAACGAGAACTGGAACTGCCGTTCGGGCTGGTCAGGTGGCATGATGATGGCACGCGGGGAGAAGAGCCTTGCAGCACTGGCACTGTCCCCAGCAGCCAGGGCGTCACCTATCAGCTCCAGGGCATGCTCAATCGCTTCCTTCACTCGTGATACTGCGGGAGGGCGAGGCTGGTCCTTGCCATTTGACACACCTGAGAAGCCTGTTCTCAGCAGCACTGTGTTCAATGCAGGTTGCACGGCACTGCTGCGTTCAGCGCCAGTGGGTCTGCTTGTGGTGTGGGATTCCAGTGCATGATTACCACCACCGTAGGCCGTCCAACCCCCCAGCACAACTTGCCATGAGCCATGTGCGTCCCTCAGGTCATCTGCTTCTGCGGCGCACTTGTCACGGATCACATTCCCTTTCCGAGCTCTCTTGTATGCATCTTTACGGCATACCGGGACTTTCAGCCAGAGAGCCAAGGCAGAACCCTGTATGCTGCTTTGTCTCCATCGTCCCTGTGAATCCATGAACACAGCTCTGTACCCTACAAGTGATAGTGCAACGTGCCACCTCTTGTGCTGTTTCTTGTGCTGCTGATTCTTCACCTGTTGGTTTTGAAGGAGCATCTTCCCCACGTTAGCCACACCCACCAGTAGCTTTGAGATTGAGAAGTATATTTTCAATTCAGAATGCTTCAGGTACTTCATCAGCCTGTCTCGCGCTTGAGTGGAGTTCAGTTTCCATGTGGCAGTGTTGGGTGGCATGATTGTGAGGTCAGCAGCGAACATGCCGGTTGGCACGGGGGAATGGTGCTGAAGAGACAAGCTGAGGCGGTCAAGCTGAGCCTGGATGGCATCTCTTGCTGCTCTGGTCGCACCATCTGGAATGGAATCTCCGGTAACAGCAGCATGCTCAGCCAGACAGCTTGACAGGAGAACCACACAGAGCAGAAGGATCTGGAAATGGCATGACATTTGCCGGATCGTTTTTACTGGTGCAGCCCCGTGATGCTCTGTGCCTCGTCTCGGAGCCATTAGATAAATCCTGCGATGCGAAATTGATCTCAGACTGAGAAACCTGGAGCTTGATTCGAGCAGGTAATAGTTCCATGCGAGAAAAAACACAGTCGCAGAACCAAGTTCAAGACCCAGAGCTTTATTTCAGTTCATATGGCAATGACTAGCACCTGCGTTTGGCAACTGAACGGCATAAGAGCGGTTCCACATATCCTATGTGCAGCTGGTAGGGCGACCGCTCTGCTCAGTAGCAACCCCAAGGTCGGCTCCAAGTATAGCAGAGGCCGACGCTAATCTGCAACCAGTCCCCACGTGGCAGCCTCGGAACATGGCTCAGTCCTACGATTAAGAGGACATCGCTGTCAGCAGCGACGGAAGGCCTCTGTTCACACAACCAAGCCTGACGCTGCTCTGGAGTTGAGTTAGCTCGAGGCTCACATGGAGAGGTCGAATCCTCCCTAAGGCTGGGAGAATCATTGAGACCACGCAGTTATCGCATTGAGGGTTCCCCGTTTAAATGTGACGGTACAGCTCAATCACTAAAACTCGTGTACAGCATACATTATAATTCGCTGTCCTTGCACCATGGCTGGTGTACAAGGAGGCCAGATGATTCCTAACCTGTTATTCTCCAATAATAGAAATAATTCCAAGAATCGCCATGACAGTGTATTGCTGGCTCAAGATGAGAACTAAACCTGGACTCCACTGCATTCTGGTAACTCGAGCAATGGAGAATACCTGATAAACCACACTGTATTCGCAAGCCGCCTAAACCTTCACGAGGAACTGTCATACATGGGTGGTCTGCCATTGTGAGGGTAATCGTCTTGAACTGCTGGGTTTATGCCTTGTGATCGCCCGTAGTCTCCAAATGCACTGGGTTCTGTGCGGTCCCTGATCTCAATGGATAGCAGTTGTGAGGAGTTGGCCACAGCTTCATCCCAGCCGTAGTGTGGCTTCCCCCTGCCATGAACAACACCCCATCACATCCAAGCACAGGTCTCAATGAGAGCACAGACAAAGAGGAGCCAGTTCCACAGAATCACACATCCACAATGAGACATCTGCACGTGTGCACATGATGGTATGCTATGCATAGGTGCATGTGAGGTGATGGAAGGACGTGCTTACTCATAGTATGTTGGCTCTGCCACCACCACATCCCACTGTTCACCGCTCGTGCTCCTCCCATACTTGTGCACCATCCTGCAGCCAGCAGCACGCATTGGGGAGAGGAACACATGAGTTTCGAACACGGGAATAAACATAATATGTCACTGACACATGAGCGCATGAGCACATGAAGTGCACATACTAAACTGAATGAGATGCACACAAGCTTACCCATCCCCAAAGTGCTCCTCGCCCCATGTTCTCGACCAGCCTGCACAGCCACACAAAACACCGTGACGAGGGAAAGGGAGCTTGAGTTACGTGCGGGGATGTGACTAGCTGGTAGTGTGCTCTCTGGAGAGCTGCATTGTGTGAAAACTCAATTACATCATCCCCACCATCATCAATAGGAGCTCGCACTGTGTCCTTGAGAATGCATCGTCAAACAATCAACATATATTGCAATGAGCAAGGGGGCCAATCGGCAGCAGGTCCACACGAGCACTAAGCGGCTAAAGACCCCGAGCAAGCGGGCATGCACTTACGGGAGCCTGAGTTCTCTACGTGCCAGGTTTCCCCTTGTCTGTGCCCCACACCCGACGTGAACCGTTCCTCCCACTTGTCGCCCCACTTAGTGCCGTCATCCTTCTCCGCCCACTTGTCCGTCCTGCACGTGGTGCAGTGCAGCACAGCGAGGTACAGCACGGTCGTTAGGCGCATGCACGCGACGGCACAGAGTGTGTGGATGCAGTGGTCATGCTCGTGCCAACACGCATGCTAGTCGCGGGACGCAAGTGCCACGCGTGCAAGGAAGCGGTGCAAGAGCACCAAGCATAGTGTGGACGTGAGAAGCGGTCGGTACCAATGGTGTGAGCGTGGTGCGAGAGAGAGGGAGAGTGTGTAGGTCGTGGAACGGGCCAGGATAAGGAGCGAAAGAGAGGGAGGCGGGGAAGGGAGGGTGGGAGCAAGGGAGGGAGGGAGAGAGAGCGGCGGGTGGACGAGAGGGGGAGCCCTGGATAAGCCAAAGGCGTGTGACGACCTGATTATGGCCGAGCCGAACGCACCTTAGGTCACATTTGTCAAGCTAATAAGCATCCTACTCTACTGACTTACAGGCTCTCCATTCCTTGACGGTGCTCATGCAATCTAGTATTTGTTTCCTTGTGTGTCAGTTCAGTTGCCTCCCTACGCTTATTAACATGGATCATAGTCTGCGGATTCGCGGAAGGAGCTCTGTGCACTCGTGTACTTGCAAGAACTCCTAACATTCGTGAGTGGGCGGGCACGAGGCTCTCACCGCGGGAGCAGGAGGGTCTCACCATTTGAGCACCATGCCCTGGCCGTCGTACTGCTCGCCCCACTTCTCCCACCACGACTGGTCGTTGGACCGCCCGTACTTGTGCGACCCCTTCTCCGTCCACCCCTTACCGTTGTACTTCTCCCACCTGCCAACCAGAGGGGGCGCCACAGCAAACGATGACGAGGGGAATGAGCCCACTGTGCAGCACGTGATCCGCACTGCACGCAGGGAAAAGCGGAATTGTCGTCGCTTCTTGCGTAAAACGGCAGGGCGATCTTATGATTCGATACGACATCTTCCTTGGAGACTACAAAAGGATCACGACTCACCATTTTTCATTCCAGACGTTTTCTTGTCTTGATTTGGCTTGTTTATGCGCGCTTCTTTCTATTCTCGGAATGCCGCTGCAGAGGCGCCAAATCATCAGGGGAGAGCACACGGGCGAGAAGAGCGAGGGAGGATCGAATGAGGGCCGAGAGGCTGACATGATTGACTAGAGAGCAGATGAGAACGGCAACGACGAAACAGCGAAAACGAAACGGCAACGGTGGGTGGGTGGGTAGGATGTGCAACAAAACAGGTATCTGTGCACCCAGAGCGCGCGGCAAATTACCTCCAGTTATCCACAACGTATACTTCTTGCCACGTCTCCCACCAGCTATCTCCTTGATCGTTTCTGCCCGACTTCTCCGCGCCCAGCTCCTTGTACCCCGTCCAATCGCTCTTCTCCCACCACTGCGCCCCGCCGCGATCCCGTCCCACGGCGATCAAGGAGATAGAGAGAGCACAATGGAGAAATAGGTCTTAGAAACGGATGCGACCTCGAAACGTTCTCAGCGCTTCAACAAGGGACACTGCAGAGGTTTTAAACGTGACAACGTGTCCCGGGAAGAGATTAGATTGAATAGAGAGGCGATGCGATATGGAAGCTTACAGTTTCCTTCCACTCGGACGCCCCGTTGGGGTGTCGTCCACCCATGATGGTCCATCGGCACCGATAGCCATTGTCCCCCATGTCCTCTCCGCTCTCTCTGTACCACGTGCTGCCATCCTCGTTTATGCCGCATTCGTTCACTGGTTGGCTCTTCAGATCTATGCCCCAGTCCTTTTCACTGGCTATTCCAGTGTCTTCCCGCCAGCCGCCAGCAGGCGGCGCAGCTGCAAAGCACGCAGATCGTGGAACAGTTCATTTTGAGAAACGTGCTAGTCGCGAATGTGCATGAAACGAACGACGCATCCCGAAGGTGGATGTAAGCAGAGAACTTTACGAGGTGCTCTGGAACAGACCTCTACGTGGGGGGACGTCTCGGGGATTGGGTGCGCACTGGCGAAGGAAGTGCTTCGAGTGTTCGTTGTCTGACTGCGCTCCGCCTTTCTGCCACCTGCGATTCATGCGCGAATGCCCGCTTAGTTGTCACGGGAAACTGGACCAATGAGAGCTATTGCATGACCACTGGCTCGAACGGACAAAAAACCAGGGGCCCACACTTACCTTTGCGAGGATCGAGACCCAGAAAAGCTGGCCTTCACTGTGAGGTTTTTGCTGGATCTAAATCCACGCTTATCGCCTCCATTAATTGACACTAGCGTATCGGGGCGAAACCTTTGCTGAGCTCTATCTCGAGAGCTGGCTGATCGGGAAAGGTTGGAGAGCTTCTTAGATCCTACACCCGTTTTGTCTATCAACGAAGTATTGTTAGTAAGTGCAGCCATTGAACTTGGCTGTGCAGTCAGTCTATAGCACCTAACAAACACCCATCGTTCCTAGCATCCAAGGTCCTAAAATCCTAACTTCGACGTACACAGGTACCACGGAACAACCCTAAGTGAGCAGTTGCTGTTTCGTCAGGCCGATCAGACCAAACACTGAAGCAGCGATATGCTTTTTTCGGGAAAGATATTCTTCCCAAATGATTGCCTGAACTGAAGCTAGTCCACCACGGCCCTTGGGAACAGATCCAAACGATCAGGAGAGTCGAGGGACGCCATGAGATGGTGATGGAAGACGGGCGCGGAGGGGAGGGGTTCGAGGGAGCACAGCAGAGCACACTTGAGTGTTGGACTCCTCGAAGTTGGGAGAATGACGGATTGTGGTGTGCGGAAAATATCGAGGTTGTGTTGCGACACGAAGAAATTGTTTTTTGAGACATGTTTACATGATTTTAGGCGTGGATGGTCAGGAAGAAAAGTATTCTTTGACGAATCAGGGGTCTGGCGGTTTGCAGGCTGCCCATTACTGAAAAACTTCTGCTGGTGGAACATCGAGAAGCCTCACGTTGAAGATCTGTTTCGTCAGCAGCACCAGACGCATGCTGGACAGGCGCACAACCATTCATGTGAAAGTGACTTCGTTTTCAACCAATAACAATCCTTCCATCCAACTTGGATTCCAACGCCCAGATACCATTCGTAAACGTTGATCTGAGGGTAGGCAGGCAGCTACTTCGCTGACAGGGCAGCCACGCTGGACTTCCTCACATGTTACGCGAGGATCTCGAAGCACATACCCTCCACCGCGACGTGGTCGCCTTGGTGACAATTTCACCTCCTTCACTTCCTTCTTTCCTCCTTCCCTCCCACATTTCTCTTCCCTCCCATCCCTCCATCCATCTTGTTCCTCCACATCCTGAAACTCTCATTGCTAGTCCGTCTTTGTCTTCAAATTCCTTGATTTAGTAGTCAAACTAGTTATACATACGTAGATGCAAGAACGGACAATCATGAAGTTATGTTTCGCATGATCGTGCATGTCTTCGCCCATCACATCGTTCAGCAGGGGGGATAAGGCGAGTATAATATAACCAACTGCGTCTTAACCACACGTAGCAACCAAAGGAGAATCTTGACGAAGGGCCTGCTGTTTCACCGCCTTCAACACTAAGCACTCGTCCTAAGGTGACTGGAAGTTCTTGCAACCAGTTGTATCTGCTCTAACGTAAAATTCACGCAAACGGTTAATGTAGTAAAAACCTTACAAAAGAAGCTATTGTGTGGGTGTTTGGTCTAGTGGCATGATTCTCGCTTAGGGTGCGAGAGGTCCCGAGTTCAATTCTCGGAACACCCCTCTTGTTTAGGTTTTTGTTAATCTGATGCTCTTTTCACCGAGATACTGTCCATTGCCATGGAAACATTAGGCGTGATCTCTCACCGATGGCCTTACTAAGACTTGTTGCAAAACGTCCCCAGGCAGGGACATATTTCCCAGGCATGGAGCAAACAAACCGTACCGGTACCGGTAGGAGTGCATTTGAGGAACAAATGTGAAAGATAGTATCAACCTCAATCGAATGTGCTTTCACGAGAGATATTGCAACACCATCCACCAGCTACTGCTAAATTCATACAAGAACCAGCGGCAAGAGTTGTCACTTGATACATGGCTTAAGGACATTCAGCCTCAACGGCCGACGAGCCAACCTATTTTACTTGAGTGTTCTCTTAAATCCTGGGCCTACAACGATACGAAGGGAAAACCTTCTCGAAACCTTCATTAGAGTTTCTTGATCAAAACAGGTCCTTGAACAGTTCAGGGTTTGCGCCCGATTCTGGAGTGACCACTCCAGCTCTGCGAGCAGCAGCATCTCGGCCCTTGGCTGTTGCACCTGCTGCAGCTGCAGCTCCCACTGCTGTTCGCCCACCAATGGCCACCGCCCCACCGATGGCTGCCCCGTTCGCTGACTTATCCGCAGCACCAACCGCACCAGAGAGTGCAGGTGCAGGAGATGCAGTGGCTGTTGAGCTCATGCTGGCAGACGAACCGCCACTCATGCTGATCTCAGCCAATAGCGGTTCACCAGCTGGCATCACTGTCAGCTCCTCCAGAGCCTTGAAAGGGTCCAATGAAGCAGTACCAGCTGTACTGGCAGGGGCTGCTGCTGAGCTGTCAAGCATGGATGCCATGTTCGCTGGGGGCGGGTCATCATTGAGATCCATCAGCAACAGGTCAGCCACGGGGGCAGCAGGGGCAGGAGGGGGTGCAGGAGCACTGGAAGCAGCACCATCTGCTGCTCCTCCAGACCCTCGTTTGCCCCACGGCCCTCCTGCCCCCACCGTTCTTGGCTCAGACCTCGTCCCTGCCAGGCCAGATGAAGCGGCTGCACCCCCACCTGCTGCTCCCTTGCCCCCAAACAGCTTCGCTGCCAGCCTCTGCTTCTCCTCGCTCACTTGACTGCTCTCATTCGCTCTCCCCCCTCTCCCTGCGGTTGCGCCTGATGCTGCAACCCCTGCTCCTGCTGCTGAAGCAGATGAGTCAGCACGGATAGAAAATGAGTCAGCAGAAGGTCCTGCAGGAGCGGAAGAAGAAGGAGCAGCAGACGGAGGGGGCGCAGCAGGACGGCCCCACTTCCGTTGCACGCCTGAGAGGTTCAGCCTAGCACCATCTGCTGCACCTCCCCCACTGCCGCTGCTCGCCTCCCCTCCCCCATAGGCCCCACCGGACGACTCCCGGAATCCTCCAGACGAAGTAGCAGAGAGGGCAGGAGGAGGATTCGCGGACGAATAGGCAGCAGCAGAGGAGGAGGAGAACGCACTGCCACCGGTGCCGCCACGCTGTGAGGCAGTGAGGGGTGCGGCGGGCAGCTTGGGCTGCTCGTATGCCTCAAAGCGCAGCGTGCGGTCTGAGTGGCGCGCAGCAGCAGATGCAGAGGAGTCGTGCAGGGAGGAGGCGAGGGAGGTGGTATCTGCACCCACGGAGAAGTTTAGGCGGTCTGACTCCGAGAGGTAGGGACGCGCCCCGGCTGCCAGCGAGTCCGCCACGTACCCATCCAGGAACGGCAGCGCTGGGTCGATCTGGACAGACAGACAAAGAAGCGAGGGGCAGGGTGGCGCATGGATGGAAACGATGAGCATGCGGGCGCTGGAAACAAAAAAAAAGCGCATCCAGTTCCCTTATTGTGCACATGCATGCTAAGCGGCAGCACAGGAAGCGTCGGAGCAAAAAAATCAAGCAACTCGCAGTGCACAGCCCCTAAACGCCCCTAACAGCGCACCTCGATGTCTTCACAGCTAGCATCGACGGGCAGCACGGCAGCGAGGGTGTCGGGGCGGAGGGCGAGCAGCGCCTGCAGCTGGTAGGCGCGGTGCTGCACGTCCGTGCTGTGCGCCGCCACCATCTCCTCCACCAGCGCCCCAGCCTCCCCCGACAGCCGTGCCTGCCGCCCACACGCCGCCTCATACGCCACCACCTTGGCCATGGCTGATAGCACGTACGCCTGGGAGAAGCGGTGGGGCGGTGAGAGGGGGGCCGGTAGCGTGTGCATCTCAAACGAGGCCAGCAATATTGGTGTCGCATAATCGCTTCACTTTAGACCTTGATTGTGAAAGATACGACATCTCATGCTGCAGCAGAGAGGGAAGAAGCGAAGGGGATGTGACTAGAGAGTAAAAGAGCGTGTTTGATGAAGTAAGGATGACATCACGCACCCGGACAGTGTCGTCGGTGTCATGGCCCTCTGCCACGTCACACAGCTTTGCCATAACTTCATCCGCTGACATGTGGCCGTCTGACGTGGCATACTCCCCCAACACCCAGCATATGACCTGCCGGGTGCAAGCAGTGAGTCAGGGAACGAAGGGGAACATGAAACAGGGGCGGGTGAAAGAAGAGTGAGCAAAAGAGTGTGTGCTGGAAAGGTGCAAGGCAAGAACGAGGAGCAAGCACGGGGAGGCAATGACCAATGGCAGGGAGTGGCAGAAGAGCGGGCACCTGGAGCAGCAGCGTGGGCAGGTTCGGTTCCTTGAGCAGCTTCACGTATGATTGCACCTGTGTGTGGCCATGGGATGATGGCGAAAGGGCGGAAAGAATCGGACGGTGGATGAGGAGTCAGGTAGGTCATGTGGAAGACACGTCACACCTACAAGATGCAGAACAAACCACCACACAAACAAGGAATCATGTTGGAATTAATGTGTTTGCGTTGCGATGCAAGGGCGAGACGGCATGGGCACTCACAGCGGAGGAGCGCAGGCGCGAGTCGGCGTCATCGTTGTCACCGCCCGATCCCTCAGCAATGAGGCGCATGAGGTCGTGCGCCACCTTGGGGCGCACCACGTCCCCCGCCACCTCAAACACACTGTTCATTGTCTGCCCGCGGAAAGGTGTGAAGGAGGGTGCGGGAGGTGGAGGGGGAAGAGGAAGGGGGGGAAAGGGAGGAGGACCAACAGAGACAGTGAGAATGGTGCAGAATGGTGTGAAGACATTAGGAGATGATGAAATGACTGTAGTAGCATGTGCCTCGACCTCCCCCACTCCACCACTTACATGCCTCCCACCATCCTCCACCGCATTCCCCACTCAATCCCCCACACAACCCCCTCACCTGAATGAACCACTCATTGGACGGCGCAAATCTCTCCGCCAGCTCAACAATCCTCGCCGCCAGGTCAGCGCGCCCATGCGCGTGCGCATCATCCCCCGACCGCAGCCCGCGCAGGTACTGCAGCACGTGCTCCACTATCACCTCCACGTTCCCGGGGCCCGTCATCTTATAAAGGAGATCAAGTGTTTTGCGCTTGAGCGAGTCGTCGGGGTCTTCAAGGCAGTCAATGACGGCGATCTGGTGCTCCGTGGCCAGGTCGGGGTTGATGCGCACGATCTGCGCCAGGCAGTCCACGCCCATGTACCGCAGGTTGTGCACGCTGCTCTGCATGGTGGGTGATGCGAGCGAGTGGCGTGAGGTGGGGTGGAGCGCGGGAGACGAAGATGGCAAGGGTGGTGTGTACGGGAAGTATGTGGGAGGAGTGGGGCATAGAAATGGTGGGAAGAGGTCAGATGGCAGAGCGCTTACAACCTTGCCCTTGCTGCTTCACGCGAAACGAGGATGCATTGGGGTGTGTGGTAAGGGAATGGAGGGAAGGTACGCGGGGCGGGAACGAGCGATGAAAGAGAAAGGGGTTGGGATGGGGAGGGAGGAGGAGCGAGGGAGAGCAGGCAGGCGGGGCACCTTGAGGAAGGAGGAGGTGATGGCGGCGCACGACGCCAGCAGCTGCTCGCTCGGGTGAATTGCAGCCACCGTGCGGATCGCCTCGTACAGGATCGCGTTGCCAGCTGTCACCTGCGAGTCGTCCCGCCGACCCGTCGTCCCCGCCTTGGGCTGCGACTCGCTGATGCGCCTGATGACGTCAGCGATGACGGGGTACATGGGCTCGCTGGCCGCCTGGTTGTTGGCGCCCAGCAGCGCCAGCAGCTTCAGCAGCTTTATCTGCGTGACGCCGGGGGGAACACGGGGTGCGGTGAACGCGAGAAGGGACTGATGAGGTCAGAGCGGGGACACACAAAGGTGTTGCCTTCCAGCAGTTGCACTCGTCCAAGGACCCGAGGTGCAATAGCGGTCGCCGATGCATGCACGGAGGGGACTGGGGAAAGCTGGAGCAACAGCAGGGGTTGATGACCGTTGAGATGGCCCATGGGGGTAGGGAGTTGGGGTACCTACCTGGATGAAGGGAGCGGGGACGCGGTGGTAGTCAAAGGACTTGGGTAGACGGCCCTCGGCGACCTGCTTGAGGATGCTCAGGAAGGACGCTGTCAGGTTGCGGTACGGCGCCGGGTCCGCCGCGATCAGGTCGTGCAGGCCGCACAGCGACGCGCTCATCACGCTCGGGTCCTTGTCGCACAGCGCCTGGCGAAACTTCTCCGTCACGTGCGACACGCTGGACGGCGATCGCTGGTGGAACCGTTGTAGCGCCATCACCGCCTTTTTCCGAACCAGCTCCTTGGGATGCTTAAGGAGGTCTACTATTGGGTTCAAGACCGCCGGAATGGTTTCCTCGTTGATTAATTTGCAGACGGCTCCTAACGCCGCGCATACGACGAGGTAATTGTCGGATTTAAGATCCTTCTGAATCGTGTTGACTATCAATATGATCAAATCGTGCGAGTCGTCCAGGAAAAGCGTACACGCGAGATAACCTGTGCGTTTCAACAGAAGGTTGTCGTCGTGTGTCATCTTCACGGCGTGGATGTAACCGAACGACGCATCGTGACCGAGGATCTCGAGGTACATGAGACGAAGGATGTACTCTTTCATTCGCTTCTTAGGCACGTCCGGCTCAGATATCTTTTTTTTAAGCAGCTCCAGCTCTCCCGCCATAATCCTATCCTCCTCCGCCTTCGACTTCGCCTCTCCTATGGCTTTAACTAGGTCCAGAAAGTCCTTGGACGAGCCGACCGCGCTCTGCGACGCGAGGGCAAGGTCTCGGCCCAGCGAGCGGAAATCCATGGAGAAGGACATGGCCGGCTGCGTGCAGCACAATACTTAATTGGGGTATGCTCAGCTGTTTCAACGACTGTTGACACCGGACAACTCGTCAGCAAGCGCGAGAGGAATTTACGGACCAGACGGGTAAACGGCTTTGAACGACAACGGAATGGTGCGGCCAGACGACCCTAAACCGATGCGCAAGTGGGAGCAGAGCAGACTATGGAGATGTAGTTGCACAACAGACTGGATCGAAGCAGCTAGGTGGCATTGAAATCCTTGGGATCACCATGAGCCTGCAATTTCCCAGACTGCAAACAGGGCTCCGATAAAGGTCGAACTGACGAAGTCCACAAGAGGTGAACTCGTCAACATATTGCTGGGGACAACTGACATACACGTTCCCAAACGTACTGAACACAAATGAGAACATCTAACCCCAGGATATAAAACACCGATTAATTAAATGGCATTGCTTGGTGACATGCTACAAGCCCTCTTCTGCTGTTGGGTGCACCTTCAGGCCCCTGGTCAGTCAACTCGCAACCAAAAGAACACTGGGAACAGTGGGAAGTCTGGTGCAGGAGACCACAAAACCCAAGGCAAATCTGAATGCCCCACTTCAAACGTGGGAAATATGAAACTAGACTTGCTCATAGAGCTATAGTAGTCTACCATTCTCCGTTCGCACTCTACTCTGTTTGCATGGCCTCGCCATCGACAGGCTTGGCATCTCCTGCTGCCGCCTCGCCACCCGCCTCTGCAGCACCCTCTCCTGCTGCCCCTTCTGTCTCCATCGGCTCGCCACCTGCCTTAGGAGCCTCGGGAGCAGGCTCAGGCTTGGGCTCGGAAGCAGGCTTGGGAGCTGGTTTGGGTTTGGTCATGATGGGCTTGCAGAACCTGCCATCAAGAAACACAGAGCCAAGGAAACCGGTACACATCAGATAAGAAGATGCCAGCCATGCAGCCGTGCTAGTCAGTGCATGAGCCACAAAGCATGGCCAATGCCCAAAGCAAACCACAGCGCATGACTGCTCCCATGCCCACCTGTCGAGGGTCTCTGCCTTCTTCCGTAGGTCGGCAGCGAGCAGCACGGGGGTGTCCTTCTTGCTCAGCTTCTGCTGCTGGAAGAGCATGTCCCTCAGCCACATCTCCGCCTTGTTGCACTCCTCCACCACCTGTGCAGGCACATGAGCACGGCGAGAGAGACAGGGCGGTAGAGAGAGGAGGAATGCACTGTCTGGTACTTGAAAGCATCCCATTGTTTCATCATCCTTCTGCAAGCTTTGCCATTATTTTTATAAATATGGGCTTCACTTGAAAGATCAGCCACAGCCTCTACCCTCTCCTCATCATAATCCTCTCACCAAGCGCTAGCATACATCTTCCCTGCCGGCCTGTGTACCTGCATATGTGCCTGCCTGCCTGCTTGTTTGCCTGCCTGAAGCGCCTCGACACACGAACAACCCCATCCCCTTCCTCCCCACGCACCTGCGCCTTCTCCTTGGGGTCAATGTGCGCATACATCGCATCCGTAGACAGGGCAGCCTCCCGGAAGCTTCCGATGCAGTACTGCAGCGACTGCAGGGCGGCGGGGCGCGTCTCTTCCTCTCGGAGGCGCGCCTCAATGGGGTCGCCGAGGCGCTTGAGCTCCTCCAGGCGCGTGGTGTACACGCCCTTGCTCTCGCTCTCCCCGTCCTCGTACAGCCAGTCCTCCGTCTCCTGCAGCCGCGCCAGCAGCTTCTCCTTCTCTGCGTCGGACGCGTATGCTGCTAGCTTGTCGTGCAGCTGGTGCCACGCATGGCGGGTGAGGGTGAGGGGAGAGGGGTTGAAAAGGTAGCGTGAGTGGTGAAACATGGTGTGACAAGCAGAATTGAATCCCCCTGCCAAGGACCTCAGGTTGTCATAATATCACTAGTTAAAGACAAGAAAGCAATATGATGTAATTTATTTGACCATCGACATACGCACAGAGAATGCTGTGGATGCCAAACATGTGCCTACCTCGACGCACATGCCATGCCTGTACACACCTTCATGTCATGCCATGCCCGTACACACCTTCATGTCATGCCATCCCATGCTTGCAACCACCTCCCTTCACCTCCCTGCACATGCCCTGTCATGCTCCCACCACCCTGCCCTGCCATAGCACGCCATGCACGCACGGCTGACCTTGTTGCGCATGTCGTAGACGTAGCTCTCAACGGCGTTCTTCTTCTCCTTGGTCTCCTCCATAACGCGGTCCTGCAGCGCCATCGCAAACTCCTCCTCCACCAGCTGCTGCAGCGCTGCAGGAGGCAGGCCCCCCACCAGGTGCGCCTCGATCGGCACGTCCTGTCTTCTTCGTCTTCTTCTTCTTCACCATCTCCGGCTGCAGAACGATGGAGTGCGGTGCCAGGTGGTGCAGGAGAAGTAGAAAAAGGGGGAATAAGAAGTCTGAGAATGGGTTAAATTTGGGACTAAGAAGTCTGGGAGCCACGCTCTATAATTCACTCAGCAGCACGACGGATGCTGAATGCCGTACCTTGGCTGGTTGAGCGGCATCATCCATCTTGGCATCGCCCTCCGCGCCACCAGCTGCAGCAGCAGCAGCATCGGCCTCCATGGGCGCCCCAGCTGCATCGGCGGCTGCGGGGGCAGCAGCGGCGTCCTTGGCGTCCTTCTTGGCCGGCACCTCCACCTCCTCCTCCTCCAGCAGCTGCCCGCACACGGCCATGGCACGGATAGGGGAGAGGGAAGCAACCTTGGTAACACAAGGCACGTCGTGCAAACAGCGAGTGCTTGATGAATTGATTCTGTGAATCCCTCTTTTGCTTCTGCGCATAGTCTTTCTCTCTGTGTGGCACGTCTTAACTGCATTCAGCCTCAGCAAAGGTTTCTCCTTTGCTGCCTTGCTGCAACTAAAACATCAGCTGAAAAGGGAGGCAGCGCTGAGGATTCACCAACACCAAGGTGAGAAACAGCAACTCACCTTTCCATCCTCCACTGACAACACATACCCGGCCTTATTGGTTGCACCTGTAACCACGCAGCTCACATGCTTCATACCGTTTATTTATTCTCCTTTCCTTCTTCTTTTCCTTTTCATTTTCTGCCCCCTTGCCTCTTTCTGACGCTGTTCAAACGCACCATCCTAAGTGGCAGGGCAGCACTCACCGTGGCGGATTCGACGGACAGGATGCCGTGCAGGTTGAGTCGGATCTTCACCTTAAGCTTCGGCTTCGAATCCGGCCGCGACGGTGCGAACGGACCTACCTGCCATGCATGCACAGGGGGAGTGCGGGTGGAGGGGTTCAAAAGGGTTAGTTTAGGTTATTCAAACTTGACAAGGAATCCACTAATGAGAGTTTGCATCAAGGTTCTGACAGCCAGTGTGCATGTGACGGGCGGGGTTTTATTACCACATGCCTGAGCGCGCAGCCGCGGACTCACAGTGAAGGTGCCGATGCGCGTGTTGGCGCCAACGGTCTGGTCCTCGGGGTTGGCGTAGAAGGCGTCGATGGTGAAGGCCTCCGTGCGGTAGAACGTCAGCAGCTTCGAGCTCGGCAGCGGGTTGTTCTTCGAGAACACCACCTGGTTCGGCTGCGCCGCCGCCTCCTCTCCGCCGCCCTCAGCGCCCTCCGCGGACGTCGCCGCGCTCGCTTGCTTCCACGAGAGTGCGATGGCGAACGGGTACGTGTCGTGCACCTGCGCGGGGGGCGGGGGAACACGCGGGGTTGGGCGCGGTGGGACGAGGGGGTGACGGGGGGGAGGAGAGAGCGATATGAAGCGAATACACAGGGAATTGAGATAGGTGGGATGGTGGCGAACGTTGGCCGGAAGCGTAGCACGCACGCACCCTGCATCGTGCATCATACACCACGTGCTCTACACCCATTAATCAACGCAGCACCCCGGACAAGACAACTCACCTCGAACTCGCGGACTTTAAAGGCGGGGCTGAGCATGGCGCACTGCAGCGCGCACCCGCGCGCGACGCACTCGCTAGCGTTCATCGTGCGGCGCGGCTCCTTGCCGAAAAACTCTGCGAGAATCTTCATGATGGCCGGCACGCGCGACCCGGACCCCACCAGCTCGACGGCTGAGATCTGATCGACGGTGATGCCCGACTCGAGCAGCGCGCGCGCGCAAGGCGCCTTGACGCGCTCGAGGATGGGCTTGGCCATCTGCTCGAACTGGTCGCGCTTGAGGAAGCCCGTCACGTCCTTCTCGTCCATCAGACACTCCACCTGCACAATATGGAGCGAGGGTTTGGGTAAGGGGGAGAGGGGCCAAGGTTATGTTTTGAGATATGTGCGAGGGGTGGAGCAAGGGACACGTGGGTGATTCACGGGGGCATATGACGTCAACAGAGAGAGCACCGACACGGAGGCCAGTGTCGTGCGACTCACGTGCAGCGGCGACTCGGGGTTGGCGCTGAGGACTTTCTTGAGCTTCTCGCACGCGGTGCGCAGGCGGAGGCACGCGCGCGCGTTGGAGCGGATGTCGAGCTTGTGGTTGCGCGCGCACTCGTCGACGAAGTGGTTGAAGAGCACCTCGTCGAAGTCGCGCCCGCCCAGCGACCGGTCGAACGCGTGCGCCAGCACCTTCAGCTGGCCCTTCTTGAACGCCACGATCGACACCTGCATCGTCGAGTGCCCGATGTCCACGAACGCGATATTGAGTGGCTCGGTTTCCGACAGATCCGTCTTGTAGATTCCGTACGCCAGCGCGGTGGCCGTCGGCTCGTGCATTAGCCGAAGCGGGTGCAGCCCCGCGATGGTGGCAGCATCGAGATACGCGCGGCGCTGCGCGTCGGTGAGGTATACGGGGATGCCGATCACGCAATCCGTGATCTTCGACCCCAGGTCCTTCTCGCCGATCGCTTTTAATCCATTCAGAACCATCGCAAGAAGTTGGGTGGGCGTGAACGTCCTGGGCTCGTTCATGTACATGACGTGCACGAGAATATCGCCGTCGGGGCCTTCTGAGCAGCGGAACGGGAACATCGGGAGGTCCTTCTGGAACTCGGGATCTGCGAATTTCCGCCCGATCATGCGCTTGATCTGCGACACCGTGTTCTTAGGGTTCATCGTGTACGACGCCGCTCCTGCGACGCCCAGATATCGCTGCGATTCGCCGAAGCAGACGACATTGGGGGTCTCGCGGTTGGACTCCTCGTTAAGCGCGATGTCGATTCCGCGTTGTCGCGCAATGCCTACCACGCCCCTCTCGTTCCCCACATCGAAGCCGACCACGCTCATGGTGCTCTGCCGAAATTGAAGGCTAGGTCACGGCAGAACTCGGAAAACAAGGGATCAAACCAGGACGCACAAAATTAACTGCTAGTCTACGAATAACGTGGTCGGATTTTAGTAATCACAGATCCTGAAGAAGCAGCTAGAAGAGATGAAAGAGATTTGTTTCAAAACAGCCTAACATCCGATCCAGCAAAAGCTGTCAGTGCCTTCGCGAACGTCGTGAATGTGAGTACAGTTTCTTCGCAAAACCTGTCTATTGCGCAGCGAACGGTATGTACCATCTGCTCAACAGCAAGTAACGCATCGTGAGGACTTCGCTACGCCATTCACGTTCTAGAATGTCATCGTAACGAGACTTCGGGAACCTTCCTGGAGGCGGTTGTGACTGTGGACGACGGCAGCACGCCACGGCACTGCACCTGTCAGATTCTGCGGAACAGGCATGAGAAGATTCAGTGCTTCTGTAAAGGACACTTCGATATGTTTGTGTCGGTATCTCACGCAAGGGCTGCATACACCGCTTTCAAACTAAACCCAGTGTGAGAAACTAAAAGGCCTCACCATACATCGAGCACCCAGTGTTGCATCGGACACAAGGTGGCAGAAAACAAACCGCGCAGTGTTGCATTTTCATACCTAACACAGCTCTATCATTACCAAACCTCTAGTTCATACCACTGAGTGGGAACACCGCTATTCTTTCCCAAGTACTCATAGTGAGGTCAGTGGGTTCAGTGCGGTAGAGTGCGAGCGATGAAACATGGAAGGAAGGAGATGGTAGCGATGCGGACTTGGGAGGGAGCAGGGATGAAAATGTCTCTTCAACCGCTGCTTTGGCGTCCTGCTTCTGGGTGTCTGAGAGATCACCATAAATGAGGCTGAGATGAGGCATGTATGCTGCACACACAGAACGCGAGGCCACGTAGAGGTGGGGGGTTGAGTTGGGGGTGATTGCGGGGGGAGTGGGTGGGGAGAAGAATGTGAGGGAACTTCTGTACTAATCAGGCGGTTAGGAAATTGGAAGGGATATTGTTGCAACAAGCAGGACAAGCAGGCAAGTGAGAGACACATTCTCAACATGGTGTCGTGGCACAACAATATGCCAATCCATGTTCGTACCAGCAACGGAATTCTTGTCCATGCCCATCACTTCCACTGCCTTGTTGTGCACATGGAGCACCTGATAGCACCCAGCCATGGATCGTTGGTCAGAGAGAGGGAGGGAGGGCACAACAGGCAAGATGCAACGATGTTCCATCATGAACCAGCAAACTCAGCAGCAATCGTGTGAGCCAGAAGTCACACCAACAATTTGATGTATGCATGTCACTCACCAGCAGAAGGGCACAAACTTTTTGAGAGAACAAGAGAACCGCATGGCTGAGCAGCACGAGAGCGCACCTCTTTTGAAGGCAGCATCTTGATGTACACGCATTGGAAGAAGAGCCGACCAGCAGCCAGCTCCATGACTTGGATGTCGTATGGCTTTAAGGACGCACTCAATCGCTCCATGCGCTTCACCACCTCCTGCTCGTCCAACCCCTCCCTCGCCCCAAACGCTCCTATCACCGTCACATGCGGCTCAAATGGCGTGCACTTGAGCCTGCGGGACAGGTGCGGTAAGAAGAGCCTCAATTGTATGCTTCGGAATCAGACAAATCCCACAAAGTTGAACAAAGAGATTTTTCTTTCAAGATGACAAACCTGCTTGAGAGGTTCGAGATGGCTGCCGAAGCTGAGGTGTGGAATGCCGAGCCTTCTTCAGGCATGGCCCAGATGGAAAACTGATTCACCTTCGCTGACGTGGCACGAGCTGATGCGTTTCCTGGCTTATCCCGCAACGGATCAGCATCCATGGCTGACGTGGCAATGTCGGGGGAAGTGGAGGACGAGAGGCGCGAGAATGCGAGATAGGCGATGAGTAAGAATACTACCAGAATAAGGACGGAGCGCCTTTTATCGGCGTTGAGTGGTCTGAGGAGCGGTAGGTTGCGAAGGACAGTGCGCGATGACGGAGGGAGCGGCATTCGCGTGCAAGAAAAGGGTGCTAGCGAATGATAGAGCGTTCGCGAGACCATGCAACGTTGGGCTCTCCGGCACGTGACAATGAATCTGATCACCCAGTTTCAGACAGAAAACCGACGAGAACCAGAAGGGAACGGAATGTTGACCTGCTAGGAACGAGCATTGGCGTGGACGGAAAGTCGAACGACGGTTACGCGCGTTACACGGTGGGAAACGCGGGGAGACTGCTAATCGAGGGCATATGGCACCGCCGACTCCTTGAACGATGGGAGACGGAGGAATGCACGCAGACATGGAAGCAGTGAATGTGGAGGGCCAGAAAGGTTCCAGTGAAGCCAGTAATTATTTGTACCAAAATTTTTTATTGGATCTATCAGACATATCAGAGTGGCGCAGCGGAAGCGTGGTGGGCCCATAACCCACAGGTCCCAGGATCGAAACCTGGCTCTGATACTTCACGGCGTGTTTTCCTCCAACCCCTTATGCTGAGTTTTCCCTTCATTTTGGACAGCCTAATGAGGTTACCTATCTATGGGAACGTGTACCTCTGCCGCCCTTTTACGACCTAGATTGCAAGTGATCTTACCGTAACATTCTCCGAGCTCCTGGTCTCCATGTGTGTGGCAGCTCTTTTCGCCTTTGTGTTGCTAGCTACATCACCAACGCATAACGTATCAGGAAGGCATGCCAGTACTGGCATGTACCTTACATTTGTGGTCCATACCGATATCCAGGTCGTGCATTGATCCAGGACTATGGAAGCTGGGCCATGGCCCGTGCACAAATGCAAACGGGGGTAGTTGATTTATTGTGGTTCAATATTTCTGCTGCTCTGACCAGCTGCATGTGTACCAAGGCTCGTGCCTGAGGGAATCATTGCTCAAAATCTTCCCTCAGACAGGTGAAGCCAATAGCTACTCTACAAAGCAAAAGACCTAGGGCCGAAGAGTGCCTCTTACAGAGGCAGGACAGCACCGGGCGGAACGGGATGAAGGAATCACGAAGGCTTTGCCTTGCGGTAGGCGGGCTTGCCCTTGAAGAGCGCCACCAGGTCGTCAAAGCCCTGCGGGGAATGGCAGAGAAGGGAGGATGCAGGCAAGGGACAGCTCCATTTCACGAGTTGAGGTTAAAACAACGGTTGACTTGTGCTGTGCGCGGAGTGTGCAGCGCACTGCGCATGTGAGACTGATGCTGGAGGCAAGAATGCACAGCTGTGATGTCACACGAGCATACCTTGGTGGCTGTATGGAGGATGACGAAGAGCGAGGAGAGGTAGATGGCCACTGCAAGGAATGTGACTAAATCGAAGGTGATGCTGGCCACCTGCACGCACACGTGGATGCACAGGAGTGGGCGAACACAGAGAAGAACAGAGCAACAAGTCAGTGGAGCAGGGAGGCAATGGCGTGAAGGCATGAAATATATTTTCTTCAAGGTCGGTGACTAGGATACGAGCACAACGCATGGAGCATGGTGGATGCACGGAAGGTGCAGACATGAGACGTAGCATGCTACCACGGCCCGCCCAAACCCACCTGGTAAATGTGCATCTGAGCATGCGGCGTGGAGTAGAGTGTGTAGTGCGGGTCCAGAGCTGCTTTCCTCACCTCCACCTTGTCCGCATGCAACGCCAGCTCCTGCCACGCGCACACGTAGACCGTTAAAATAAGCGAGGGGGCACAAGGAAGGATGCGAAAGAGGTCTCCAAGGCTGAGAGCTGTTGCAGCCGCACGCCATTGGGTGCTGAAGTTTACTGCAACGACGAGAAATGTCTCACCAAGTGTGGACCCCATTCTCTCAGACAAAGGATCTTACTGCTTGGATGGCGGCAATTATTGGGTCGTCCTTGGCCAATAGCGGGGCGACACGTGGCGCGCGGGAGAGGAGGGAGAGCCAGTGAGAGAGGTAGGGGAGGCTGGGGGCGAGCGATGAGTTGGGTGGGAAGAAGGCGATGGGGGGAGGGGCTGCCGCCGCTCCCTCAGATGGGGCTGTGCTGGTGCTGCTGCTGTTGAAAATGTGGCTCTGGAGAGGAGAAATGGAAATGTAGATATTCAGACATGAGATAAGGGGAGAGGGTGGACGGGGACAAACAGAACCAAGGAGATAAACGGTTCAGGTTGAGAGGAACAGGTAGAAGCTGGGTGTAGGTACAAGAACGAAAGGGAGAGGGCGTGAGAGAGTTGGTCGCTTCTCACCGCAATGGTTTCAGCAATGAGGCGCGTGGCAGCCAGCAACTGGTGCTCGCCCACTGACTCCCTGCACAGCGGTGCAGAGGCATTCAGATACACATGTGCGGAGAGACGGCGATGAATTGAAGGCGGAGATGACAGACAAGTTGGAAGGACCAGTGAGGGATGGAGAAGGTGCCACACACGAAAAGATGCATGGGTAAAGCACGCATGACAGGCAGGGAGAATAAATTGTGTTGCCAAGTGCTCGCATCCCGTTTCAACCTGATTGCACCTTTCCCAGCCTGGTCGTCCCTTCCCACCTCTTCATGCCTCCTCCCTTCTCACATCTCATCCTCCTCCATCCACTCCTTCCCCTGCTTACCTGGTGTCAGCCAGCCCCCCCCAGTGGCGCAGGAAGGGCGGCGCGGAGGGCAGGGAGGAGAGCGATGCGGCAACGAGCTTGCGGCGCGAGAAGAGCTCGTGCTGCCACGGCACACGCGCGTCCGAGATGTTCACCTTCTTGTGCACCAGGGCGATGGAGGTCCGTGGGTCCGCGGCTGCTGCAGCGGAGGACAGGCCCTGCAGGCGGGGGGGGAGGGGCGGAGGAAAAGAAGGGTGGGATTCGGAAAGAGAGGGAGCATGGCACACACGCGTCGGAGATGTTCACCTGGGCGATGGACGCTGGGGGGTCAGCGGCTGCTCCAGCTGAAGACAGGCCCTGCGGAGGGAGGAAGGCGAGCGAGGGGAGCACGGGGGGAGTGCATGGTACGGGAAAGGGAGGCAGCACGTAATGAGGGCAGGACGAGTGGCGGAGGGGGGGCTGCAGGGGAAGCATGGACGAAGGGCAGTGAGTGGGAGGGGTGGTGACGGGGAGAGAGCAGGGCTGCACGATGGTGACTCACATGGAAGAGTGCACTGATGGTGGGGTCCTTGAGAGGCCGCGACGCATGCAGGTGCAACCCACTGCCCCCCTCCGCTGCCCCTGGCGCTGCACCAATGGCGCGCAGACAGATGGCGAACTCGAGGCGGTCCTGCACACTCTGGTCCAACGAGGCTAGCCACTGGGGGGAAGGGAGAGAAGAGAGGATGGGGGAACGAACTGAGAAGGGTGCGAGGAGGTAAAAGAGGTCGTTTACACCAGGAATCGGCGTGAGAAAGTTAAGTGGGTGACGAGGAGGGCAAGAGGGGGGGACGACAAACTCACGCTCTTGACCTTTCTCCACCCCTTGCTTCCACCATCCCTCCTTCCCATACTCGCTCCCACCCACCTGCCAAGTTCCATCCCACAATGCTCAAGGCACAACCCCCCCCCTGCCAGCCTGCGCCCACGCCCACCTGGCGAGTGCCGTCGAAGTTGAAGGGTCCCCCGGAGGAGAGCAGGAAGAGCAGGTGGAAGGGCGGACGCGCAGAGGGCAGCAGCGCGAACAGGCGCGAGAAGAGGCGCAGCACCTGCAGCACCGCCGCCACCCCGCTGGCACTGCTGGCCGGGCCGGATGCGAGCGACTGGGGTGCGGGTAACGAGAGACGTGGGGTGGGGGTGGGACGGGGAATGGCGGTGGGGAACGGGGGGAGCATGGGGAAGTACGAGGGGCGGAACAGAAGCGCTGCCAGGGGAGGAAGTTAATGTGAGGGAGCGAAGGGGAGGTGGCGGAGGGCATGGAAGGGATGGAAGGCTGATAGAGCACGAAGAGGGGCAGCGGACTCTGTAGGACAGAAGGGAGGAGCGTGAGCAGGAGGAGCGAGAAGCGAGGAGCGGGAGGGTAGAGGAAGACGAGGCGTGGGAGTGCAATGCTGAGAGGAGGCAGGGGGCTGACAGGCACGAGGCCGAAGGTGTCAAGCGGCGCCACCACCGCCACTATGGGCAGCGCCTCCCTCCTCCCGCCCTGCGCCTGCCCCTGCCCCTGCCCGTCGCCGTACAGCCATGCCTCCAATGCCGGCAGGGGCGAGGAGGCCGGCAGCTTGCGGGGCTCGCCTGCTGTTACCACCAGCTTGAAGCTGATTGGATGAGAGGAGGGGGAAAGGGGAGTGGAGGAAACGAGGGGAAGGGAGGGAAGGGGAGGAGCGGGAGGGAGGGGCGATGGAGCAGGTGTGACGGGGAGGGAAGAGAACGGCAAGAAGTGAAAGGAGAGACGTTTGACAAGTGCGGTGCAGGCATGGCCATAAGTGCATTGCGTTTACGCCGATATGGGAAACTGATACACGCTCGGGGTGCCTTTTCTTTCCCGTGCAGCCAGACTCAGTGCTCACCCGCCATTGGTGGCCGATGCTGGCTTGCCCGCCCTGTCGTTGCTCTCCACGTCAGCCGCCAGCTTTGACAGCTCAGCATTGTCAACAGCGAAATACACAGGCACCTGCGGGTGGGAGGAGGATGGAAGGGGGGAGGGTGGAAAAGGGGGAGGGAGTTGGGTGGGTGGAATGTAAAGTGGGTGTTAAATTGTGTGTTAACCAATTCAGTCAGCATAGGAACCACTTGTTGACATCCAAAAAGTTGGCACAGAGCCGACAACAGTGCCAGCATGGCATGGTGCAGGCGCTCTTATCATCAGAGCGCTCCATTCATGAGAGCGCCCTGCGCAACGGCTCACTCACCGGTATGTTGGCGTCCAGCAGCCGCTCCTCTAGCCGCGCCACCACCTCCACGTGCTCCTTCACCTCCCCCGCGCCCTCTCCTGCCCCGGCCTTGCTGGCGTCATCGTCCGCATCGTCCTCCTCTCCCTGACCGCCATCTGGCAGCGAGGAGCTGAAGTGACGTGGCAGGATGAAGAGCAGCCCTCCCACCTTGCGGGATCCCGCCACCACCTCTGATGACGGGGCGGGGGAGAGCGAATGAGGGGCCGGGAAGGGGTTGAGACGCGCAGGTAAGAGAGGTAAGAGAGGGAAGGATCAGGGGAGGGAGTGGGGAGAGGCGGTCAAGGCATCATGGGTGATATGTGCGAGAAGGCTCATGCCGCAACATGGGACCAGCTTCCACATGCCGGCATGTCACATATCGCATGTGCAAGCGCGACGCCACGGGCTCACCATCGAGGAGGGTGAAGTTGATCCGTTGGATCGGCATCACGATCACGGCGCGCATCAGATCCGCCTCCGACGCTGCTGACGTGGACAGCCCCGACGACGCGTACAGGCTGAACGACGCCTTGCGCGACCCGAACGGCGCGCCGCCCAAATCGTACTGCGGCGAAACGAGACGGGTCGCGGACAGGGGAGCGCGGGAGGTGGGAGACCAAGTCAGGGAAGGAGGGAGGCATGGTCGTGGCGTTACGCGGCGTCACGTTTGCACTGGCCTGCGGAATTAGAGCCACACACGTCCATCTGTCGTCGCTCTTTTGCTAAACTTGCCCCGCCGCCACCGCCTACGAAGGAGCTCTCCCTGGTCCATCGCGCGGTGCGATACCCTGAGGCGGCTCAGCCGTGAATCGCACGTTTCTGCACTATCCACGCCGATCTAGCTTTGGAGCACCGAGACCAGGATTTTCCACCAAAAGCTTCTGGATCTGATACGATATGCATTGCATCGTACTGCACCGCATCGCACTAAACTGCGGCGGAAACACGCGGCTTCTCCCTTTCGGGGCCTCTCTTCTCACCCGCGCTGCGTTGGGACTCCGAGTCTTACAAAGCCCTCTACCTCGCACGCTGCAGCCAATCGAATCGCACGGCTTCTGACCTCGCAGCAACGACTTCGAGCTTGCCGAGAAGGAGCGCAAGCGACCCCCCCCGGGTTGCGCTCGCACGCGTTTATTACTCTGCGCATCGGTAGATCTAGAGGTCTGGGAAGCGAACTCGGATCGGAATTCAGGTCGTTCACGACACGGGCGATGGCGGATCCAACGGACCTGGATCATTCTGTAGACATCGACGACGGACGCGGCGTCGGAGAGCACGGGGAAGACCATAAGCGCGCCGATGAGCGCCACCGCCGCCTGCAGCACCACCGCCGCGCGCAGCAACGGCGCCGGGCGCGCGCGGCTGCAGCGGGAAAACGGATCCATGGCGGATCGCGGGCGAAGCTACGGGAGGCGCAAAGAAAGGCGACGCGCAGATGACGGATACGGAATGCGAGGTGCGTGGACCCGGGAGGCAGTTGGGGAGGGGCCGCAAAGGCTGGCTGGATCCGTGTTGCTGAAGGTGAAACAGGGCAGCGGCAGGGAGGTGACAAACGATGATTTGGGCTCTTTGGCCCAGCCCAGCAGCGTGGTGGCGGCAAACCGGATTGAATGGATTGAGGGCGTGTTTCGATTGTCTCGGATAGTTTTTCCTGGATCAGGTTGCATCAATTTCGAGTCTGTTTCGACTCCGCCATGGAGGAGAATGGGTCTCCATGAATCGTCCGCACTTCTGGCAGTTGCGACCCGATCACTGTTGCCGCGCAACGTCAAAGTCAACCGACTAATTTCTTCTGCATCCCAGCGGCTGTCAATCGTCACACTCGCTTCCGCTCCTTCCTCTCCCCACAACGTGCGCGTCGTCGATAGACAACGCCGTCCGTCCACCGTAGCACGTTTCTCCGTCCGCCGGCCGTCAGCCGTCCGATGGTCAAATGGCACGGCTTCGCTTGCGCTGCCGCCGCCGCCATCGGCCACAGCGGCATCGACGCGACGCGCAAGTACGCGTCGCAGACGCTCTCCTCCGCCGAGCTCGTGACGCTCGTCGGCATTCTCGATGCGCTCTTTCTCTCCTCCTTCATCCTCGCGTTCCGCCTCGTCACCGACCTGCGCTTCGTGACGTGGAAGCTCCTGCAGATTCTCGTTGCCAGCTCAGCAGCAAAGATCCTAGCTGGCGTCATGTACCAGCGCGCGTTACACGTAGCACCGATATCCACGACTGTTCCGTTCCTCGCGTTCGTACCCGTGCTCTTACTCGCAACATCGTTTCTTCTCCTGGGTGAAGTCCCGAGCGTACAAGGCGTGATTGGCGTCGTAGTTGTAACGGCAGGTGGTTACCTCCTAGCGTTACAGAGCAGCGCGGGAAGCGGCAGTCGCGGCTCGAGCAGATCTAACAGCCGTGCCAGTAGCCCTCGGTATGCCGTTGCTACTACTAGTAGCGGGATTTCTTCTAACGAAATCGAGGCTCTTGGTGATAGAATCGGGGCCTCCGGTACAATAAAACTTACTGACAGCGTCGAAGCTGATGATGAAGCTAGGATTTCTCGAATTGACTCTGCCAGAGCTAGCTCACCGGCTCGGGCCGAACCGTCGTCCCCTTTAACCCCCATCCCGGCTCAACCTAGGTCAATTTTGAGGGGAAATCACCCTGTTCCTTTTTCCGCACCTCCAAGCCACCGCACTGTAGCTAGACGTCTGACAGGAAACCCCCAACCCGGAATGACGGGAGAAACTGACATTACTGAAAGTCCTTCTGGTGTTGCTGCTGACCTAAGGAATAGCTCTGACTCTGCTTTTGAAATAGCTTCGGATGCAGGCATGGATTCTCCAGACCTGCGTGCCGAGGCTGACTTGGTGCTAGGTTCGGACATAGCGTTGGATTTGAGCTTCGGGCAGCGAATCGATCGGGCAGTGAGTGAAAGACACTCGGGCAGCGGGTTAAGGGCAGAAGGGAGGGCAGGAAACGCGGCAGGAGAAGAGGAAAGAGAGGAGGTGACAGCTGGGGGAGGGAGGAGTGCCACTTTGGCTGGTGAGAGAACAGGAGAGAGCAGACAAAGAAGTTTCACTGAAGGTTCTAGCAGCAGTGAGATTGTGGCCGGCGGTGGGTTCGGAGGCGGAAGAGGGTTCTATTCCCGAGCCTCAAGAGGCCGGTTCGGCACTGGCTTGGGAATTGGGCTAGGTTCGGCTCATCACCCCCAGGAGGATGGATCTGCCCAATCCAGCCCTGCCACGTCAGGAGGGCGAGCAATCACAAGGGGAGACGGGGCAAGAGGGGAAACAGGGGAGGTGGTGGGTGAAGGGGAGAAGGGAGGAGGGGAGGGCAAGGGGGGGAAGAGGGAGAGTGTGAGACAGCAACAGGAGGCGACAGCACAGCAAGGAGCAACGCCGGGGTCAGCAGGAGGGGTGTGGCGAACGAGGAGTGGGAGGCGGAGAGGCGGGTGGATGGGGGCGTGGTTGCTGGTGGTGCTGCAGCAGGTGTGGGGGGCGGTGGTGGGAGGGAAGGAGGAGCGGGATGTGGAGGCGGGGAGGAGAGGGTGGGTGAAGGTGCTTGTCTCGAAGACAACTCGTGTGCGCCTGCTGCTGGGTGCAGTGCTGGCCCCGTTGGGGTGAGTGAGTGAGTGAGCAAGTAGCCATGAGATCTCAGGCCTCCCTCGCCCCTTTCCCTCTCCTCTGCCTCCTCATCCACATTCCCGATTTCAGTGCTCTCCTCAATCAACCACTGTTTCTGCCGCTCTTTCTCCTGCCGCTCTTTCTCCTGCCGCTCTTTCTCCTGCCGCTCTTTCTACCTCTCTCCACTCCACTCCACTCCATTTTATGTGAATCAGAAAGAGGGTCGGCATCGTCTGGCAGTATCTGCACGGTCCGGTGAAGCGGTTACGAGTGGTGGTAACCGCATGGGCAAGGGCACCAATGCGAGTGGCAGCACGAGTGGTGCGGGTGCCGTGGGTGGTGGTGAAGGGCGCGTTGAGGTGGGTGGGCGCTCAGAAGCGCCACGAGGGGCCGCTGCTCATGATGGGATGCGCCGTGCTGCTCAGCTTCACCAACGGGTATGGCCCCCCCCCGCCCCCCTGCTCCCTGCTCCCTGCTCCCTGCTCCCTGCTCCCTCAGTTGCTCACCCACCATCCATTCCGCTCACCATTCACACGCATTCTTGTCCTCTGGCCATTCAATCTCCCTTCCCCTGCTGCTGCTTCCCCTTGCTGCCCCCTCCTTGGCCCCACCCACCTTGTTGCCCCTCCCTTCTGCCCCCACTGCTTTTCCCCGCAGGTGTGACAAGCTGGGGGTGCACCACTCGCCCTCAGTGGTGGTGTTTGCGGGGATGCAGCGCCTCTTCATGGCCGTGCCGCCCGTGCTCTACCTCGCCGCCACCAGGTGTGTGTGCGCTACAGCCGCCACCAGGTGTGTGCGCTACAGCCGCCACCAGGTGTGTGCGCTACAGCCGCCCCCAGATGCGCTACAGCTGCGCCCAGGTGTGCTACAGCCGCCCCCAGATGCGCTACAGCTGCGCCCAGGTGTGCTACAGCTGCCCCCAGGTGTGCTACAGCTCCCCCCCAGGTGTGCTACAGCCGCCACCAAATGTGCTAAAACTGCAGCTGCGTCTGCCTCTTGCTGCCACCACATGCACAATCGCCCTCACCAAGCGAGACTTGCTGCTTCCATTGCACCACATGCAACTTGCTCTCCCCTTTTTCCTCACCTCTCCTCATCCCCCCTCCTTCCCGCTTCCCCCAGGCCATCGGCGTTTCCCCTGCTGCTGAAGCACTTCCCGTTGCTGGCGGGCATATCAGCGTGTGAGATCACGGCCATTGTGTTCTATCTGCAAAGCCTGCACTGGCTCCTCGTCTCCTACTCCGTTGCCGTCAGTCCCCTTCTCCCCCCCCCCTTCCCACTCTCTTCTCTTCCATCCAATTCTCACTCGGCATCGAGTCAAGCTGCTGCCGCCCAACCACCCGATATCCTGGGAACTGCCACGCGTAACGCATCCACTGCCTCACCACCTCGTGCTCTTTGAATGCCACTCTGATTCCTCGTCTTCCTTCTCACGGCATTGCCATGTGCCATTGTGTGCTGTGGCGTGTCTCCCCAGGCCAAGCGCAGCAACATCCTCATCTCCATGTTCGTCGGTTACTTCCTCTTCAAGGTAGCCCTCTACCTCCTCGATGCACTATTAAGTTTCCATCCTCTGCAAAGTCCGTTCCCCGCAATTCGTTGCGCATGGCTGCTTGCATGCTGCTTTGCTGCACATCAGTTGCATGTCGTTCCACTCATCCTCTCTCCGCTCCGCTTGCTCCTCCTGTGACCTCTGATGATTGGCATGTGTGCAGGAGAACATATGGAAGAGACTACCATACGTGCTGCTCATGATTGCTGGAATGACACTCATTATCTTTGCTGCATGAAGTGTACCTCTGCATTAAGTCTCCAATCATACCTCTTGAGTTGATAAATCCCATCTGTGCTGCCATCCCAACACTGATACGGTACAGAAGCAGCACCAGTGTATCACAGCATGCCTGTCAGTATCACAGCGTACCTGCCTGTATTTCTGGGCTCTTCTTAAAACCATCTCTGTCAGCGCAAACATCTTGCCTAGAGAACAACCACCGAAGCTGCAAGATTAGGCTTTTCACATACCAGATGGCCTGAGATGGCCCACCCACATTCAGGCACCTGCCACCTGAGTACAGCTGGCAAAGGCATTGCACACAGGAAATGGTTTCACACCATTTCCAATCGTCTCATTCAACTGTATTTCGCCTCTGCTGTTACGGTACTAGTCCACTTGGCTGTTTCTAGTCCACTTGGCTGTTGCTAGTCACACTTCGCTGTTGCAAGTGCCACAAGCACAGGTGCTGATTGTGACAACAGCACAAGGAACCTCAAAACTGTTGGAAACAATCGGTCCTAAGCGCCTCTGTCGTATCGAAACACTAAGGCACAAGCGAAGCAGAGCATATCGAGGCACCAGTGAGTCAACCCGCGGAGGTTGAAGTAACCGCTGGAAGTTACGGGAAAGTCAAAGGTCAGCGACCTTTGACTTGACAAACACAGCGCGACAGCAAGGACACACAACTGACTCGACATTGAGCAGTTGCCCGAGTCGCACTGTATCGAGCCGCAGCAGTAAAAATTATAATTTTTGAACACACACTGTGTTTTTTAAAATTGTGTATTGTGAAAGCGAAGCTGCTTGTACTGCACAATTGGCATCGTCGAAGCGCGCTAAACGCCCTTCTCCAACTACAAAAACCGTGGGTTGGAGTTCATTTCCCTCCACCCACGCTTCTCGATTTTCAAACGGCTCACTCACCCATTTGTAATTAGAACGATGCCAATTGATAAGAATAAGAAAGCAAGCTTTCTCAATCAGTTGAATTAGGGTACATTCCGCTGTGGACACATGTCCCAATCGATGTGTCCCAATCGAGTGTACCGCTCCAAACCGAACTAAACCAGAGACGCGAAAATTTCGAAACTAGGGTGCAATTTGGTGTAGTACGATGCAGTGCGGTAGAAACGATTGGGACACATCGATTGGGACATGTGTCCACAGCGGAATGTACCATTATATCTCTTCGTATTCCTTGTACTCTTATATACGGTAAATCTTTGTACTTGCTTGTTTCAATTAACTTACTTTGCCCTCACATACTAGTGCAAGGTGGTTCAGAATCCCTTTATTAAGTCTTCCGCTACTACATCACTCTACCCAGAGTTTAATCCTACCAAAGATCCTAAGGGGTGCTCAGCCCAACAAAAACAAGAAATGATCAATCACAAACAAGGTCACATCACAAAAAATCATGATATCTAACCAGATCCTTTAGTCACTAACAAAACACATCAGCTATTGGATAGTCATATCATATCTGCTAGAAAAAGCCCCCTGCTCACCTCACAACACAACCCCCTCCCAACCTTTTCCATCCACTTGCTCCCTCACCTCCCTTTTTCCCACTTCCAGCCCACCTGACAAGGCTCCTTCCATCACCAGCCTTGCTCTTCTTCTCATCTCACCATTGCTGCTCCACCACTCAAGTCACTGCTGTCATGCCTGCTTGTGCCACAGCTGTTCCAACTTCCCACAACTTCTCCTGCCAGAGCTGCTCCAACTGTTGCCGCAGTTTCTCCCGCCACAACTGCAACAGTCCATCTGCGAGGCAACAACTGCTGCCGCTGCTACAAGGGAGAGCATACGGCTCTCCCCTGCTTGCCCTGCATCCACCGTGCATTGCATCAGCCTTGCACCACCTTCGCCTCATCTCCTGCTTCCACTACCGCCTCCCACCATGCTGTCACCCCCACTCGCTCCTTCCACTCCCACTCTAGCCGCACTTCACTCACTCCCACTCTTAGGCGCACTGTACCTGACTCACTCCTACTCCCACTCACTCCAGTCACTAGCTCCCACCCTCGCACCATCTCTCACTCATTCCCACTCTTTGTTGCACCAACTCTCCATCAGTCCACTTATTCGCACTCTCCCAACCATTTCCACTCTTACTTGCTCTGTTTCCCCTTTTCCACTCGCACTGTCTCACTCATTCCCACTCTTACTCGCACTGTCTCTCATTCCCACTTTTCCTCGCACTCATACCCATTCTTATTCGCATTGTCTCTTCTCACACTCATTCTCACCCACTCCCACTCTTACCCGTACGCATTCTCTCTCACTAACTCCAACTCTTATGCACCGTCTTTCAGTCACCGCCGCTCTTACTTGCTCTGTCTCTCACTCACTCCCACTCTCACTCACACTGCGCCGTTCACTATCACTGTCCCTCTCCCTGGCCCTCCTGCCACTCCCACGGCTCTTCCCGTCCCTCTCCCTCTCCTGATGCCTCCCCTTACCTCCTCCGCTCCTCCTCTCCCTTCGCTCTTTCCTTCCACTTCTCCTCTCCGATTCACTATCACTCTCATCACTCTCCCGCTTGTTCTTCCTCCCACTGTGCCTGCGCTTCTCCCTCTCCCTGCGCCTATCCTTATCACTCTCACTCTCACTTCCCTTCCTATCCTTGCTCCTCTCCCGCTCCCGCCCACTGGCACCAGCCTTACGTCTGCCCCCTTCCTCATACCTCTCTCTTCCACTCCCCCTGCTGCCATCTCTGCTGCCAACACTCCCTTCCCTCTCACCTCTCTCCTTCTCATACCTCCCACGAGACTGCGTCTCATGCCTCCTGCTGCTGCCCTTCCTATCAGACCTCCTGCTCACCGCCTTCCCCTCATCCCCATCACTGCCGCCCCCCTCACTCTCCACACGCCCGCTCCTCTCGCTGTCACTATCCTCCTTCACTTTCCGCCTCGCCTTCTCGCCCGAGTGGCTGCCCCGTTTCTTTTTCTCACTGCCCCTGCCCTCCTGCTTCTTCTCATGCTTCTTTGAGCTCTCCTCCTCCTCCTCCTCCTCCTCATCTCTATCTCTCTTCGTCCTGCTTTTTCTCTCGTTGCTCTTGCTCCTGCTCCTGCTCCTGCCCTTGTTCCTGCTCCTGCTCCTGCTCCTGCTCCTGCTTCTGCTTCTGCCCCTGCTGCTGCTCCTGCTCCTCTCCCGTTCTCCTTTCACATCCCTCCCTCCCTTCCTTCCACCTCGCCCCCTGTCCACACGCCTGTCCCCACTCCTCCTCGCGCTCCTCCCCTCGTCGCCCTCACTGCTGCTCCCAGCTGACGTCTCCTTCCCCCTAACACGCTGCTCGGTCTCCTCACGCTTCTTCATCAACCTCCTCTTCTCCTGCTCCTCTCGGCCGCTCTCCTCCCCCCCGCTCCTACTCTCACTCTCATCCCTCTTCTTCGAAGTATCTCGTCCCTCACTCGCATCCTCAATAATCTCCTTCCCTCGCCTCTCCTCTCTCGCCCTTCTCACTGCAACCGCCCCCTCCGACTCCTCGCTCCTTTCACTGCTCGGACGCCTTTCTCTCTTGCCTCTTGCCTCATCTCTAATTCTCCCTTCCCCATCACTCTTCCTCTCCACCCCACCACTCTTCTTCTCCTCTCTATCGCTCATCTCAGCACCATGGGAGCTCTCAGGGGTATCAGGCCCATAGCGGAGAGCAGCGGCCCTTTCCTTTTCCGACTCTTCTTCCTCCTCCCTTCCTCTCGCCTTCGGAGTCTCTCTCTCATTGTCACTTTCTTCCTTCCTGCCTTTCCTCCTCCTCTCCTCATCGCTATCATCCGACTGGCTATCACCCCTCCCTCGCTTCCGTCCCTTTCGTACCGCATTCCTTCTCCGTCTCTCCTTCATCCTCCTCGCATCTTCATCCTCCCCCTCATCATCACTCACTTTGCCATCTCCCCTCGACCTCCTATTCCCCACCTTCCCACCACCCCCACTCCCCTCCTCTGAGTCTCCTCCACTAGAGTCTGATCCGTCCGCCCTTCGCTTCCTCGTCTCATCCTCAATGCTCTCTTCTCTCGATTTCTCCTTCCGTCTAATTTTCTCTGGAGACTTCACCCCTTTCTCCGTGCTTCGAGACTCTTCATGCTCCCCTCCCCTGCCCTCCCTCACATCCCTCTGTTTGCCCCTCCTCTCCTCCTCCTCCTCCTCCTCCCAATCCTTCCCCCTCTTCTCTCCATCACTCTCATCATCATCTGACACGCTCTCACTCCCCTTCTCCATCCGTTTAACCTTATTCCGCTCTTCTTCCCTCCGATTGCCGCGCCTTCCGCCCCGGTCGCTGTCCCTGTCACCCTTGTCTCGCTCACCGTGCTTTCCTTTACCCCGCCTCTTCTCTCCACTATCGCTGTCCCCATTGCTCTCCTCCCTCCTCCCTCTCTTCCTGTCCTTCATATCAGCATCATCCCTCTCGACTCCTCCCCGCCTATCCCTCTTCTCATCCTTCCTCCTCGTTTCCCTAACTCCCTTTCTCCTCGCCCTCTCCGCACTGCCATCATCAGCACTGTCTCTATCCGAATCATCTCTTTCCCTTTTCCGCCCCCCACGACCCTCCTTCTTCACCTCACCTCTGTGCCTCTCTTTCCTCTCCTCTTCCTCACCATGCTCCCTGTCCTCATCACTACTCTGCCTCCTCTCCCTTCCCTTCTTCCTCTCATCCCTCCCCTCCCTCTCCTTCCTTTTACCTCCCTCGCTGTCTCCCCCCTCCTCCCTCTCACCATCCTTACCACTTCGTGTCGTCCTCGTCCCCTCCTCCCTGTCCTCGTCAGATTCCTGCCCTCTTCGCCGTTCTCGTTTCTTCTCCCTCTCACGCCTCTTCTCCTTCTTCCCTTCCTCCTCCTCCTCCCCCCTCTCACGCCCCTCACGCTTATGCTTGTGCTCATGCCCATGTCGCCTTCCCCGTTTCACCTTCTCATCCGTCTCCTCGTCCTCCTCCCTTGCACTCTCCTTGCTATCCTCCCTCCTCCGGTGCCGGCGTTTTTCATCCCTCTCTTCATCTCGTCCTTTATCCCTCTTCTTCTTCTCTTTCTCCTCCCTCTCCCTCTCCTTCTCCCTCTTCCTTTCCTTCTCCCTCTCCTTTTCCCTCTCCCTCTCCCTCTCCTTCTCCTTCTCCCTCTCCCTCTCCCTCTCCCTCTCCCTCTCCTTCTCCCTCTCCCTCTCCCTCTCCTTCTCCCTCTCCCTCTCCCTCTCCCTCTCCTTTTCCTTCTCCCTCTCTCTCTCCTTCTCCCTTTCCTTCTTCCTTTCTTTCTCTCTCTCCTTCTCTTTCTTCCTCTCCTTCTCCCTCTCCTTCTCCCTCTCCTTCTCCTTCTTCCTCTCCTTCTCTTTCTCCCTCTCCTTTTCCGCGCGCCTTTCCTCTCGCTTCTCCCTGTGGCTGTGCTTGTGCGTGTGCTCCTTATCCCACCCCTCCTCGTCATCTCCCTCCTCGTCCCCATCATCAACCCGCTTCTTCACTCTCCTCTCCTTCTCCCTCTCCTCAGACCTCTTGCTCTTCTCCTCCTCGTCGGCCTCTCCTCGTTCTCCCTCCCTATCCGTCTCTTTCCCAAGATCCACAGCCACAGCCATTCCCCCGCCTGTCTCCCCGTCCTCGCCCCTCAAATCATCCTCCCACTTCTCCCTCTCGCTCCCTTCCTTGTTCATGTCTCCCCAACCGCTCCCCCCCTCATCCTCTCCGCGCTCCACTCCTTGCCTCCCCACTCCATGCTCCGCCAGAGCCTCTCCTTCGGCCCCCACTGCATTGCTGCCCAGTTCACTCTTTCTCTCAACATTCTCTTCCTTCTCTTCCTTCTCCTCCTCTACCTTCTCTTCGTTCTCCTTCTCTTCCTTCTCCCTCTCCTCATCCTCGTCCTTATCTACCTCTTCCACCTCCACGCCATCCCTTTCCCCTCTCTCCGCCTCCTCCATCTCTTTTTCACCCACCCCTTTCCCCTCTTTCTCCCCTTCTTCATCCGCCTTCTCACCCTCCTCCCTGCTCTCCTCCTCTCCCTCCCCTCCACCCTCTCCCAACGCTCTCCCTTCTCCCCTCTCCTCCTTATCCTCTCCCTTCTCCCCACCTCCTCTCTTCTCCTCCTCATCATCCTCCTCTTCCCTCTCCCTCCTCCTCCTCCTCCGCCTCCGATCCCTCTTCACCGCGGCAACATCCACCTCCTGCCCGTCGTCATCGATCACCCCAGCCTCCCTCAATTCCCCCTCCAGGCTCCTCACATGCTCGCGCCACAGCTCCTCCCGCTCGTGCCGGACCAGGTCGCGGTACCGGTCCTGGTGCCGAAGCACGGACTTAGCATCGGGCCAGGAGGAGGCGAGGCGGAGCCCGTCCTCACGAGCCTCGGAGATGGCGGCCACTGACAGCTCCTCCTCCAGTAGCTCGCGGAACTCCCTCTGCACGCGCTGTTGGGGGGAGAAGAGGAGGGGGAAGGGGTGAGGGGGGGAGGGGGGGAGATGTTTTGAGTCGATTCGACGAGCAAGCCTCAGAGAAGGCTGCCACTGAGAGCTCCTCCTCTAGAAGCTCGCGGAACTCCCTTTGCACGCGCTGTTGGGGGGAGGGAAAGGAAGGGCGAACAGAGGGAACGAAGGGGGATGAGGGAGATGAAGGGAATGGGCGGGGATAGGGTGGATAGGAGGGGCGTGGGGAAACGAAGGGGGATGCGGGCAGAGAGGGGGTGGGGAGGAGAAGAGACGAAAGAAGGAAGGGCAGGGATCCCGGTGATGCATTCCGAAGGCGAAGGCCCGTGCATGGTGCGACCTGAGTGATCCTAAGTGCATGGTGCGACCTGAGTGATCCTAAGTGCATGGTGCGACCTGAGTGATCCTAAGTGCATGGTGCGACCTGAGTGATCCTAAGTGCATGGTGCGACCTGAGTGATCCTAAGTGCATGGTGCGACCTGAGTGATCCTAAGTGCATGGTGCGACCTGAGTGATCCTAAGTGCATGGTGCGACCTGAGTGATCCTAAGTGCATGGTGCGACCTGAGTGATCCTAAGTGCATGGTGCGACCTGAGTGATCCTAAGTGCATGGTGCGACCTGAGTGATCCTAAGTGCATGGTGCGACCTGAGTGATCCTAAGTGCATGGTGCGACCTGAGTGATCCTAAGTGCATGGTGCGACCTGAGTGATCCTAAGTGCATGGTGCGACCTGAGTGATCCTAAGTGCATGGTGCGACCTGAGTGATCCTAAGTGCATGGTGCGACCTGAGTGATCCTAAGTGCATGGTGCGACCTGAGTGATCCTAAGTGCATGGTGCGACCTGAGTGATCCTAAGTGCATGGTGCGACCTGAGTGATCCTAAGTGCATGGTGCGACCTGAGTGATCCTAAGTGCATGGTGCGACCTGAGTGATCCTAAGTGCATGGTGCGACCTGAGTGATCCTAAGTGCATAGTGCGACCTGAGTGATCCTAAGTGCACAACAGGTCATGGCATGCACGGGAGGGAATGCACCTTGATGAGGCGGGCCATGTGCTCGTAGAAGAGGTCACCTTGATGAGGCGGGCCATGTGCTCGTAGAAGAGGTCACCTTGATGAGGCGGGCCATGTGCTCGTAGAAGAGGTCACCTTGATGAGGCGGGCCATGTGCTCTTAGAAGAGGTCACCTTGATGAGGCGGGCCATGTGCTCGTAGAAGAGGTCACCTTGATGAGGCGGGCCATGTGCTCGTAGAAGAGGTCCTGGCGGTCGCGGCTGGTGAGCTCCTTGTTCCAATAGCACGACGCCTCGTCCTCCTCCAGCTTCTCCCGAGCATCAATCCACGATATCTGCCACCACCCAGGGGGCGGGCGGGCGGGCGGGCGGGCAAGGGAGGGGGGGAGCAGCAGTGAGCAATGAGCATGGAGGCGACAAGGCAACCAGGGGGCGGGCGGGAGCTGGGAGGGAATACATCAAGTGGGCAGTCCAGCGGAGGGAGGGAGTAGCAGTGGGCGATCGTCACACCAAGGGAACATCACACGCACACGCATGCGAAAGCGCAACAAGTCGATTGCTTCATGCAGAATGCTTAGAATCATCCCTTCCCCCACCAACCCCACCTTTCCTCCCTCTCTCCCCCCATTTCCCCTCCTTTCCCCCCCTCCTCCCTTCCCCCGATCCTTCCCCCTCCCCCCTACATTGGGCGTCAGTATCTCGCGCCTCAGCAGGTCCTCAAAGTCCTCCTTGGCCTCTCGCCGCCGCACGCGCGCCCGCTCCCGCTCCTTCTTCTCCTCCTCCCGCTGCCGCAGCCTCTTCTCCTCTCGCTCCTGCTCGCGCTTCCGCTCCTGCAGCCAGCAACCACAGAAACATCACAACACACATTCCTTCCCTTTACAGCAATCTCTTCGTTACGACAACTGCACAAACCTCCGAGGCAAATAACAAGCTCTAGAACGAGTAGCGAGCGGCAGCAAGCACAGCAGAATAAGGGGGCATGCCACATCCCCCCACTCCCCTCTCCCCTCTCTTCTTCCACCCACCACGCCACTCACCTCCTCCTCCCACCGCCTGCGCGCCTCCCTCTCCTTCTCCTCCTCCTCGCGCTGCAGTGTGTCCATGAATGCGTCAAACAGCCGCTCGCGGTCCTCCCAGTGCTCCACCGCACTGTACCGCTCATCCTCCTTCAACTCCTCCCGCAGCTGCAAGGGGAGAGGGGAAGAGAGGTGGGCGGGTGAGGAGGGAATGAGAAGCAGAAGTGAGGTGGGTAGGTGGGGGACGGGGAAGGGATGATCCTTCCCACGCGCCATTGCTGCACCCTTCTCGCTGTGCTTGCTGTGCGTGGCAGACAGGGAGGAGCACGAGAGTGAGGGTCACGAGTGCGCATCACATCGCAGGGGCGACTCTAGAGACGGATGACCGGAATGCAGTCAGCAGTGCAAGACTAGCGTGCTGGAGTTCGAGTTTCACAATGCCTGAGATTCACTGCTATGCAGTAGCAGCACTAGCAGCAGCGTTTACCCAATGCGTGCAGTCAGCACAGCAACCGGGTTTTTCAGGCATCCCAGCGCGTGTGGTTGTCCTTGAACCTGCTGCACGTGTTACACATGCCATGTGCATGCCATGCCACCACGCATCCATGATACATAGTCTAGCCTAGCTTACAAACGCAGACCTCAAACCTGCTGAAAAGAGATTCTAGCATGTGATTCATTTTCCAATTGCGTTGTTTAAAAACGCTCAATGTAGGTAATTAAACCTGCTCAAGTCATAATTTTTAAGCTGACTGAATAAAAAGCGCCTCTGCATCTCAATTTTGGAATGGGCAAACATGTTTGTTCGAAAACACATGCTATGTGCAATTTGAACTGCGCTGCTGATAGATCGTTTGAAAGATCAAAACGTGAATTTATGTTATTTACTTTGTGCAGTGAAAAAGAGAGTCACCTTGGACCAGCGGGAGGAGAGGGCAATGTAGCGCTTGCCGCGGTACTCTTTCAGCATCTCCACAAACGCTTCTTCAGCCGCCTCCTTGCGCTCCTGCTGCCTCTCCTCCTCCAACCTCTTCAGCGGCACCACCCTGCCATGGTGAAGGTGCATGGCACAAACACAGATGCAGTTACAGGCACAGGCACAGACAGGCTTGGAAGGGAGGGAAGAACAAGGCGCCCTAGAAGCAACGCGTGGTTCCTTCCTAAGCCGCACAACTTTTGACTTCCAAGTATCGCGCCGCCCCTACATCCTCACTCAAGAGGGCCTGCCTTTTCAGTAGACTCAAGAATCGTGATGCTCCTGAGTATGTGATTGCAAAATTCTTACGTTGCAAGAACCGTGCCGTGCCTACAGCCACACTCAAGTCAAGATGTCCTGGCCACCACAGGCAGCGGCTGATGCATCATGCACCAGACAGACCGTGCACCAGATCATGTGCAACAGATCATGCGCAACAGATCATGCGCATCAGACCATGCATCAGACCATGCACCGGACCATGCACCGGACCATGCAGCGTGCAACCTGATTTGCATGATCATCAAGAACAAGCCATTCTGCTACCAACCCGAACGAGCCGTACAATGACACAAAAGGCGTCTCAGGGAGAGGAAGTTTACACACGAGGGGCAGGTGAGAGGGAAGAGAGAGTCAGAAGGCTGTGATAGTGCCTATAATGTTATCTCTGGCTGCTGGCCTGCAGGGGGAAGGAGTATTGGCAACAGAGAATGCAGGGGGTAGACGCACAAACACCTATGGCCCCATCACATGGATTTATTTGAGGTGTCTCAAACATTTTAGTTTCCACTTATGTTGCCAAAAGAGCAGTAGAGAGTCAAGACTTCAAAACTGAAGAAACGATTTCATACAATCACAAAACAACATCACTGCTTTTCAACTATGTTGCACCTGACGCCCAGCAACGGCAGCGTCCAGCGTCCGGACGGTCACGTCCGGACGCTGGACGCGCCAAACATGTTTGTCGCTGGACGTTCGGGAAAAATATTTTCGGGCAGCCCGGAATTTGTTTGTTTTGCTGCACGAAATTGACTCGCGATTTCATCGCGACCAGAATCGCGATGAAATCGCCGAACGTGGGTTGCGATTTTGACCTACAAAAACGCAACCCACAGTTTTTCCCCCTCACACATTTGGTTTGGACCCATCCCCATCTAGTTCTCCCAACCAGGTCGACCCCCAACTAAACCAGAGAGCCAGATCCAGGTCGACATTAGAGAGATCTGTTTCTCTCGACATTGCCTAGCATACCTATCCCTACAATTCGCTTCGCCAGTCACGCTACTTAGGCTTTGTAGTGTGAATTTAGGGTTAAGGAGATTAAGTTACAATGTCATCTCCTAGTCCCGCCGGTCAATCTGGTAGTGGCTCCACACCTTCTGCAGGTGGTGTGGAGGGAAAACGCAAGTACGACAAAATGCATCTTAACCCCCAAGTAGCCTTACTAAGCAGGTTTTTTTACCCTGCCCGGGAAAATCTTTGCCCTGCCCGGACTAGCGTCAAGAGGGCGTCCAGGGCAGAGGAATCCGGGCGTCCAGCGTCTGGACGCCCCGTCCTGACGCCAGCATAAAAAACGCTGGACGCGCCAGGCGCAACATAGCTTTTCAGAGCAAACATGGCATGCCACGACATGAATGACATGAAAGCAAAACATGGCGAACGAAAAATGCCATGAGATGGAAATCAGGATGACGGGAAGGACTTGATTCAAAGAACTCAAATTCCTTTCTTCCCCAAAGAAAAATCATTCTTTCTTTTTCTGATGAGATGAAACGTCAAATGAAGATAACTTCCTTTCCTTGCTCATGTTCAATAAAAACTACAGTGTGTCACACATCTTGCTTTGCACAAATGGAGAGAGAGGGATTACATTACATACAATAGTTTATTTGCTTTCTTTTGAACATATTCTTCAAACCTTCCTTTCTTTTCAAGAAAGCATTCAGGACATGATTGATGATTCGAGCAAAACCAAACAGCTACTTCCTGTACGAAGTAGATTTGGCTACAGAAACGAAGATGCCATGGCTCAATGACAGAAGCAACATGGAAATAAATAAAGGCAACGATGACATGGCTGTGGAGGATGTGGACGAATCTTGAGTGCACGGAAGCAAGAAAGGGAAGAGGAGGCCAGCAGGAGCAACAACAACCAACCAACCAATGCTATCTTGAAGCAATGTTAGCTTTATCAGTTAAGTTCTTAGTGGACCACATTTTCCGAAGAGACTTGAAGCAAGCAGCATTATTCTGATCGGGTGAACCATTGGCAGTGGTGAAGACAGGCAGTGGTGAAGACAGGCAGTGGTGAAGACAGGCAGTGGTGAAGACAGGCAGTGGTGAAGACAGGCAGTGGTGAAGACAGGCAGTGGTGAAGACAGGCAGGAATAGCAATTCATGTGGCCCGAAACAAAAAGAGCATCACTCAGTTCACACTTCCCAGGGGGGGCATCATTACCACGCTGCATGCTCGCCTCGCCAATGAACCTTGCACCCGAGGTGCTGTGCTGTGAGTGCTCTTATCACTGCCCGACTGGCAAGTCTTGACAACGGTGCAACTTAAGCAACCATGGTTCCCAAGTTCAATTCATATGTCAAGTCTACGATATTTAATGTGCACATCAAACGGAGGGACTCGAAGCTTCTTTTCTTTCTCAATAATCAGTTGCAAGGTAGCCTATGTGTGACCTGGCTTGCCTGGAAAGCTAATTCGTTTTGGCCGTTTTGCCTGCTTAACTAGAACGCATGTAAACACTATTGCAAGTAATGGTTTGCTGAAAAGTGGGAGACAAAACGGGCAGGAAGGAGCAAAAGTGAAAGAGGGGTCGTACCGCTCATTGAGAAGTGCGAGGCGGTCCTTGTCCTCCAGCGCTGCAGCCAGCAGGCGCGGGTCCGAGCCCCACTTGGCATCGCCGTGCAGCGTTTCCACCGTTGACTCGTGTGTCAGGTCCTGAGGGCGTGAGGGCGCGCATTCAGAAAGGACAGACTGAGTTAAAAAACCAAAAAAGAGAGAATGAGTGGATGCACAGAACACAGCCTTTGGAATGTTCACCACAACACATCGGCTTCATAATAGGTCCCCTCAGTACCCTCCTCACTCCCCCTAGTAACCCCTCAGTCAGTCCCACCTTCCCCCAGTTACCCAGAGTAGAAGAGACTCCTTAGCCTCGATGTGAGACTCACCCCGCTCTCCTCCATCTCGTCCAGCAGGGCTTTAAACGCCTCCACAGCCGCCTTGTGTGCCGACCGCTTCTCCTTGCGCTCCGCTGTTGCCCGCGTGCGCACAAACTCCTCAAATATGGCCCGCCGCTCTGGCAGCGAGGGGATGGCCTGCACGTGAAGCAAGGAGAGAATGTGGTGTCAAAATTCATGTGCGCACTGCTGTCGCCCGCGTGCGCACAAACTCCTCAAATATGGCCCGCCGCTCCGGCAGCGAGGGGATGGCCTGGATATAAGAACGGATATGATCAATTTGCACGCACTCGTCTAACGCATCCTCCACTGCTGCCGTGTGATTCGAAGTTCTACCAATGGCCCTTGTTTTAGGTAGAGCAGACATGTGGGCGACACAAGGCAAGCGGCAAGCGGGAGAGCAGTAAGAAGTGCAATTCGTGGCAGTGTGCATACCTTGTAGCGCGCATCGAAGATGAGCTTGGGCAGCTCCTTCTCCCACTTGGAGAATGGCGCCACTCCCTTCTCCTTCAACATCTCCTGTTGCGTGCCAACACACACAGTGGCGTCACATGCGCCATGCAGAGACAGAGGAGTAACGCTGAGAGTGGTACATGACAGGCATGCACTGTGTGAATTGCTGAGACAGGCTCGCGAAACCACACGTCGCAATAAACATCTGCTCTTTGTGTGTAATCGTTCGAAGGAATAATGGCAAGGGGGAACAGAGTAACCAGGGGAGGATAAACAAACAGAAGTGTAAGGGGACAGAATCAAAGAGAGGAGACGCGAGGAGAGGAGAAAGCGAGGTAACTAAGCGAGTGCAAAGCCCAACGGTTGGTGGCTGGTTCCATTTCGTGAATGCGAAGCATAAGATGTCATGTCATCCTGCACGTGACAATGCCACCAAATGTTGCACCACTCCATGCCACCCCGTCTTTCACGATGCCATGCCACGTTTCACCACACCACACCACACCACACCACACCACACCACATCGGGCCATGGCAGCACGTACACGGAACTTCATGGCCCTTTCTTCCAGACTCAGCTCTTCCAACGGAACCTCCGCCCCGCCCTTCTCCTCACTCCCCTTCTCCTCACCCTCCTTCTCCTCACCCTCCTTCTCCCCGCCGCCCTTTTCCCCGCCCTCCTTCCCCTGTGCCACCTCTCCACCGTCTTCCCTCTCCCCTCCACCATCCTCTCCCTCCTGCTTGCCTTCTTCGCCCTCCTTCTCCCCATTGACTCCCTTGACTCCGTTGACTGCGTTGACCTCCTTCCCATCCCCACCCTGTGCTCCTGCACTGCTCTTTCCAGGCTTGGTCGTCGCAGCAGCAGCAGCAGTCGGAGCAGCCATGACAGCAGCAGCTGCTGCTGCGCCTGCCTTCATCTCCTTGTCGGCGTCCTGAAGGGAGGAAGAGGGAATAGGGAATAGGGAATAGGTAAAGGTGTGTTAACTTCATAGTTATTGCTTCGCTCTCGGGTGAACTCAGGGAATAGAGGCGAGTGCAGTGACACAAGCAGCAGGAGACAGGGGATGGGAGCGGGAGCAGGGCTGGCCAAGGGAAAAGGGAGCACGGCACAACAGCAGCAACCTGAACGGACGAAGCATCTCCTGCTCGAACTAACTGCCATCTCTGCAATCTCCCCCCCCACCCGCCACTTCCCCCTTTTAAGTCCTAACATACCAACATCTCAAAACCTCCCTTCTCCCACCCTCATCCCTTCCCTACTCCCTCCCCCCCTCAATAATCACCTGCAGCTTCTTCTTCACCACCTCCAGCGCCGTCGCCTTGCCCAATGCTGCTGCTGCGCCCGCCGTCAACCCTAATCTACCACCCGCCCTCTCCCCCTCCCCCCTCCCCCCCCCCCCCCTACCGTAATCACCTGCAGCTTCTTCTTGACCACCTCAAGCGCCGTCGCCTTGCCCCCTGCTGCTGCGCCCGCCTTGCTCGCCGCCCCCGCGCCCCCCCGCCCCGCCAGCGAGAAGGAGAGCTTGCTGGCGGCGCGCGCCTGCTCCTCCTCCTCCGCCTCGTGCCGCTTCCGCACCTCCTGCACCTCCCCGGGCACCTGCCAGCTCGTGTCCTGGCGGAGGGGGGAAGGGGGGGGCGGAGGGGCATGGGAGGTGGAGAGGGAAAGGAGCGAGTCAAGGGGGAAGGTAGGATGGCAAGTAAGCCGCTTCCGCACCTCCTGCACCTCCCCGGGCACCTGCCAGCTCGTGCCCTGGCGCGCAGCAGCGGAGGGTGCGGCGGGGACGAGAGAAAGAGCGGGGGAATGGGGAGGGGGGGAAACGGAAGAGAGGCGGATGCAGAGTCAAGGGGAGATGATAGGATGGCGATGGGATTGAAGGCAGAAGAAGCAGAGACGAGAGACGGCAGGGTGAGTGAAAAGCATCGCTTGGCGTGAGAGTGGTGCACAAGGGAGTGACTGACCTGCATGGCGGTGTTGTAAAAGTACTTGTTAATAAAAGTGACGTTTGGAGACGTCTCAAAACTTCACTTTTACAACAAGGCAGGGCAGGGGCTGACCTGCGTGACGGTGTTGTAAAAGTACTTGTTAATAAAAGTGACGTTTGGAGACGTCTCAAAACTTCACTTTTACAACAAGGCAGGGCAGGGGCTGACCTGCGTGACGGTGTTGTAAAAGTACTTCTTGCCATCACTCGTCGACACCAGCGCCCAGTCCGTGCCCTGCACTCGCTCCCTGTTGCTCACATGCACACACAGACACACACGCACGCGCACACACAAGTAGAAACGCGGACATGATTTCAGACACATACATGAAGACGGAGAAGACCCAATAAGAGCACGAGCACAACGAGAGCGCAGTGATGCATGGCACATGCCGGTGGGTGGGTGCGTGCGGAGGACTGCAATTCACGTCGCCCACATTCCACATGACAGATACCTACTGCCAGTCTACATGCAATGCTCTCCATGCCCTCTCGCCATGCCATGCTCTCCATGCCCCTCACCATGCCATGCTATGCTATGCCATGCCATGCCATGCCATGCCATGCCATGCTATGCTATGCCATGCCATGCCATGCCATGCCATGCCATGCCATGCCATGCCATGCCATGCCATGCCATGCCATGCCATGCCATGCCATGCTATGCCATGCCATGCCATGCCATGCCATGCCATGCCATGCCATGCCATGCTATGCTATGCCATGCCATGCCATGCCATGCCATGCCATGCCATGCCATGCCATGCCATGCCATGCTCACCATGCGACGGGAGTGGGCTGCTTCTCCACCTTGTCCTCCTGCACACACGCACACGCATAAGCACCCACGGGGAGACACACATGTCCACACCACACAGGCTCAAAGACAGGCAGACATGAACCAACGTGCAAAGGAGCAGAGAGCGGCAAGGCAGGCAGGAAGACAGAGCGCGGGGAGGGGGCGAAGGGGCACCTGGAGTTTGAAGCCTTTGGGTTTGTGGTAGGTGGAGCGGCCAGTGACAGTGTTGTAGTAATACACCGTGCCCTCCTCCGTCTTGTGCGCCGTCCATTCCTCCACTCCCTCCTCCGCCTGCTCCTCCTTCTTCTCTTCCTTCCCCTCCTTTATCTCCTTCCCCTCCTTGACCTCCTTTCCCTCCCCCTCTTTCTCCTTGGTTGCGTCCTCAGTCCCCTCCCCTTGCTTCCCCGCTCCTTCCTTCTCATCCCCCTCTCCCCCCTCCTTGTCTCCACCACCTTCTTCCGCTCCCCCTCCTTCCTTCCCTTTCCCCTTCTCCTCCTCCCTTTCCTCCACCTTCTCCTCCCCTTTCCCCTGCGCCTCCCGGTCCCACCTCGATTTCTTCCCCCCTTTCACCCCTCCGCCTGCGCCCTTCCCCGCGCCCTTCTTTCCGCCCTTCTCCCACGGGAGCTCCTCCCCCGCGGGGAGCGGGGGGCCGCCGCCGGAGATGACAGCCGCCATGGCGGCGGCCGCCTGCAGCCACGCGGGGGGAAGGGGGGGCTGCGGCGCGAGCGGAGGGTTGGGCTTTAAGGTGATGGCGGCGGGAGGGGTGGGGGGAGCTGCAGCAGCCGGGGGAGGCGCAGGCGCAGTGGCAGCAGCGCCAGTTGCGGCGGCTGTAGCAGCAGCGCCAGCTGCGGCAGGAGCGTCAGGAGCGGCAGGGGCAGCGACAGGCGCGCCGGGAACGGCGGCAGGGGCGGCAGCTGGTGCAGCCGGCGCAGCAGCAGCAGGGGTAGGACCTCCAGTCGCTGCAGTGGCTACCGCTTGCGCCTCTGCTGCTGCCGCTGCTGCTGGCGCTGCCGCTGCTGCTGGCGCTGCTGCTGGCGGCATACCGTTTGGTACTTCGCCGGCTATTCCTCCCGCCGCTGCTGCTCCCACGGGGAGCGGTGGAGGAGGGGGGCCGGGAGTGAGCAGCGGCGGCGCTCCCCCCGGATGAAACCCCTGCTGGGCGGAAACTGGAGCCGGGGGGGCGCCGAGGGGAACGGGAGGCGCAAAAGCCGGAGAAGGCGCAAAAGGAGAAGGGGAAGCGTGAGGCAGGGGGTGGGGAGGGGCGGACCCCGGAAGCGCGGGGTACTGCAGCGCATGGGGTGCTGCTGGCCCATGCGCAATCCCCTGCGAGGGGTACGGCGGGTGGTGAGGCCCCGGCGGCATCCCCGGCCCCTGCGCGCGCATCCCTGCCGCGGGGGGAGGCGCGCCGTCCGTGACTGCCGTCACGTGCCACACGCCCGGCACCGCGCGCGCTGGCTGCTGCGGCGATTGTTGCTGCTGCGGCGGCGGATGCGGGGCATGCGGGGGAGGCTGCTGGAAATGTTGCGGGAAATGCGGCCCTTGCTGCTGATAAGGCGGTCCCTGCTGCTGATATGGAGGCTGATGCGGCTGGTTCGGCGGCTGATGCTGCTGATACTGCGGCGGATACTGCTGCTGCTGCGGCGGCGGCGACTGCGGCTGGTACTGCTGCTGGTGCTGATACTGCTGCGTGTGGTGCGGCGGCGGCGGCTGTTGGTGCGGCGGCCCCTGAAAGCCGCCCTGCCCCTGTCCTGCCGCGTGTCCTCCCCAAGGCGGCGCCCCTCCGCCTGGCGGAACTCCTTCGGGCGGGCCTGGCGGAAAACCCCCGTGCGCGTTCTGCGGCGGGCCTCCCCCGTAGGGCGGAGGGGGTCTTGCATAAGCGCCATGGGCGGGTTGTTGCGGAGAAAAGGGAGAATGTGGCGGATGGGGGGGATGCGACGGACCGGGAAACCGCGGCCCAGGCGAGCCCATCCCACGTGGAAACGGCATGCCAGGTGGCACATGACCAGGAGGTCCACGTGGCGCTAACCCGAGGGAGCCCTGTCCTGAGGGTCCACGTGGCCCAGGACCAGGTGACATGTGTTCTGGAGGTCCACGTGGTCCAGGTCCGGGTGACGCCGTGCCGCACGCTCCAGGTGGTCCGTCAGGTGGTCCGTCAGGTGGGCCCCTCACAGGTGGACCCATGCCAGATGGGTCCATCCGGGGATAAGGTGTTGAGTCACAGTTAAACAATGCACGGTATCACCAAGGCTTCAACGTAGAGAGAGGGTCGGCGAGCAATCCGGGTGGAGCGAAAAATGCATCTGAATGATCAGATCTAGTTTTAAAAAGAGATATAATATCTCGAAAGTAGGGATAAAAGTGCCGAGATAGTATGCGGAAGAATGTGGAGGAGCGGGAATGGGAGCTAGAGAGCGAGACGAGGAGGGAATGGTGAACAAGGCGGAGGCGCGAAGGAGAACAGGGTGCACGCAGACCACGATTTCATGGAATATAGTGATGACTCTACATCACATTGACCACCTGTCAACCACAGTACTCCAACGCAATTTTCTGTCGGACTCACGATTCTCTGGAACGCGTTCTAGAATAGAAGAGAGAATGTATCACGAGGATGAATGAAGAGAGCACGAGGAGGAATTGAGGGAGGGGCAGCCGGCTGTAGCTGCGAACCGCAGTCGTCGATCGTCGTGAGTCGCACGGTGATAGTCTGCGACGCCGTCCATTTGCCTCGCTGGCTGCTTTGCAACATTTCCTGCCAATCAACACCACCACCTTATCCTCCCCCATATGAGAACAAGAGTCAAGCCCTAAACTTCGTAAGTTGTGCATTCAAGCACAAATGTCCAACTGTCCTATCAAACATCACTATGAGCTTACACCAAGCAAAGTTGCTAACTTTGATTTACAGTTCTGCATAGAACCAGATCACAGCAGCAGCAGCAGCGGCCATACTGGTAAAAGCAAACCCCACTGACTTTATCACCCATCACGGCCTGAGCAACTACACATACCGTGGCCTAACAAATCACGGCAAATTAGAATCCCCCATGGCAAGACCCTCAAGCCACATGCAGACCTAACGTATTCCTGCATGACCCCTAGAGACCGCATACACAACAGGTGCTTCACTCCAAGACCCCTTATGTGACACCCCTGCACACATCAGGGATGGCATGTCAAGGCATGGTGGTACAGGCACGGAACCAGCTGCTCTGAGAGGCGAGGAGTGGCTGGGGTCGCATCGCAGGTGCTCCTGTCACCTGATGACTGCCTGGTGGCCCATCTTAGCAGCGAGTGCATCAAAGTACCCCACCATCTGGTCCCTCTTGTCCAGCACCCTCTCCATCTCCCCCGCCGTCAGTGCGCCGCCCATCTCCTCCAACAGCTGCGCGCGGTTCATTCTCCTCAGGCGCGTAAGAACAAACCCTGCCACCGTCTTCAGTCTGCCGCCCGCTCCTGTGCCGCGCTTGGACCACATGGCGTGCAGGCCGGCGCCAAGCGAGGGGCCCATGGGGTGCGAGAGCACTACGGGCGAAAGCTTGCCGTCCCCGGACCAGTGCTGGGCGGCGAAGAAGCCGGAGGGGCGGCGGAGGGAGGAGCCCATGAGGGCGTCGAGGATGCGGATGCTGCTGATCACCGTGTGTGCCTGTGTGGGCGCGCGCAGGCGCTGGAGTAAGGGCGGAAGGAGAGGGGTGCGGGAAATTCGATTGAGATGGGAAGGGGAGAGTTCATTTGCACGTATGTAAATATATGCACATACACATATAACAAAAACTAATGCTGACTTTGATTTGGAGCAGCAGAGTGAAGGAAGCACTGAGTGTGTGAAGA